ACCTGGATCACGAGAATGCTACCGATGCGGCCTCCGAGACCCCCCACATGGAGCAGGGAGCTGCGCTGCACCACTTCCGGTGCCAACCGTCGAGTCGAATATCAGGCGGTGGGTTCACTCAGCGATATACCCCCCTCGCCAAGCGGGGGCAGTGCCAATCAACGCCATCTTCGGCGAGCTGGACGCAAACGAACCCATTGACTTCGGTGAGCATGGAGAAGAGGAGGAACAGGGAAATGGGGGGGAGCACACCGTATGAGGGGTGGTGTTGCTCCTGACACTCTAAATCCCCCGGAAAGAGACCATTCAGCACGGAGGCGCCGGGAAGTTTTTACGCGGGACGACGATTCGGAAATACCATTTGTATTAGGCCACCCATCGAATACACGGATTCTCGAGTATAGGGCGCCCCTGCCAGCCACCATCCTGAGCATAGGCTCCAACCCAGAGACCACCGTCGAACCATTCTACCAGCGGATCCGGCTCACCAACGACGACGGGAATATGGTCCGCCTGACGGCACAGATCGATAACGGAGCCATGCGCAATTGCATTTCGGCAGAACGGTGGGCGCAGTACGGGCAATGCTTGGGAAGGTTAACCCCATCAAAAACGATCCTAAAAGTGGCCAGCGGCGAACGCATCACACCGAAGGGGCGATGGTGGGGCCAGGTATCGGTAGGCGGCGTGACGACAGGAGCCTGGTTCGAGGTGTTCCATGGTGGCGGAGCCTTCGATGTGATCCTGGGGAAGCCGTGGTTACACAGCGTGCGGGCTGTACACAACTACGGCAATGACGAGATACGCATCATAGCTGCTGGACGTGAGACGACAATCCGAAACGAACCAAGGACCGCACCACAAGACTCCCAGACAACACAAAAGGCGCTCCCAAGAGACGAAAGCGCACCTGTGGAGGAACAAGGACCAGCGACAAAAGAAAGCGACACTGCGAAGGGGGGACTTACGTGCGCCCAACAAGCCCAACCGTCCGAACACAGGGCCGAAACAGGAGACACGAGCTACCGGAGCATTGAGGAGGTAGACAAGAGGGACGAGCGGCCACAAGTAGGGGCCCAGACCAGAAAAGAGACACCGTCGGCAAAAGAGGATACGGAGCCCAGCGCGGGTGACCAGCTGCGAGAGTGGCAGGAATGGAACAGAGACTGCGGGCGGGAAGAGACAACTACGGGGACAGTGAGTGCGCGTGAAATGAGAAGGAGGCAGACGGAGGAAGACGCAACGAGGTGGAGGACAAGAAGACGAGAAGCTTTGGTAGCGGCGTTACGTGGGACATCAGCCGGCAGAACTGACGGGGATAAACTCCACCAATTGGACAGACGACTTCGACACCTCCAGGCGAGGCTAGACGAACTGCGATCCATCTACGTGGAAACGAAGACAGCCACGAACGAGGAATCAACGGGAGCCCTACCAGAAGCTATATTCACGGTGGAAGCAGCCACCAGACCAGAAGGCTTCAAAATAGACCGCGGAACGAACAAGTCAATACGTGCGACAGACCCCTTCAACAAGGAACGAATCAACAGGATCATTAGTCAAGTCCAAATCGGTCCAGACCTGACTACGGACCAAAGGGAGAAAGTCGTCGCGCTTGTGAAGGAATACGCCGACGTATTTGCGCTGTCAATGTCGGAGGTTCTATTCGTGGACTGGTGGAAACATCACATCGATGTCGACCCGAAGATCAAACTACCTACCCGCATGTCACAACGCCCGCTCACGGAGAACCAGAAATCGTGGTTCTATAACGTCTTGGATGAGATGGAGGAGGCACATGTGATTCAGAGAATACCAGGCGAGTTCCTAAAATGCTTGAACAGTACGAATCTAGCTCCCAAAGATGCAGGCAAGACAGGACTGACAAGAGCGGACATCCTCCGCAAGGTGAATGCGGAGTGTGTAAAGAACGGGATGCCACCCTTCTGGGAGGAAGTTGGGGAACAAACAGAAGACACAGACTGTGGCGACGCCGTTCTGGAAGCAACGGAAGAAGACAAAGGGAAGGGCATCAGGACGACCAAATGGCGGGTCTGTCATGCCTTCACGGCCCTCAACAAGGCGTCTCAAGTGCCACCGTTCCCACACGGCGATATTGGAGCCAAACACCAGTTCGCCGCAGGGCACCGCTGGGCGAGTGTAATCGACCTTGCATCAGGGTACTACGCGGTTCCCCTAGACGACGAGACGGTTCCGTATACGGCATTTTACGTGGAAGGGCGAGGTTATTTCGTATACTTACGCATGCCATTCGGCCTTACAGGAGCTCCAACAACCTTCTGTGAGATGGTTGCCGCCGCGCTGGAGGATATGATCGGTCGAGAGCTTGTCAATTGGATGGACGACATCTGCTTACCAGGTGATGTATTCGAGACTAAACTGACCAACCTGAAGCGCTTCTTCACCAGGTGCCGGGAGAAGCAGCTGTCACTCTCACCGTCGAAAACGAAGCTATTTTTCACCGAGGTCTTATTTGCGGGCGCGGTCGTTGGACCAGCAGGTTTGAAGCCGAACCTGGACAAAGTCGGAGCAGTGATCGACTGGCCGGTACCGGAGAACGTGTCTGACCTAATGGGCTTCCTCGGCATTGCGGGCTATTTCAGGAAGATGATCCCAGCCTTCGCCCGCATTGCAGCCCCGCTCACGGATCTGACGAGGAATGTGGAGGTGGCACCACCTAGCTCGAGCTGGCGCGTGCAGAAAGGCGACTACAAGAGAGCCCTGAAGTCAGCGTCAATAAGACACAAGTGGGGCGAGGCCCAGCAACGCGCGTTTGTCAGCCTCAAATGCTTGCTGTCACAAGAGCCAATTCTGAAAACACCACAATATGACGGTCGGCCTTTCAAAATCACAACGGACGGGTCAGCAGAGGGCTTTGCCGGCTACTTAGCACAGGAGTTCCCCCACATGGACAAGAACAGGAAGGTATCAAAACGCTGGCATCCGATTGCGTTCTGCTCCAAACGCACGTCAACGAGCGAAGCTAAGTACGAGCCATTTCTTCTCGAGTTTGCTGCCTTGAAATATGCGCTAGACGAATTCGAGACGTACACCTATGGTTCCCCCATCAAGATTGAGACGGACTGCCAAGCCCTACGTGACACGCTCATGCGAGAGAAGCTGAATTCCCACCATAGCCGATGGAAGGAGTCCATCCTTGCACGCAATATCATCGACATCAGACACAGACCCGGCATTGAAAACCCGGTGGCCGACGCACTGAGCAGGAAGTGGGCGAACCGGGACCGGTCAGAACAGGACGGGTCGTCTTGGTCGGTCCAAGCAGACTGGGAATCACCACACGGGACGACCAGGGACGTGTTTACGGTGGCAGATGCACACATGGCAAGTCACCCCCTTCAGACCTTGTTTGCTAACGACCTGTTCTTTGGTCCGGTGGTCAACTATCTACTGGGGTACATGGTCGGGGATTCAATCGCGGAGCGCAGAAGACTCGCGCACCGAGCAAAAGGGTTCATGATCGCAGAGGGAAAACTTTGGCGAGTGGCGGACACGGCAGCGCGCCGAGTAGCGCGGACGGAGTGCATCCCCACAGCGCAGGGCTTCGAGCTGGCGATGAAGGTACACGCACAGAACGGCCACTTCAACGTGGAGAGCACAAAACTCAAGCTCTCGGACCGCTACTTCTGGCCGGGCATGGACACAGACTGCCGTTCGGTGATGCTCGAATGTTCGCGGTGCAAGAGCTTCGGCGCACCAACGCGCAACTCCCTACTGCAACCGATCCGACGCACCCTCCCATTTGCTCTGATTGCAGGCGACTACCTGTCGTTGCCAGACGGAAAGGGCGGCTTCAAGAATGTCGGCCTCTATGTGGACGTATTCTCCCACTTCGTGTGGGGGACGAAACTCAAGTCAGCCGGCACGGCAAAGACCACAATTGACTCGCTAAGTCGCATCTTCCATGAGCACGCGGTGCCTGACGCTTTCATGGCAGACGGGGGTAAGCACTTCCGAAATGACGCGGTCTCGGACTACTGCACGGCCAACAACGTCAAGCATATTACTACGCCGGCATACTCACCCTGGGTGAACGGCCTCATCGAGGGGAGCAACAAGATCCTGCTCAAGATCCTGAAACGGCTGTGCGCACCCGATCACGACACGGACGAAGGGACGGTGGACCCAGAAGACATACCAAGGAACTGGCCCGACCACTTCGAGGAGGCGTTGCGCATGATGAACGACCGGATACTGGTCGCCCTCAAGGCCACACCGAGGGAACTGCTGTTTGGAAGGGCGTTCACTCGGGACCAGGCCATACCGGACCAGCTAAGTGAGACCACCGCAACGGACGCAGACATTCACTTCGCGATAGCGGATAGCATGCGCTGGACAGCACATCTGAGGTCACTCGAACGAGCAGCACAGCAGAAATCAAGCTTCGACGCAAACTCGAAAATTGTCCGCTTTAGGATCGGCGACCTGGTCCAGTGGTATGATTCGGAAGCAGACAACAACCGCCTGTCGGTGAACAAGCTGAAACCACGCTGGTCGGCACCGGTGCAGATATATGCGCAACACCTGAACTCGTTCTCTCTCTGCGACCTGGAGGGCAAACCGCTAGGGAATCTCCAATTTGTGCATTCACGACGACTACGGCACTACATCCCGCTACGCGATCCGACCCTGGACCAGAAACACCCGCGAGAGGGGACAACAGCAGACCCCACGACTCAGGACCTGGAGATTGCGGCAGCAGAAGAACGGATGGCAGAGGAGGCATGGAGGTCGACTCTCTAAAACCAGTGGGCAGCTGGGGTTGCGCCGGGCAAGTAGGGCCGCAACTGCGGAGTCCAATGCGTGGCGTTTCCATTGACGAGACGGGGGGATATGTCCGAGGGCGGACATCGCTTGAGGGGGGGCACCTGTGGCTGTGCCGAGAGCCTAGAGCGGGCGTTACCTAGTTAGAGTGTATCTTAGTCATCATCGATCAATCCTCATCAGAACACCCATCTTCACAGCACCTGCGGGGCATCTGGCGTGGGTCCAAGTTCACACGCGCGTTCCAGAGACGTCTCCAACGGGACAACTTGAGGAGGCAGAATTGTCAAAGGTGTGGGTGAGCGAGGAATACTGGGTCCTTGGCTCCGAGTCAACGGCGTCTCGAGAGGAACAGCACTCATTTGCACAAGTCCCGCGTTTGTTGAGTCGGCATGGATATCTTGGTTCGTCTCTCCCTGACCTTCGGGTGGGGCAGGCAGGTCACAAGGGAGTCCCAGCCTGAGGTCATGATTATCAGATGAGCCACCAGTCCGAGCCGCTATGGGATTGGCAGGACATTGATCATTGGAACTTGCATCCTTGGCAAGCTTATTAGTCTTAGCAGCCTTTTGCGCCTGCCTAATGTGTTGTAAGAACGGTGCCAAACGGATGGAATTAGCTAAACAATACCGCCGAGCCGCCATTTGTGCCCGCTTCTTGATTCGGATGGTCTCGGCACTAAATGCAAGATGTTTCGTCAGGACCAGGGTATAAGGAAGTCGAACTGCAGACTTCTTAGCATAATACGTCGCAGAATGCTTCCGGGCTTGGGCGCGTTGTTCCTCAGATCTGGATGGTCGGAGAGGATCAGTGGGCGTGGCTGATCAATGACATTGCAGATTCACCGTGCAAGCTTCTTCTTTTTTGTACTCTTAGACCTCGGTGGGTCGTTACCAGTATTCAACATGAGCTTCGAGAGCAAGCTTGAGGTCCCTGATAATGTCATCACCTCTCATGATCGCCAATCAAGCACTCAAAATGAGCAACGACAAGAGTCTAGAGATTCCATTCACGCAGAAGACTATACAGCAACAAGGATGATCTAAAGCTCAGTCGATATCTCACTGAGATCATCAGCCTCCGCCTGATCTACTTCGACCCACTTCTCGACCTTATCCGCTTGAAACTGCTGGCGGTAGTAGTCGAGAGCCACAGCCCGGTCACGAAAGCGCATTTTCTTCTGGCCGGGGACGTGATCGCAGAGCTCGTCAGCCTTTGTGCTGGAATTTGTCAGAGACGGAATGTGTGGCAAGATGAGACTTACTGGCTCAGATATACGCCCGGCTCGCGACCAACAACAACGACATAGAACAAATCGCCGGCATCAGCAGAAAGAAGATTCGCGACTTCGGCTGGAGACCGTGCAGGGAGCTTGATCCAACGGGGTCTGTCGATGGAGTCTTGAGAAGGGACTGCTCTGTCGACAGCCTCAGGCAGCTCGTCTGTGGACGAAAGTTGAGTACGTTGAGTTTGGCTTTGTATTCTAGAGCAGGACATACCAATGACTTGCCGTATCAGCTCCCCGGCGCGACTAGACCGCTCTATTGCTTGGCGAGAAAGAGTGGCTGCAGCTTGCAGGAGCGTGATAAGCTCCTGCATCTTAGCATTTGGAGCAGGGCTTGTATCGGGATGGGAGGTAGACGCCATGCAGAGGATGGGAGGAATCTAGAGGGAAATAGTCTAAGATTCAATATTGATGGCGGATAAGAAATGACCGCATGAACAGATGCTTTGATCGCAGTTGACCCGTATGGTCAAAGATCGTTGCTGGAAGTATTGTCCACCCGGGTGGCTCGGTGCAACTAGGGGCGGTTTCAAATCTGATCATCTGGATTCACGCAACGCTAGATTGGGCAAAGTCAAATTTCCCTGTTTGGCAAGACATCAATATCGACGATTGGGGCCGAGTCCTCAGTCTTTGCCTCGTTTGTTCCTCCTGCACCTTGGTTCCTCCTACACCTCGCTTCCTCTCCATGACAAAATCTACCAGTGTCGGCCGTGGTCGCAAGAGCGGGCTGAATGCAGAACAACGCATCCATGCCCAGCAACATCTGTCGGAATTCCGCGCAGCGCAATTGACAGGGGGCGGAGGTGGCTACCGACGACAAGTTGTCAGAGAGTGGTTCGATGCTCATCCAGCGCACATTACCTTGGGAATCACCTTGCCTGCGGAGCCGGGCGCACCTGGAATAGAACCGTCCAAGCTGCCCAAGGAGCTTGATGATCGCATCGAGGCCGAAAAGGAGAAGGTCTCCGAGGTGGGTTACACACAGGCTGCCATATTGTTTCTGTCTCTGACAAAAATCCAGCAATTCCGCACCTGGTTTCGCAACCATAGCTCCAACGCCAAGAAGAAGGAGGAATCCACTGGGGGGAGGCAGATCATCAAATCCTCCGCAGTCGAACGAGCCATGTTAGCCAGAATCAAGCCTAGAGTTTGACGCAACACACGAGAGGAGTTGTGGGAAGCGTCGCAGTCGAGCAAGGACGTTCTCTCTGTCGCGCTGGATGCCGAGGGATGGGCAGACGAAGACTGTCCTGTGCAAGAGGAGGGGGAAACGGAGAAGGAGCATGCAGAGCGACTGAGCCAGTGGAGGGCAACGAGAATGGCCGTTCGGCGACGAGTCCGCACATCAGAGTTTGATGGATTGGAAGCGGTTGAGCGAGAGGCAATCGAAGAAGCGTATGAAAAGCAGTCAAAAGCAAAGGACATTGGATCGCCCGAGCCAAAGACACCGGAGCAACTCCAATGGTGAGTTGTCTTCAAATGCATGAGGATTGTGACTGACGTCTGCTGCCAGGGGTATCGGGAAGCTCCCGTCTGTCGTCACCAAATCGCATGAGTTCATCGAGAACTTGACGGGGCTCGTTGGCGTGACGTTTCTGGTGGGGCCATTGCCCGAACATGGCGGCAAGATCACCACATACAGGTGCGCTGCAGAATCACTCATATGGCATTGCCATTCAACTTACGCAATGACAGTCACTGCCATGGTCAGACAAAGGGAGGCGTTGACTTTGAGCACTACGTCAAGGACTGGAAGAAGACATACCTGCATGTCTTGCGCGACTGGGGGAAGGAAGTCTTTGGTTTGTTGATTCTGCGATCATTAGCCAGCTGTAACTGAAAAAATGTCAGACCGCGACGAACGGCTGAGGAGGGCTCTGCAGACAGAGGAGAATGTTGCCACAACCCGGAATGTGGTCTCCGAGGCTCCTGCTGTGTCACCTCCTGATGGCGGAAGCTGGGTCGATAGTGCGGCCACGGGAACCAAGGAGAAGCACAAGGCAAATAAGCGCAAGCAAAAACGTTGACCGTATCCACCGCCTCATCGATAGCGACGCCGAATGCCACTGCCCTATCCAGCGCCTCGTTGACGCCCACCAACCCTCGTCCGTTACCTCGATCAGCATGGCATGGTGTCACCGGTGGTGGAGAGGACACGAGCCAGGAGGAGGAGGTGGTAGACAAGAACAACGAGGATCTTGAAGGGGTGGGATCGTTCTCACTGGGTATGACAGCAGACGATCCGGCATCCACAGTACGTGAATAGCTGCAGGCATGTTCACGCAACTGATAAGCCTTAGAACTTTGGCAAAAACTTTGAACGTGCTATGGCGGACATGTTCAGAGGCGATGCTGCTCCCAGCGACGCCGGTATGGTTGTCGGGCCTCTGCCTACCAAGCCCGCTGGTGTGGGCGAAGGGTTTTCTTTCCTGAGAGAGTTATACGGTGCGTGTGGCTACGTGACTTGATTTGCAAATACTAACAATGCACACAGGCACGTCCATGGATCCCCCAACCTTCAACCAACCACAACAGCAGGGGAGCATACCTTCCGCTACTTCCGCTGCTTCTGCTGGAGCGCAGGAGAAGCCTTGGTGGATGTACAACTTCTCAATGGCGCAGGGCTATGGAGGGCAGCCGGAGATTGACATGCAAGGAGGAAAGGGAACCAGCGAATCTTTCTTTGGAGATTGGCTTGACAGTGACGGACCTGTGACCACGCCTGTGGATGGCGAACCCATGGCCGTCGCTCCTGCCACTTCCGTTGTTCCTACGCCCTCTGTTCCTACGCCCTCGACTTCCGCAACGGTCAAGTCGTCCAATGCGGGACCCGTGGTCACCGCTGTGGATGTCGAATCCATGGCCGTCGCTCCTGCGCCAGCGACTCCCATACCGGTCTTTCCCCAACCGTCCACTGCTGTCATGCCCGTCAGTCCTGCGCCCGTAACTGTCGTTCCTGTACCTTCGGCTTGCCCCAATCCCATCCCCATTGTTCCTGCTGACGCTGCTGCCCTTCCTGTGCCTGCAACAGGCGCTACTTGGCCTCTGACGAGAGCAAAAGTGTCAAACACCTCGTGGAACCCACAGCCGTGGACGCAGTCGTCTCAGCCCTGGGTGCCAAGATCTGGAAGCGCCGTCAATCTTCCGTGGAATCGGAGATTGCCAGGGCAAAGCAGTGGATCTTCGAATCCATTTGCTGGCGCCAGCTTTGCATCAAGCTCGGCCGTGAAGCCCACAGGAAGCGGGGCCAAGAGCAGCAACAGCGACAGTTGTCCCAACCTTCCAAGGGAGTTTGGACTGCCCGAATCACGTCCGATGTCGAATCCACTGCGTGCAAAGAATGCGGCGTTGCTAGGGCTGAGTGGGAAGACATCCCAGAGTGGTATGGGCGCTCAGACACCGGGTCAGCCAAACCCAGAAGTGGAGATCGTTGTCGAGGAGGGAGGGTTGGTGAATCATATCAGTGTTGCTCTGCCGTGGTCAAAGGAGCGCCGGATGCGTGTTGAGAGGATCGATAAGGAGAAGCAGCGGGCGCAGGAGCAGCACGAGAAGAATGTTGCGCAGGGTATCTTTGTTGTGCCACCGCCGCCCAGTGCTGTTGTTCCAGGTCCAGAGATGCGCAAGGAGCCTGCGGCTCTGGGAGGGCGACGCAAGTCCAATACCACTGGCGGTGCCAAAGGCCCAAACAGAGCGACGAGTGCGGATGTTGCGCAAGCTGCGGAAGATCAGGTGCTGGAGCGCAGTCTTCAGACACGGACGAAGAATGAACGCGGCAAAGCTTTTGAGGACGAGATGAATCGACGTTGGAAGCGACATGGGGAGAACAAGGACAAGGAAAAGAGCGGCGAAGGGAGTAAGAAGACATTGGACGGAAAGGGGAGGAAACGGGTGGCATCGACGGTGTTGGAGGGACGATCGGGGCCCAAGTCAGCCCCCAAGCGGTGAGTCCTACTTTGGTATATTGCCAGGGAAAGGTTCTGACGCATGTCTTACAGTGCCCGTCGCCGATAGGCTTACTGTCTAATGCACATTCGCTAACTAGTCCTGTCATTCTCGTTCAATATGTGACATTATGTATGTACTATGTCAGATGATATGCAGTCAATGCGAGGGAAATGCGTGGATGAAGGCAACTTGGGAAGTTGTATAGATGCCTGAATTGTGTGTTGGAACGTCTTGAGCAAGTATTAAGTGAGAAAAGTGACCGTCTTAAGACGGAGAGCATCTGTCTCAAATCTGTCTTAAGACGGTCGGTATGATCTCCGTCTCAAAGAGAGATAAGAATCATGATCTCTGATCTAAGATCGATACGCCAGGAGACCGTCTCAAGACAGTGTCACTGTCTTGAAACGGGGTCATCAGAGAGAAAAGACAGTGTCTTGAAACGGAGAGTGTCCTCTAAGGCTGGCCTCGAGAGGGTGGGCTGATGACGTCAGGAAAGGATTTGATGACGTCAGGAAGGGACTTGTGCATTTGCTTTCGTGGCTGGTAGACTGTAGTGCTACTTGCATATTTATGGACTGCGGCGTGATATTGGATATAGTGAGAATTCAATATTCAGTACGTACATGACAAGCGCAAAGGCAAATTGTGATTCATGGATCTACAGTTTTACACGGAGGGAGGTGATATGATTCTAACATGCTACCAATATGCTACTGAGTGTCGGAGTGAAAAGAATGCGGCGTGTATGAGGCGCGTGCCGACATGAGAAATGTGTGGGACAATCTGAGCGAAGGCAATGCCGCAGACACCGGTCAGAATATCGGAAGAAAGGGTGATAGAGTGAGGATGAAGCCTGGTCAGGCGGGCAGGGGGAAAGGGGGAAACCAAACGGCGGCAGGGGCGGGGAGAGGCGGCTAGAGTGCATGGGAAACTGGCTGGGACAAGAGGGTGCCGGAAAGAAGGGACGATCCGTGATTGAATCAGGAGTGCCGAACCGGCGGAGAATTGATTGCATCGTGTACAGTGATGCGTGGCGACCTGATGGCGCGAGCAACGGAGGCGGGCGGCTGGTGGGGGCGGTAAAGCAAATGGCGGGCTACGGGCCCAGGACTCACGTGGCAAAAGGTTGACATTTTGTAGCACGTGACATGATCTGCGCTTTTACTGGAGACCCGTCTCAAGACGGCTGTGTCTCCAATAACGAGGCACTGTCTTAAGACGTCTCACAGGTACGCCTGCAAGTGCCATGGTACTTGGATAGGAGGTAAGTAGGGGTTGAAAACGAGAGGCGGCGTGTTGGTTGAGCATGGCCTTGTGAGCAGCTTAGTCGGAGAGGGGAGCCGGCTATCGCGCAAAACCGAGTCAGTCGTTGCATCCCAGAACTTTCAAGCTTGACGGTCATAGTCAGTCTGCGGCTGCTGGCAGTTGCAGTGTCAGACGTTCACAGAAGATATCCAACTCGAAACTCGATCAGATTGATCGCTTGACGCGTCCCGTCACATCATGATATCGTGACTCCTCGTGACTCCCGCTCCAAGCCATCAGCATGTGACGCTTCTGCAGTGTGACACACGTTCCCGTCCTCGGCGACTCGTACCTCCGCCATGGTCGAGCCCGCGCACCACACTCAGATGCGACAGATAAAAGACCCAATCCATGACTACAGTTCGTCCGTCTCCTTCGCATATAATCGGACCCGAGCCCAACTTGTCATGAACAGTCCCGCTCTCCCTCCTGATGTCTTCCATCATCGATACGTGCGTAGCCGCTCATTTGGACATTGCTCGCGACTTGAATATTCATCATTCTGGCTCGAATTAGTAAGCAGTTCCAGCGTTTGCGGGAGATCAAACAGCTGGGAACGTCGTACCTCGTATGGCCGGGGGCCTCGCATAACCGGTTCGAGCACTGTCTCGGTGCGTCTTCCATCCCGTCCCAAACGCAGTCCGTGTCGTGTATCAAGACTTCTGGCAGGTGTGGGGCATCTGGCCAGATGCATGGTCGAGCATCTGCGCAAATCCCAGCCCGAACTGCGAATCACCGACCGGGACGTAAACATGGTGCAGATCGCCGGACTGTGCCATGATCTCGGGCACGGTCCGTGGTCGCATGTGTGGGATGGGCAGTTCATCCCTGCGGTCGCGTGCGTGCTCTCCCCCCGATGCGGACTGAACTGAGGCTGACTGACACCCCCCACAGGCCAGAGAAGAAGTGGCAGCACGAGGACGCGTCAAAGATGATGTTCCGGGCACTTGTGCAGAACAATCCCGTGCAGATCTCCTCGGAGGCCGACATTCAGTTTGTCATGGCGCTGATTGACGGCGACCCGAGTCTCTGCAGGTGCGTTGACAGGACTTACCTCCACCTCCTGATTAAGTTTATTATCAGTCCTGACGAGAAGCGGTTCTTATTTGATATCGTAGCTAACAAGCGCAATGGGCTGGATGTCGACAAGTATGCACAATCTCATTCCTGCTGCCCCTCATTCATGTCACGATCTCCTAGGTTCGATTACATCGCTCGAGACTCGTACATGATCGGCGAAGCCTGCACAATCTCATTTCAACGGCACGTAATTCTGCCTGTTTTGTGTCACGCCTTTCTGATTCCTCGTAGTCTTATCAATAGCGCGCGGGTTATCAACGACGAGATATGCTACGACATCAAGGACATCAATCAGCTCTACGAGATCTTCTACACGCGCTTCAAGCTGCACAAGACGATCTACAATCACAAGACAGGTGCGTCGCTGCTTCTCCGGCCAATTCTGGCCCATTGATGCACATACACCGCAGCGAGTTCGATCGAGTGCATGATCGTCGATGCGTTGAAGCTCGCTGAGCCGTACATGAAGATCGCAGAACGGATCGAGAATCCGGACAAATTCCTGTACTTGACGGACCACATTATGTCGCGAATAGAGTCAGACGACGATCCGGTGCGTTGGGGCTCCCGGCGGTCTTAATTTCCCGCGTCTTACTGGAGTTGCAGGTACTGGGTGCCGCGCGGGACTTATTCGCCCGCATCAAGCAGCGGGATCTGTACAAGTTTGTGGACCAGCGTGTCATCGAGTGGGAGCACCGGCACATCTTCAAAGAAGCGGTGACGCCAGCACGGATTGTTGAAGAAGCGCGCAAGATCGCGGAGGCGGCGGGCAACACCGACCATCTGCACCTGTTGACCGAGGAGACGGTGATAGTCAGGCATTCGACGATGCACTACGGGATGAAGGACAGAAACCCGCTCGACTTTGTTCGGTTCTATTCGAAACGCGTTCCAAACAGTGAGCAGTTCGATGACGATGCACTTGCTACCAGTCTGAGCTAACTTGATCACGCAGTCTCGGCTCACGCACAGAAGCATGACTACTCGATGCTCATGCCGAGGATCTTTGCGGAGGTCTATATGACGATATTCACACGGGTTCCCCAGTGAGTGGTGGCGGTGTTCCGCAATGCAAATCTTCTGAGAGCTTCCAAGGTTGATGGCTGTCGTGCAAGCTGGCTACCGCGAGCTCCTACTCGAACTGCCGCAGGACACGCCGCCGGTGACGCCGAAAGTCAAAGCGAAGAGCCTGTCTCCGCACAGCTCGTTCAACACTATCCCCATGCAGTTTGTGCCGAGCACACCCAGCCGCGACCGCACCCTGAAGCGGCCGCGTGACGAAGATGGAGATGAGGAGGAGAGAGCGCTCAAGCGCAAGGCACAGGCCAAATAGATCTTAGACAGCATTCGGATCCTACTGATACCCATCCATTACCACTGCAGCACTTCACTTGTATCATATTCAATGAATAGCGTAGACACTTGACCTCTGGCTGTTGCGGCGTTGCTCTTCGCACCGTGTGCAGTACAATTGTTCGCATATATCAGCAGAATAAAATAATACACAAATTCACGCGTCAATAAATTCCTTTCTCATGTCCGCAAAGGCAGCGGCCCCTACACCCGATATCCCCAGTTGGTGGATGCAAGCGGAGGTGTGTCTGTAGACGGTCTCCAGAGCGGGATTGGCGGGCTGTCCTTGTGATCCTGGACCAAGGATTTAGCTGGGACGGTGATAGATCGAAACAGAGCAGGAGCTTACGTAGAATCGCCTGGTTCAGCTCGTTGGCCAGTTCCGTTCGGGCCTCCGGGCCAGCCACCTGCGCGGTGATCCCACCACGCTCGATCGGGTCATGCCATGCCACGAGACTGACTGTTCGGGTGAACAGTGCTTGGACCTCGGGACGCTTGTCCGATTCGTAGTCGCTCAGAAGCGACTGGCCGTAGACGATAGCCTGGCTGAGCGCGCGCTCGACCTGGGCCTTGATGCTGCCGTGTTCGTCGATCTCCATCCCGTCCTTGTCCTCGTCCATCCGCTTGTGCAGCGCCGTGGCCCGCAGCAGCAGTTCCACGAACTTGCGGCAGCGCAGTTTGAAGCGCATCAGCCCTTCGTCGGCCCCGAGCACCCCTGGATACAGTCGCTCGGTCTCCTGCAGAGCCGAGTCGATGTCCCCCTGGTTCACGAAGTTGACGATGCGCATCCGGTTGTCGATCTCGGCATCCATGCCTGCCGTGGTCCCGTCCATCTCGACGTCGTCCGCCGCAGCCTGCTTCTGGAATGCGCGGGCCGTCTTGGCGTACCCGTGATGTGCCAGATACGCCAAGACGAGCTTGTCAAGTGCCGCTTTGGTCTGCTGCTCAGTGTTGGGGGGTGACCCGATCGGTGTCGTCATGATGTTCGACCAGTTTCGCACACGCTGTTGATGGACATAATAGTCAATCGGGAACAGAAAGGGCGCTTGGCCAAAGTTGGCGCGCACGGCTTCCCCAGAGTGCCGCAGGCCAATCGATGGGTACAGCTCGAAGTGCTTGCCCACATCCTTGAAAACCGACCCGATCATACGGCCCTTGTGCGTGTAGAAAGCCTGGTAGGTGCTGAAATCAATTCCGCATCCAACGATGTCACCAGCTGGAAAAAGCTGATCAGTTCGAGAACCACAGGCCAGAATCCACTAGACTTGCATTCGAATTTAGGCCCAAACGGTGTTCCGTTCTTTTCCGCGGCGAAGGAGCACCCGTCGTCACCGTGGTATCCCCACGAATCGCGTTCCCACCCAGGAAGTCGCGAAATGCGCACGTCTTTCCCAGCGAATCTGCGCAGAAGTGAGTCCCTCACACGCCACCGGATAGGAAAATAACACAAACCCAATGCTGATGTGACTGGAGCGGTAACGTGTCAGCGCACAGCGAGCAGCCCGGACTATCGACCCTGCTTACCCTTTGTTGCCTTTGCTGAGAATCTCCACCTCGTAATAGTAGATGCCACATGCCGGTGGGATGGGGTTTGTGGTTCGAACAGCTGCCGCGTCCTTCTCGCCGTTGCACGAGGCACCTGCGCAAGGATCGGCTTGGTATACGTTACTGTCCAGCTCAAGAACGCACCCTGATAGGTCACATCCCGTCCGTCTTCCGAGATACTCAGAGTCTCGTGCCGATGCCGCTCGCTCCAGCGCGTGGGGATAGTGATATTCATAGACATTGATGTTGACCGCCGGGGAGGAGGGCTGCCATCATCGTCACTGTCTGACGGAGTGGGTGATCTGCGCGTCACGGCCGCCTTCCGGGACGGTGGAAGAACGGGAGGGGCTTCTGTCTGGAGCAGATGTCTCAGCGCAGAATGTTCCAGGTAGGCGGGGCACGTGAATGGGGTTGGGCGGGCAGGCACAGTGACGTTCGCCGCAGGTGCCAGGGTGGCTCTCTGAGTTTGAACACCCGCAGCACTGGTGCGCCGCGGACGAGCAGGAGGGATAGAGAACGAGGAGGCTGAAGAGGAGGACGGCAGGCATGCGGGATCGGCGGAGTCTGCACGGACGATTCGAGGTTCAAACGTGCTGGGGCGAGAGGAGGATCGCAAGGAGATTCCCGGCGCCGAATAGCTCATGGACCGGGCTGCGGACGACCTCGTCGGAGGCAAACTGGCAGGGTTACTTCGTCTCGCCCGTGGATCATCGCTGTTGCGGTATTGCACAGAGATTGGCTGAGCCGTAGAGATTCGGGGACGAGGAGGCGGTGCGTTGTAAGTAGAGAAAGGGATGGATATCACAGATTCAATATTACGAGTAGGTGAGGTCGATGAGCCCGCACGAGGTGTTGGGATACTGCCTGATCTTGACTGCCGGGTGCTCATGGCTGCTGTGTCCGAGCTCGGGCAGCTGGATCGACTGAGACACTTCGTCAAAGAAGCTCCAGTACTGGTCTACGTGGTGGGATAAGGGAGTTAAGGTCAAGTTCCAGTAGTCTGCCTCCAAATCACGAGGGTGACAGTGACACGCTACACGGTTGTCACCATGATGCCATCAGGCTGCAGTATTACGCGTCTCTCCTGCCAACTACTATGGTAAGTGCGCAGTGGCTTTCGACGCGCCTGCGGACCTATTTTCTAGGACCCGTCACAAAGATTAGTTCCCGCTAGCTCCTCGAAGTCGGCTTCTGTTCAGAAGACCGCGAACAGTCTCGGTCTTCACGATACGCTTCAGTACGGACCTCGCACCATCGCTGCTGAGATCAAGACTGGGGATGGGCTGAAGGAGCGCTTGGAGAATGTCAGTCAAGCTGAATTCGCATCTCGCATCTTCCTCAATCGTCGCAGTGGGAGGAGACACAAGACAACCTCAAACTGACCTTCCAGCGCAATGTCTACGGAATGCACGCTCCCATGCGCCATCTGATGGAACGCAAGATCGTGTCGATGGTGCGTGATCCTTCGCTCTCTCGATGCTTGAGCCTCAACTCGACCTGGCGTAGAACCCTCACATGCCCGCTCTGCCTCAGTCCAACATCCATCTGGATATTTTGATGGGCCGAGACGAGACGATTGAGCCGGTGGATGTCTTCGGTGGTGTGTTTCTTTGTGGTAATATTTGAGCTTGGGCACTTACTTTCGCTGCAGGTATGGAGTACCCTGCTCCGCAGAACATTCACCAGGATATGGAGAAGAAGCTCAAGCTGTAATTTGTTCGCTGTGAATCTCACCTTCAATCAGACATTACTTTCTCAACATCTGGTTATTCTTCCTCCATCCTGATGCCAGAGGCTCGATCGCTGGGTGGTAAGCACGATCAGCGCTCGCCGCCTTTGAGATCGAAGTGAAGTAAGCCAATGTTGAGCATCTCACTCGAGGTTCGCAGATTACGTATGTACATATTCCATGCAAATGAGAAATATAGCTTCACTTTCGTCTGAATCGCGGGGTAAGTACGCGCTTGTTTGCACTTACCAAACAAACGCGAGTCTCAAGTTCCCATCTATGTCTTCGGCCGCCCGCAAACCTGCTCCGCGGCTCGCAAGACCAGCTGTTCGATACTGGAAGGGAAAGGCTCCCAAAGGGGCAGCGGAACTACCTTCGGATGAATCGGAACAAGAGGATGAGGCCGGTGGTGCTGGAATGGAGGAGGAGGATGTTGACATTGGCGGGGAACAAGACATAGTTTCCGAGGACGATGAGGACGACGTCAAGCCTGTCCCTCCTCTCAAACAGATCAAGGCCATAAATGTGTCCCTCGAAGATGTCAATATCTCGAAAGATGGCAAAGTCATCGTGGCAGGTCGGGAGGAGTCCGGTCGGACGGCAGTGGAGGACGAGGAGGGTGCGTTGCTGTTTCTGCAGAGGTATCTTTGCACTCAAATATCCGCAACCACAGAATCAGAGGAAGAGTCCGACGATGAACCGACGCAACCAGGGTTGAAGGCCGATTCAGAAGACGAAGACGCGCGTGTTTCTCTCTCATCTATTTTTGCCCAGCTCATTGCCGCATAGTCTAGCGAATACGAATCTGACTCGGAAGACGAGAAACCCAAACTGCAATTCCGACCGGTCTTCGTGCCCAAGTGCGTGTACGCTCGGGCATACCATTGCTCCAGATTCTCAACGAGACGTAGACGCGCTCGTGCAACACTAGTGGAACGTGACATAGCAGAAGATTCGGAGGAGGCTCAACGGAAGCGTGAAGCAGATGCCGAGGAACGTAAGAAACAGAGTCACGACATGGTCGCAGAAAGTATCCGGAGAGAGCTACTCGAAAGTACGCTACTCTTGCTCTCACCGCTCCCACTCTGAACTTGCATTGCAATAGAGGAGAAGGAGGACAACGTCCCGGACATCGACGACACCGACGGAATTGATCCTGAGGCCGAGTTCGAGGCGTGGAGACTGCGTGAATTGGGCCGTATCAAGAAAGAGAAGGAGGAGGAGCTGCGCCGTGACGAGGAGAGAGAGGAGATTGAGAGGAGACGTGCTCTTCCTGAGGAGCAGCGCATGAAGGAGGACCTGGAGCGCGCCCAGAAACTACGCGACGAAAAACCCAAGGGTTCACAAAAGTTCCTCCAAAAGTACTGGCACAAGGGTGCTTTCCATCAAGTCAGTCCCCGTTATGCACGTCTTCTCCGCATTGTACTTGAACTGTCTTATCCAGGACGAGGAAATTCTCAAGCGGCACGACTTCACCGAGGCGACGGAATCAACGGTGGATGTGTCGGTGTTGCCAGCCGTGATGCAAGTGAAGAACTTTGGCAAACGGAGCCGCACCAAGTATACACACTTGGTCGACCAAGACACCACACTTGCCACTGGTGGCTTTGGCGGTGCTGCACCTGTCAAGGCCGGGGGAAAATCTACCGACGGAGGAGGTTGTTTCTTATGCGGCGGTCCGCATATGAAAAAAGGTACCCGTTACGTCTTTCCCCTCAGTTTACGTCGCTCACTGCTCCAGACTGCCCGCAAAACACTGGCCCGCTCATGCAATTGGCTGGTACGGGCGCTAATCAAGCACCCACGGGCCCGCAGAGGAACTGGGGTGGGCCTCCTTCGCATTCTCGATGGAACGACCGCGATAACGGTGCGAGTCGAGCGGGCAAAGAGCGGGAACGTGACGATCAGGGGGGTCCTCGTGACCGAGACCGAGACCGAGACCGCGATGGATGGAATGATCGGCGTTCTGGTCGCTCGAGGTCAAGAGAACGGTATCAGGATCGGAACCCTCGACGGCGGTCGCGGTCCCGGTCATACTCGCGGTCCCGGTCGCCTCCAATACGCAAGGGTCGCAGAGAGGACGATCGAGGTTGGAAAGAGCGACGACGCAGTTCGATCGAACGGGACAGCAGTGGAAAGCGCAGGCGATTGGATTGACTGCTACTTATGTATCGTGAGAACAGGGGTGGATCCGCCTGAGACTACAGCGTCCCATCGATAGCCATGCTCATGTTAATCGAAGTCTGCATATAGGCGCCCAGCTTACTTCTTAACCTTGGGAGCTGTGGGCTGAGCCTGGCTTTCCTTGATCCGTCGAAAGTCGCACCCGTCAGCGATGCAGCTGTTCATGCGGAACATCGACTTTTCAGTCACATTCGACGAATTGAAGACCGCGCTTGCCACTCACCTCCATCGGCCGCCATTCTCCGTCGACTCTAAGATCAATTTCCATATCCAGCTCTTTCGCCAGGGCAGGACACACAAGGGATGCGGCTTGCTCACTCTGCCGACAGCAGAGATCGGAAAGGCGTTCCTTGCGCTGTATGGATCTAGTGGCCTGGTTCTCAAGCGGCGCACTGTGCGATTCACAGTGAGCAACCAGGCCGTGAACGATGGGCTGGTCGAGACGATGCGCACTACACCCTGGGAGGATCCCCGGGTGGTTCGTGAGCAGCAGGCGCGGCGCGCGGAACAGTCCCAATCCATCCCGTTGGCCGACTTCTCGTTCGGGCGCTTCGGGAAGGACGGCGTCTTCTCTCCTGAAGTCGTGTATCACGGCTCGGTGGCCTGCAACTTGGAAACGCGCAGTATCGAAGTACTTTGCCAGAGTGCCCCACCGGATGGGATACAGGCCAGCGCGTCGAGTGGCTTCGAAAGTTTCGTGGCATCGATTGCTCGAGTTCTCCTGTCCGAGTTCGAGGCTCAACCTGGCCGGGACACCTTTTCTGCGCGTTTCGCAGCCCCCAGGATCGTGGCCTTTGGGACTGTAAGCTCGTTGCACCGCGCATTCCTCCGAACAGATATCCCTCCAACATTCTTGCGCACCCCGTGGCAGTCAGAGGAGGCTAAGGAGAATGCAGATGTCTGGGGTGCTCCGCCAACGCGCCCCGAGCGTGTTTCTTCTCTGGCAACGGCCGACTTCCTTGCCACATCGCACACATCGCAGGCACTGTGCCTGACGTTCTCGAACCATCGCGACTTCAACCTGTTCATAGGACGGAGTGACCACCTCAATATGCCCGTGAGCCCTGTAGAGAAGAACATCCAGGTAACGGAGCGCGGTATCTACAGGGAGGAGAAGCTTTCGGAGGTGAAGGCGCTGCTTGAGACTTTGGATTTCGATTTGGCATTCCAGATCGACAAAGCAATATGGGGTGGGATCCTGGAGCCGGAGGAGGTTCTCTCGATGACGGACAGTCTGAGAGAGCTGCAACGAGCAACGCGCGATGGTGAAGCCGGAGCTATCTTCCATCAGTTTGCCATGATGCTCGAGGTACCTGGCCTAGATTCCGCTCCGAGAAAGAAAAGGAATCGACGGCGCAGCAGGAAAAAGCAGCTCGAAGATGTACAGCCAGTTGATCTGCGCGAGCGGCTTGCGGAAGCGGTCGATGTCTACAAGGATCAGCTCCATCGGCGCACCCGCCTCAAGTACACACCCGCCGCTGGGATATACAAGTCATATCATGTCATTCTGACCCCCTCGACGCAGATTCTCGAGGGCCCACTGCCCGATCAGTCAAATGCAGTTCTTAGGTAGGCCCTGGATTGCGACATATCAGGCGGGAAACTGAACTCTGCACGTACTATAGAAGGTTCAAGAACCACGACTGCTTTCTTCGTGTCTCATTCCAGGACGAGAATCGGTCTCCACCTCGGCAGGATCCGAGCATGTGGATCAACGAGCTTCTCGAGAAGCGATACAAGGGCCCCCTGAATTCAGGAATGACTGTCGCTGGGCGGGACTACCAGTTTCTTGGATATTCCATGAGCGGTTTGAAGGAGTATTCCTTCATTTTTATGATGCCTTTCATGTTTGAGGGTGTTCGCATGGACGCTAAAGGAATCAGAGATCAGCTTGTACGACTCTCATTGAGTTTGCTGTCCCCATTGACCCTTGTTATAGGGAGATTTCTCTACCATTTCTTACAAGCCAGCTCTGCTCGGAGCTCGGTATGCCAATCTGCGCTCCCAAATGTTGCAATACTGACAGTCCTTGTGACAGATGGAGTCAGGCCTTCTCATCTTCAGACCCCACTATCCAACTGGAGCCGTGGCAGATGGTCAACGTCGATGATAAGCAGTCGCTGTCCGGTTCTCTTTTCACAGACGGGTGCTCGTCTCACTCGACCACGCTCAACAAGGCCATCTGGAAGCGACTGCGCCGCTCCCACAATATGGCCCAGGCGCCGTCGGCTTACCAGTTCCGCTGTGGAGGCTCGAAAGGGGTGATCGTGCACAATCCCAACCTGCCGGACGAGACTCTGAACTTCCGGCCGTCTCAAACCAAGTTCCAGGTGTCTGCGGCCCAGATCCGGACTCTCGATGTCGCTGCGACCTCTGCTAGGCCGATTCCGATGTATCTCAATCGTCCTTTGATCACTCTTCTCGAGCACCATGGGACACCGAGGCAGTCTTTCATGGCTCTGCAGGACGCTGCGATCGAAAACGTGCAGACGATGAAGGACTCGCTAAGGAAAGCGTCGCAGATATTTTCACAGCACGGACTGGGCAGCTCGTACCGGCTGCCATCACTGTTTGACAACCTCCACCGTGAGCTGCATCTCGAAATCGGGCCCTGGCAAGACGAGTCGTTCTTGCGGCACGACTTGGTCAAAACCTGCCTGGCTTTCGCGACGATGCATGTCCTGCGCGAGATCAAGCACCGGGCGCGCATATTCGTGCCTGGGTCGTACACGCTGATGGGCGTCTCTGATGAATGGGACTGTCTGGAGGAAGGCGAGGTCTATGCGACTGTGGTCGACCACCGCACGGGTCTGAACCAGGCCATCACGGGGCGAATCGTGATCACGCGGAGCCCTCAGATCCATCCCGGGGACATCCAGTTTGTGCTAGCTGTGCGGAGACAAGAGCTATCCCATCTGACCAACGTCGTTGTGTTCTCGTCCAAGTAAGTGTGTGTGTTCGAGCTTTACTATTGCGAGTATCGAAAAGGCGAAATCAGGGGTCAACGAAGTCTACCTTCCATGCTGGGTGGAGGTGATTTGGACGGGGATATCTATAATCTTATCCTTAATGTGGGTGTCAGCCAGCACCCTGTGCACTCGGGTCGCATTCATCTTGCACAGGAAACCCTTTATCCGCCCAAAGAACTCACAGCTGTACCCGGTGAATACAAGGCTCCTCCTACAAGAGAAACCCCGCATCCATGCACTGTCGCTGATGTTGTCGACTTCGTCATCGATTACGTGGGTGTCGAGGCCCGCCTTTGCCCGCATTTTACTGATGCAAAGCAGATCAAGTCAGACTTGGTAGGGATGATCGCGACTCTGCACCTCCGGATCGCAGATTTGGAAGGTGCAGGCTCCGAAAAGTGTCTGAAGCTCGCCGAATATGCCTCGTATGCGGTCGATTTCCAGAAGCGGGGGGTGAGTCCATGACTGTGAGCCATGGATCCTCGATTTCATTCGTCATCCCAGCAACCTGTCAATTTCAAAGACCTGCCTGCTGCGCCGAACCGGATGCATCCCGACTTCCTTTCGGGCGAAGGCGTCAATCCTGCGCAGGCAATGGGTGAGCGCTACTACGTCAGTCTGAAGGTACTCGGAGAACTGTACCGCAATGTCCCTCTGGAGGAAGCACGCCCGGATGTGGCCATGCTGCGCGAGCAGTGGACCGACGGCGATCTCATCCAAGAAATGCTGAGCGGCTGCGGACTGCCTGCGCTGGGCCTGATCGGCGTCGAGCAGATTCCGGACGACGAGCTGATGGATGAGATGCGCGAGAATCTCGACGAGTATTGCGAGCAGCTTCTGCTGATCGCCAAGACGCACACGGTGTCCAAACGCGATAATGCGCACCTCACCGAGGCGGAGATGGTCAGCGGCACCATCCAGGAGAGGTACAAGGACCATCGGAAGCGGCGTGATGTCATCGCAGCGATGAATTTGCAGGCAAGTGATCAATCGGAGACGAATCTCAAAAGCATCCTCTTCTAAAGATTATGTCCAGACTCAAGAACTGACGAGTGCGATCCGACACGAATTCCAGTCCGCCAAGTATCACAAGGCCGACGACCACGAAGAAGGCGATGACGAGGACGAGGACGACGAGTGGGACGAGTGGGCCACGCTGGCCGTCGACGAGGAGAGGCGGAGAGACCGGTTCGAACGCTCGTGGGCAGCGTGGCTGGCTGCAGAGGAAGCGCTCGACGAAGACCCCAGTGCGTTCGGGCCATCCAGCTTTGGCTTGCTGGCACTGGGGACGATGCTGGAGGTTCTCAAAGAGGCCAAGAAGTGCGTGTGAGACGCCGCATCGCGAAATGTATGTTCGATGATAGGGTGTTGAAACAAAGCGGCTAAGATTAGCATGCAAGATGTCACATCGTGAAATGTATGATCGGACAATCCAAGTTATTTGTGTTGTATTGGTTGGTAGTCATCCGGTTGTATCCCCTTCCTCTCCCCTGCGCTGCACCACTGACGATTCCTCATTCCTCCCGTCCACTGACACAGCCATCATGTCAAAACGGTGTTCGGTGATTAGAGACACCGGGACATCAACATATGGTACCATATAGGAGGAATTCCACAATCAATTTACAAACACTTCGTAACCTTCGTTTTCTCCCACTCTCGCGCCCAATTTTGAGGCTCTGGCTACGCGCAACCGACTATGCCGCGGACAGTCAAAGTGGCCGTCATCGGGAGCGGCCTGGCCGGTCTGACAGCCGCGCATTTGCTTGCTTCCCAGACGCACTCGGATCGGGAGGTGGACTTCGAGGTGCATCTGTTCGAGAAGGTGCGTGTGTGCTGCGTACGTACTCATGGTTTCAGAGTTTCACAGCACCCAGGCTGCTATGCTCGGGATGGACTCCGCGTCTGTGTCCATAAGGAATGGGAAGCAGGAATGGAGGGTCGACGTGCCGATGCGGTCTTTCCAGGGCGGATACTACCCGCACCTTATTGCTCTGTATGAAAAACTCGGGATCCCCTTCCGGCAGAGAGACTTTTCCTACTCGTTCTCTTCGTACTCTCGGCTCGCAGACAAGACACCGTTGCAGACGACTCTAATATACAATGGCACGTCAGGCCGGAAGGGCCTGGGGATACCTGCCTGGATGAAGGACTTGCACCTTCGCAGGCCACGATACGCGCTCCTCACGCGTGCTTTCGTGTTCGTCCTGTTTATCTTCTCGACACTACAGTTCCTCGTGTGCTACGTGCGACTGCTGCTGTTTGCCGTTCCTGCACTGAGATCGACGCGACACAACGAATTCACCTTCCGCGAATGGGTCGAGGACACGACTCCTCGCAGTTTGGTTGCCCGTGTACTGCGATTTGACTGTGTGTGGAGATCGTTCACGGAAGACGTTCTCATTCCACTGTTCTCTGCTGTTTGTACCGCTCCGGAAGAATCTATCAATGCTCATCCAGTCGAAGAGTTTCTTGGTAGGCTGTTGCGCGTCTGGTTCAATCTTGACGGAGCTGATCAGATTGTACTTAGATTACATCTGGCTTACACTCGGCACGCACCATTACGTTGTGACTAAGGGCGTCAGAGATGCAGTCCGACATCTGACTACCAACATCAAAAATATCCATCTTTCGGCGCGAATCGTTGGCTTGGAGTCGGACTCCAGTGATCCACGCCTCGTGGCGATCGAGTACTCGACCGGGTCGGGCACGAAAATCGCACGCGGATTCCACCATGTGGTGTTTGCGACCCAAGCCAGCCGCGCCGTGCCCTTATTGGCGACATACGCAGCGGATCTCCCGGCCGAGTCCGCGGCCAAGCATGCTGTGATGGCCCAGATCCAATGCCTGGAGAGCTTCCACTACGTGCGGACAGTGGTCGTCAACCACACCGACGACTCGAACACCCTGCTGCCCTCCGACAGGCGGGACCGCCGAGATCTCAATCTAGTCGCTGCCGCCCAGCCGAGCCGCGATGCGCTCAACGCGTGGTCGCCTCACCGGGTCGCCCCGACCCACGCCATGACCACGCATGTCCTGGAGCCTCCGCCCGGGTTCGGCTACGACCGACCCGTGTTCCAGACGACGAACCCGTTCGTCGATATCCTCGATGACCGGATCCTGAGCGTCGCGACGCTCGAGCGCGCGGTGCTCACGCCCGCGTCGAAGGCGGCCCTCCGCCGCCTGTGCGTGCAGACCAGCAGAAAGTGGTGGCAGTCGTCTGCCGAGGCCGAGTACGCCGTTGGGGATCTGCAGGGCGCCGGGAGGATGGCATCGGGCGCCAGCGCGGGTATCTGGATCTGCGGGTCGTATGCGCATGTGGGGATTCCTTTGCTGGAGGGTTGTGTCGTCAGCGCGCGCAATGTCTACCAGGCGATATGTAAGACGGAGGGCTTGTTACCGGGCAATGCTAGCTGTTTCTAAGGATGTTGTGCCAATCTATGTGTGCTGTATGAGCTTCCAGAGATTCTCAGTTGAGTCATACTCATTCGTCAGGAGATGCATAAATAGCAAGTGGCGACGCAGGGTGTGACGCATATATTCGGATATTTATATTTATTAATATCTATCCGAATCTTTACAGTATCGAAGTCGAGCAAGGAGTCATGGCGTCATGCAGTGTTCAACGGCGACGGTCACGTTTACTCACGACAGAAGACAACGCTTAGACCACGCCAACGACTCACGATTGGATTTTCTTGACGCGACACCCACGCAATGCACGGCCTATTTTATCGCACCAGCCTAATTCGCCGTGCCATTCTCGGCTCCGTCGACCATCATCTTCCCATGGACATCACCTATCAAGCACGACAGTCTACTCTTCCTGCGCGACACAGGCAGACATGACCGGCGATATAACGGGATCCCAGTGGGAGAGGACTCTGTGGGTGCAAGCTCTGGTGGTAGGACGAAGCTGACTGGATCCATCAGCCTGCGTGCCTTGGAAGAGCAGACGAGTATATTGAGACGTTTCGAGGCTCGACAGGCCGGCGATACAGGCAAGCTCTGCAGCCCCTCGATCCTGACGACGCCCAGCTTACGTGCCATTGTGACAGACCCGTCGTCCCAGCCCATTCCGCAGGTGTCGGCTACGAGCAATAGCACATGGGGAGCGATGCTACGTACAGCCATCGGTGATACGATTCAACCGCAAGTGGACAGATGGCGCAGCGGGATCGATGCTCTGCTGGTATTCGTGCGTCCCTGCATCTTTGGAATCGCCTGTCCTAGGCTCTGAGTATCTGCCAGATCGGTTTGTTTTCTGCCGTTGTCACCACCTTTCTTGTGGGGTCTCTGCCCAGTCTTCAACAAAGCGATACAGCGCGGACGAACGAGCTATTAGCCAATCTCACCAACATCATCATCCAGTTGAACTCCGGGACTCAAGCCTCCTCTCTGATTTTCCCCAGTGCTACTCTCTTCACTCCCGACGAAGTCAACATTAGGGTCAATTCGTACTGGACCATATCACTAGTTCTGAGCGTGAGAATATACTGCTGGCTTTGCACTGGTTCTGACACCATTGCTAGTTGTCACTGGCTGCGCTGGCTGTGGCTTGCCGTGGTATCCTCAATCAAGTCACCCTCTCTCGTCGCAAGCAGACCACCGAAAAGCTCATCGAGATCCAGAACCGATGGAAAGCCGCCGACATTGTGCTGGGCCCGGCAGTTGACATGCTACCCTTGTTTCTCGTGTTCCCAGTCGTTTTGTTCGTGCTGGGGTTAATCGACACTGTCGTGGCGGCTGGCACTGCGCTACATATTGCGCCAATCCCGCTATTTGCTGCAGTCGCTATCTCTCTATCCTGTGTCACCGCAGTATTGGCGTTCTTTGCCAAGACAATATTGCATCCGGGCCTTCGACCTTCCGAGTGGCCTTTTCAGTCACAATTGACCACAGCTTGGCATATGGTCTTTCCGCCTGAACAACCTGTCATCGGCGAGGGAGATCATGCTGCTCAAGTTATCAAGCAGGTCTACCACGAAACGGTGCAGACTATCTATGACGATCAGGCGCTGGACAAGGCAGCGAGCTGTGTATCGAGCCATATTGGACATTACGAAGTCAAAACCGGTCTTTTGTTCCCGGGTCTTCAGGTGTGGGAGACAGAAGTGAAGACTCTTGCACATTTGCTTCTCCCTGAGGCGAGCCTCCGATGCAACTCGACAGCCGCTCATGTCATCATCGAAAACTGGTCTCTTTTCGGCCAATTTTCTGAGGAGCTGCCGTACTCCGATTTTCCACCACAAATGACGCTTATGGAGCCTCTGACAGAGGCGGCTCGTCGCTCGTTGCGGACGTTGCCGAAGAAGAACCTTTGGTTTTCGATTTATCTCAAGGCGATAGCAGTCATCTGCCGCAATTATCATCCTCACCACCCCCCGGTCCCATGTCTAATCGGCGCGAATCCGCGCATCCGTAGTCCAGAGGTGGACTACCTGCTCCGTGGTGTTTTGTTCGATCACCTACGTCATGTGCAGCCGGAGAGTGCCTGGACTGCTGACGAGGTAAACCTCTTTGTGCCGGATCATATCGACACGAGTAACGTTCTGCGCTTCATCTTCTCTCTGCGTGATCCTGATGAAGTCGTCATTTTGGCCTCGCTGCTGATGAGGGCCAAGACACCAGGACAAGTGCTCAGCATTGCAGTCCAACCCGAGTTCTGTACGGACTCGACCGTATATTCCCACCTCGTCGCAAGCTGGGTTCTACAGGCGTTCCAGAGCTTACCGGAACCTCTGCGCAACCTACCGGCAGAAAGGAAGTCTACGTTGAAACAACTGTGCTTCTTCTGCATTCGCACAACCAAGGAAATGCATTGGGCGGCACTCTATACACACCATCTTCGCGTTCTGGAGAGTGCATTGTCTAGCCTTCCCGCCCAGTCCGGGATCCTGGACAGATTGATGCAGGAAGCTGGCTTGGAGAAAACGACTTTTCCTCCGCGCATCTCCGCCGCTCCCCCGCACAGATCTGCTATACGATCATCTTCAACCTTACCCCCGGAGGCGATTCCCTTCCCCAGCCCCATTCGACGCCTAAAATCATTCGTCGCCTCGCCTGCTGGGCATAACGCGTTGTGGATTCCTCCCCCCGCGAGCGAATCGGACGAAAGCACAGCGGATAACTTCCAAGACATATTGGGAATGTACACAGTGCCCGAATAGATTCAATGGACCCGAGCACAGCTCTCGTTGTTTTTCTGTAGCTACATGTACTCTGCTGGAATATCTAATGGGTTTCGAAGTGCATTCTCCTTTGAGTGTACGTCATTGTTTTTCTGTACCTACATGTACTCTACTGAAATATCTACTATCTTTGATGAAATAGCATTCTACCTGGAGTACAAGTCTGCGGGGGAGAAGGATCTCGCTCAATATATAGGTTGTCTGAGCCAACAGGCCATTCCGTCGTAAGGATTCTACATGACAGACGAGTCAACATTACCCAGAGATCAATCATGAATACCACGAGAGAAAGAAAGAGCGCGCCAACGCCAAGTTCATGTTTACTAAATATACGATACGATACGATATCCGAGCTAAATACATGTTCATTGCACCCTCCCAGCCAGTATATCCTCGTCGAACCCCGCATCGGGATTCCCCTTCAACACCGGCTGCGGGGTTCCCGGAGCCCCGTCCTCGAGCACCTCGTCCTTGTCATAATCGTACCCCGAGAAATTCATCACACTGCAACAACAGAGGCTCAGCACCCGCACAACATAACATATTACCCACACGCAGAAAAAACACGTACTAGATGCACCCGTCCGCGCAGCCAACGACGACCTCCTCATGCGACATCGCCATCGCCATGGGATTCTTCTCCGGCGTGGCCATGCCCGCAAACTTATTGGGCAGTTGTCCCTTTAGCCCCCGCGAGTCAGAATACGGCGGCACAGCCAGCGCGCCCCAGATCCCGCTCAAGGGCGTCGCAGCCAGATCGATCTCCACGTCCGTCGTGGGTTCCTTCGTCTCCTCATGCGTCGTCACAAAGATCTGCACACGTAAGCGTTAGTCCGCCGCCCGCAAAAAACTATAATAACATATGAGACACGAACCTTGCGAACAGCACCGACTCGCGAGCTGAACCGCGTCGCAGTGACGACTCTCCGCTTCCGCGGATCCACTGCACCGACGGCAACATCCGTCGGCGTCTCGACGATCCCCACGATCTTTGGCGGCGCAGTCAAGATCGCGGCCCGCCCGAATCGCACAGGAAAGAATACCGGGTCGAGCGCAGTCGGCGTGTTCGTAGTCGCAGACGACACAGACCGGCCCGAGGCAGAAACCGGCGTCCCCGTCCGCGTCGAGATTCCGCTCCCGGTGGCGGACGTGGGCGTCGCGGCCAGACTAAGCCGGTTGGCGCCGTTCTTCGTAGCCGCGGTCATACTGAGGCTCAGCTTAGGCACACCGCCTGTGCTGGATCGGCCGCCGGTGCTCATCGTGCTCACACTCGCACTTAGCCTTCTCTCCGCAGGTGGCGGGATCAGCGAACCTCGCCGCTGAGGTACACCCGGCCGCGCTGCTGACGGCGTTGGCGTCGCCCGCGGGCCTCGACCCGAGACTGAGGTAGACATGGACGACGATCGCACGCTCCCGGTCGACAGCTCGTTGATCGAGAAGTCGACTGCGCCCGGACTGGCCAGCGTGCTCAGTCGCTTGCGTTGACTCGGGGTTTGAGGTAACAGCGACGGCCGCTTCGTAGTCGGAGAGGCGATCGAATTGATCGGCCGTGGAGACTGTCCCTTGGGTGATTTCCCCGAAACGCTGCTGCGCGCTGAAATGGTCCGGCTTCTTGCCATCGGAGGCTTCTCGGCTTCCTTCTCGATGCTCTGAGCCGGAGGAGCAGATTCGGGAACATCTTCACCCTCGCCTTCTTGCCATTGGAGATGGAGAATCACCGATTTAGTGGCGCACTATGACATTAGCTTTGGATCGAGATGCAATATATCTGGGGTACTCACAGTCATCTTGCTCCCCTTGGCAGCAAACCACTGCAACATGTTGTCCGGTGCCCTGCCAACATGGAAAAGCTTCGACATGAGCACCGGATCTCCGCCGCCGAGCTCTGCAAGTCGGAATTGGGAGATCATCTCCCGGCGATCTAGACTCTGGTCAAGTCCATGCGCAAGTTCACGGTAACGAGACCCACGTATGGAGAACACGCGTACTACCCCATCGATCGTAACGCTCACCACTCGTTCGCCCTCGGAGCGATCGGCGCCTGTCGGTCATAAGCGCCAAAAATAGCCAGGGAAAAATAAACACAGCACCTTGAACGATCTGTACACCCACATTGATCGTCGTTTGTTGTCCAAACCGCACAATTTTGCTCCCTGCTCGCCAGTCCCAACACACCAGTGCCTAAATTGATAATCGCGTCAGTTAGCGTCGTTATATTCGCGCACGGGAACACACACCTTGTCGGCTCCGGCACTAACCAAGTTCTTCGAGCTCATGGCCACCGCACGAATGCCATTAAGATGGCCTGCGAGTTGTTGTAGAGGCGTGTACGTAATCGCAGAAAATAAGTGCACGCGCCTACCGCTCTTGGTCAGTGCGATCTCTGAAATCGAAAACCGGAATAACACACCCAACGTCGTGGAATCCAACGACAAATACCTCCTCCCCAGCGAGATAATCCACACAGCTGACCGGCTTCCCGACCTCCAGGCACCGCACCATCTCCCCCTTACTTTTCGCCAGATCCCAGAACCGGATGGTCCCATCGTAGCTCCCACTAATCAGCCGCGTCCCCCGGAGTATCAACACCGTCACGAACGTCGTGTGGCCGTTCAAGAACTTCATCCCCTGTGGTGTACCTGAGCGCCAGTTGCCTTCCCGCCGCGCCAGGGCCCGGTACAGCGGCAGCCACCCGCTTGGATCCGCGGGGGGCGTCGGCGGCGCTGGATCGCCGCGCGTGATCGCAAGGCAGTGCGCGCGCCACAGTGCCGGCAGGCGCGTCAGGTTCGCCCAACGGCGGTTCACCACGGCGCACACACGCAGGAGGTGCGGCACGGGCACGTGCAGTAGCACGCGCAGGGCGAGCGGCGGGGCGAGCGCGCCGACGATATCACGCGCCTTCGTCTGGTACTTCTGCAGCATGAGGATCTGCAGCGGGATGTCGCCGGGGAGGGACACGTCCAGGAGCGTCCGCATCAGCCGCGAGCGCGACGCGCGGGACATCCTGTGGATCTGCGACTGGAGCGCGCTGATGGAGGGGTCCGAAGAGAGCGACGAGTCGAGCCGGTCCACGTCAGGCGGGAGGTAGCCATCCCAGTACCCCCCCTTGCGTCTGCATATGCACTCCATCGCCCCATCGCCCGTGTCGGTAGCGGTTCCTACAGGCCGTGCGCGAAGCATCTGGATCTCGGCCTGCAGGGCGTGTAGCTGCGCCGCGGATGACGCGTGCGCGCGCTCGAGCAGTCTTTTGAAGTGCATGCATTTACGGGTGTGAAGGGTGCGAAGGCCCGCGAGCGCTTCGTCGAACTAGGATTAAAGTTAGAACAAGTACATAAGAGCCAAGCAGAGTCGATAAGGTTGGCAGATTTCCGAGCCCAGTGGACGGACGATATGGGGGTTGCAAAAACCGCGCCCTATCCTTCACTTCACTCCGGAGCGGAAACGGAAACAGGACAGATTCAATCAAATAAACTCGCCTCCTCGTCGACCTCGCCCTCCTCGCCACCGACGCTCGTCCGCCCATCGTCGTCCCAAAACACATCACTCGTGCCGCCTGTCATCACGAGCGCAGCGCCGTTCGAACCAAACGCGTCCCGTTCGTCCCCCTCCTCGAGTGCCTCTTGAAGCGCGAAGGACGGCGGCGTGGTGTGTGCAGGCAGCGGCGCACTGGTGACCCGCCGGGGCGTCCTCTGCGCGGAAACGGAGCGGGGCGTGCCTTTACCCACGACTGAAAGGGATGCGGAGCCCGACACGGAGCGCTTCGGCGTCGAGACAGCGGACGTGGTCATACTGATCTGGATTTTGGGTATAACAAAACCGGAAGGATGTCGTAACGCGAGTGGGAGAGGCGTGGAATGGAATGGGTCGTCCAGGGCGGGGACGGATGCGTTGTTTACTTGAGTCGATGCAGGGTCGGGTATATGTACAACTGAGCGGGCTGAAATCGCAGAAAAAGAGAGAACGATCGTGGGAGCAGTCAGTGATAGAACGAGCACAAGGCGCAAGAGGCTTTCCACACGCGTTGTGTCACAGTGACCTTGTCTCGTCATGTGATAAAAATACTATGAATATATTGTACACTGTGGGCTTTGCGTGGCAATCGTATCGAGTCGTAAGTAAGTACTGGAATAATATACGACACACAGTCCAAAAAAATCACACTAGTCCTGCATCGCAGCCGTGGTGGTAGTCGGCGGACTAACACTCCTCGAATCGACCTGCATCTTCTCGTCACCCGTGGGCTCTGGACTCAGAGTCGTGATAGGCGGAAGGTTCAATCCCATCCCGTTGTTGCCCACAGGCCTCGGGTGCGGCGGGAACACAGCTGGAAGCGGCGGGCTCGCCGGTGCGTGGTTTTGGGTGTTTTCTGGCGGAGATCGCGACACAGACATGCCCTGCGTGCGGAACGGGATGGGCGACGGACGAGTAGACGGAACGGGCGTCTGTCTGTGCTGGGATGCGGACGAGGACGACGAGGAAGTGGACTCGATGCGGCTGCGCTTGCTCACATCGTCAGCAGGCGCCGGGCTCAGCGGACGCTTCAGATTAGCCAGACCCATCAACGCATCGGCAACGCCCGGTTCGTCGTAGTCGTCGTCGACGACTCGTCTTGGAGGTCCGCCAACAGACGAGCGCCCAGATGATGAGCCGGCTGGGCTGTGAGTTGGAATGTTTTTGTGCTGCGTCTGTATGTGGCTGCTGCGCTTCCGCTTCGGTTCTGGTGGAGGAACAACAGCAGGCAGCGGCTCCTCCTTCATGCCTCGCCTCCTCTTGTCATCGTCGTAGAACGTGCTATTGGTCGGCGTGGGCGTCGTCGTCGTCGCTGTCGTCGTTGCCGACGATGCCGAGGACGAGGGTGGCGGTGGCTGGGCGTCCCAGCGCGGGTCGTACCGCTGCTTCACGGCATAGCGGGGACTGGCCGGGTTCTCCCGCACAGCATACGGCTCTCGGTACCTTCTCTCGCGCTCCCAATCGCCGCGTCTATCCTCTCCGCGTCTCTCCCAATCTTCAGCGCGCGGTGATGGCCGGCGCTCGCGCGGCTCTCTCTCGCGCGGCTCCCTCTCGCGTGGTTCCCTGGGGAAACCAGGTGAAGTAGCACGCCGAGAAGAAAGGAGTGCTGGATGGGGAGGGGGCGACATTGAGGCAGAGACCGCGCGGTGGCGAGCGAAATGCCGCTCCTCGGCTGCAGCCGGAACAGGATGGTGCAACAGCAGACTCTGATGCCCCAAACCCCTCTCCCGTCGATCGACAGGGCGGTCAACATCCATAGGCGCCAGTACCGTCTGGCCCGGCACAGGCTGATGGCGACTGTCATCCAGAATCAGGGGTGGAGGAGGCCCGCCTCGGAACGGCCCGGCGGTAGGCGACCCGCCGCGCTGTGTCGGCGGTGGAAGCGAGATCTCGTTGTTGATGCTCGATGGTCGCCCGAGCGGAAGATTGAGATTCAGGGTCGTCGGGGGAACAACCGCACTCGCGTAGGCCGTCGGATGTACATCCTGTGGCCCAGGCGCCGCACCGAGACTGCTCGCGCCACCGTTCGCTTGTGCAGTCTTCAGCAATGCCAGCCGGCCTTCGATCACCTTGTTGCCCGGATCCAGCTCGCTCGCCCGCGCATACGCATCGATCGCGTCCGAGATTTGGTTGTTACAGCTCTCATACAACGATCCCAAGTCAAACCACACCTCCGAGATATACGGATTGATCCTGATCGCACGAGAATAAGCGTCCAAGGCGTCGCGGTACTGATTGATCTGGAAGTATAGCACGCCGATGGAACACCAGAATGTCGGGTTGCGCCCATCTCGGTACACGGCTTGCTGGTACGCCTCATAGGCTTTGTTATACTTTTGGCCAGCCATATAGGCCCGGCCAAGCAGGTACCAAGATTGCGCATCGGAAGGATCTACGCTGTTCTGAATGCCATTGAAGCGAGTCAATCACTATCACTCACCGGCCTCCAAACTCTTCGTCAGGTACTGTATTGCCAAGTCCTGGTTCTGGAACGTGGATCCGTCTTGGTGATACAGCCATCCCAGCTGCTGCAGAACTTTGGCGTGTGTCGGATTGTCAGTAACAACCCGTTCATAAGCATCTCTTGCGCTCGCGTGCTGTTCATTTCACCGTGTTAGGCTTTGATCGGCCCAATAGAGACATTGACGCACGTCTTTCTGTTGTTCATACACATGACCAATCTGGAACCAAATATCCGCATGCGCCAGCGGACTCGGCGGATTCCGCAGAATCCGGTCGAAACACTGCAAGGAATCGTCGAACTTGCTCTGCTGCTTGTAGATAATTCCCAGACGGAACAGTATCTCGTTCGCCTTGTCAAAGTCTAAGTCTAGTTTAATTGAGGATTGTTTGCGTGAGTATCGTTAGAAGAAATAGGACACACCTTTGTCCATGCGCAGGACCGACGAGAACGCCTCCTCGGCATGATCCAGCGAGCCATACCGGTCATACAGGATGCCGATGCCGTACCACAGCTTCGGGTCCTCCTAAGTGCATCATGAGCATAACCGAGCAAGCATCCTCTGACGAGCAACGGACCTTGGGATTCGGAAGCAGATATAGGGCCTGCTGGTATGCCGAGTATGCTTTCGGAAGGTCGTCTTGCATGAGGTAACAATGTCCTGAGACTAATGTGAGTGTCCCAGAGCAGTAAAGACCAGGCTAAACACACACCCAAGGCACTCCAAACCTCCCCGTTGTCTTCCTGCAACTGCAGTACACGCTGGAAGTAGTCGATCGCCTGCAAAGATGGCATTCAAGATCAAGCAGTTAGAGGGAGACATGAAGACACACCTTAGGGTAGTTCTCCTTACTCCGCGCGATGCCCGCTACTTGCGTCAACCCAGCGAGACTCAAGGGGTTGTGTCGCAGCGCATTTTCGTACGCCGACAATGCATGATCCAAATCGTTCATCTGTTCGGCTACCCGACCTATCCATGCGAGGGTGAGCCAGGAACCGGCTGCGGTAGTATTAACAGCTCACCAATCAACAACCACGTCTGCTCGTTTGCTGCCGCGAGCTTGTGTATCGCGGACGACGGGCCGGGGCCTGCAGTAGCAGAAACTCCGTTGGAGACGCCATTGGCGCTCCCATTCGTCAGAGGGGGCGGAGGGCCGCCCTGGATGGGCGACACAATGGCTGAGATGTGGGAAGAAGACGAGCCGTTGGGGTGCGGGTGGTGGGGAACATGGGACTGGGAGTGTGAGGAGTGGGGTAGGGGAGGGGGGTGTGAGTTGTGGGAGGGATGGGAGGAGAGGTGGTGGTGAGCGGGCTCGCGCGGCTCCCTATGCGAATCCCTGTGTGATTCCCTATGCCGAGTGGACATTGCTGGCGGTCAAGTGCGTGCGTGAGTAGCAACAATTCGAAACAGCGGAAAAGGAAAGAAGTCGCACGATCAAGGTCTCGGCGGCGCTTTATACTGCAGCCAGCTGTCTAATCTTCCTTCAATCCACTTCCGATTCCGACTGCCCCCAGATCTGGAACAGCATGCTTCTTTTTTGATCCCGCATAGGCTGGCAGGCACGTTGCGGCTGGGATTGAGATCTACCGCCCGATCCGCTTCCGTCCGCAATAAGATCGGGAGCCGGATCTGGAGGGGGCAAATCACTCTTCTTGCCCTATCAATCGCCATGCACATTTCAAATCCGACTATTCGCGTGTGACCCGTTCGGACGCAATTCAGACTTGTGTTTCTCAGTCCCCTCTTCCGGCAACTATTTCTCACGCCCGAGAAAACTATTTATGTCTTCTGTGCTGTTACAGGAAGCTAAGAATGCCGCTTTGCTGTTTAAGGACAAACAAGCTGCCATCAGAGGCTGTGCGCTGGCGTCATCCATCAACTGTCGCTGTCAACCGGCACCCGCGGCTAGCGGGCTTCTCGTCTTCGATTCCATCTTCCCAATTACGTAATCTTGTTTCCACAGCACCTGCCAGCCTGGCACAGCCACCGCACGTAGCCCCATGCGCCCACCTGATTCTTGTCAACTGTTATGATACAGCTTGACACCCCTCGGAACTTTTGTTTCATAAACAGAACAAACGGACACGTCGTTTGTCGTTCCCTGTGATACAACGTGTGTTCTTGATTTCTACAAAGCAAGCTTTGCGGAGATATGCGTCTGGTGAACATGCCTTCGACTCCCTTCGAGCGGTCAGCCGTCCTCCAGACCCCCCTCCCCCCACACGACCCCCCTCTCACGAAAACGCACCCCTGAGCACGCTGTCAGGCAATTCCGGGGATCAATAATCTCCCGCCAGTTGCAAGATGCGCTTCAGGAAATAAGGTATATCAGGGACCGCAGGGTGCACCATTCCCATCATCGGCCTAGTTTCATCCATCAGAACTAACCAATCTCGTTACCCTCGCTCCCTTCAACGTAACTTGGCACGCAGCCACCGTGTTCTCCCGCATATGCAGTCCAAGTATGTTCTGTGCATGTGGTTGCCAGGATCCCAGACGCGCTGAGACATCGGCTATTTCCACATGTCCCTCCATGGACATCCATCCATCTCTTCTCGGATCCTTGGACAACGTCTCCGGTCGGAAGCACTCGAGCTACGGTCGTCGGTTGCATCCATTCATCTGATCATCTTCCGTCGTCCGACCGGCTACTCAATTTGCCCCACCTGAATTGTAAATGACTTCGGGTATAACGAGACGTTGATAATCATTACGCACACACATGGCCGTGGTAAAACGGAGTAAGACGGCGAGCCGGACGGGGAACTCTTGGATGGATGTTCTTCGGAGCAAAAAAGAATGGAATTGAAAGAGGCAAGTGACACGTAGGTATCCTGGCACTCAACACAGACGTTATTTCCCTCCTCCTGCCGCCCCTCCTGCTGCTTTCTCCTCCTCTTTTTTCTGATCGAGTCAGGGATCGATGTGAGACGATCGCACGAGAGAGTGCCTACCTTCTGCTTAGCCCTCAGGGCGTCAGCGTCTCTGCACGGATTTGAGTGAAAATAGCTCAATCCGCGGGAAAAAGAACCCTACGCCTCCTTGCGCTTGGCCAGAGAACTGCTGCTTTCTTTTGGCTTAGTCTTGCTCGCAGCTGCCTTCTTTTGCGCCTTCGCGCGGTCTTGATCTCGCTGGTTCCCTCCTGCGCAGTCAAGCCGATGAATCAGGGCCAATCTCGGACAGCACCCGAATCGAGCACGCACGGGTCATCCGACGGTCCTGTTCACACCAGAAACCCAAGCAGGAAGAGAAGGAGTACGATGCGGGCGGGCGCGATGGCGGAGTTTTAATCTGAGCCTGAATCCGCGCATCGCGTGTCCGTTATCGATTCGTGTCGGATCATGGAACGATGCACAGCCCTGTGACAGCCGCGGCACCGGAAATGGCAGATTTCCCGTCTTCCCACGAGGCCAGGCGGAATTTCCCCGCACTTGGTCCCGTAACAGCGGGCAAGGATCGTGTCACGCAACCTTCCATCTAACAATAAGGCAGTCCATTCTGGCAGGCAGCGGCGTCAAACAGCCTACCATATGGAGGTTGAAAGCCAGTTCATGATCCTCAAACGAGGGGGATGTCATAAAGGCATCTTGAGCCAAGTTGAAAGCGGCCTCAGCTGGATCTTAAAATGGACTGGCATGGCAGGTCGCCGACGATGCCCTGAACCCTGAACGGAAATTGCGAGATGAGTCAAGACAGAGATCGATGGACGGCCCAGCCCGCACGTTTGGCTTGCGATCACAGCCCGCGTAGAAACGAACCAGCGATGCTGAGCTTTACTATAGCTCATCCACGTTCCGGGTCCTTCGCAGAAGGATGTGGCGTTCAATGCGGAAGCTGCCGTGCTGTGAATAACTGCCATTTCCGTAGGTTCCTGTAGGTAATGAGAGCCATAGCTTATGTATATAGCCAGAGCAATCCATGTTCTAGACCGTCTCATAGCGGCCATTATCGAATTTTGAGTGCCCCGCCCTCGATCCGTCTCCGTCTGGTCGGCGTTGCCTCCACTTCCTCTTCCGGCGCCCATCGAACCCCCTGTTCGCGGCGGCGGCCCCAGCTCGGCGTCGGCGCTGGGGACAAGAACCCCCCAAAGTGCTGCGCAGGATGCGGGTAGGCCGGCGCAGGATGTGGTGCACTCACAACCGGATGCGGGACGTGCCGCGAGCGATAGAGCGACAGCAGGGCGTTCACGAAGACCGTGAGGAACGAAAGCGAGCTGAGTGTGAATGCCTGTTGGCATATCCGAGGGAAGTCGCGAAGAGAATGCATCCGAGGCAAGAATCAGAAGCACCACAATCATTCGTGTGGGCGAGAAGTAGCCGAAGCCGAAGTCCAGGGCCGTATCGCAAGTCAGATTGGGACAACCCAGAACGTCAGCGGAAATACACGCAATTACCGACCGAAGACGTCGTGAGAGAGAGAGCGATCCGAAAGGGAAGTCAAGGAAGAAGCACAGAAAAAGGTTTCGTCATACGTGAGAACTCCACGGCAAACATAGAATCGATATCACTCGCCAATGTTTTCCAGCTGATTGGTTCCACGAACCCGTTCACGACCTCCGCGATCATCTCAGCTCCGACTCTGGCCCTTCCCACAATGGTGGGATCGCGTGACATGCATGTTGCCCAGGCTGCACACTGATCGGCAACGGCCGGGATAGGGTTGTCGCAAAAGTTGTTCCTATGCTGTAAAGCGCACATGGCGATGTCCTGCACCAAATCTGGAAGGAGAGAACATCAGCGCTGTTACGCCACACCATCAATATGCTTACCTAGAGAATACTCCGATATTCTTTCTTCGACATCTCGTTGCACAGTCCAAATGAACTGCACAGCCAGATACAGAAATAGCAGTATCAACGATAGATTGAAGAAAAACTGCAGATATCTGTGTGCCCTTGATCGAACACGCTTCCCGCAGCGGCAAGACAGATGGTGACACGTACCCGAGCAGGATGTATGGAACATCGGATGGTGGGGGCGCAGGCGCAGGCATATTGAGCGTGTAGTGATTAGATGTCCGCGCTCGCCTTGGCGTACGAAACAGTTGCTGATTGTGGTCCTCGTCCTCGCTCTCTGACCAGGCATCACCCTCCGCCGGGTCCTCGGATATCTTGGAGACAGGAAGCGGTTCTTGCATCCGCTTCTTGAAGATCCTCCGCAGTCCCCCCATGGCAACCTTCCGCATACTATTTGGAGCGATAATGCCATCCTCGCTCTCGTTCTCACCCTTGCCGTCCTTGCCACCTTCCACGGACGTCATGGACACTTCCACGCTCTGCTTTGGCGGACTCGCTTCTCCCATATCGACCTCGGGCATGGGTGCCGGCGAAGGAAACGCCTTGATCGGAGAGAAGCTGGCCGGTGGTGCCCATGGGTAAGGTGCGGCGGGCGGACGCGTGGGTGTGTCGAAGATAAACGGGATGTTCTGGTTTTGACCGAAGATGGGGTTGTGCAAGGGCGTTAGAGGCGTTGGAGTCATAGCATCATGAGGACCTAGAGAGAACACGTGAAATTAAACCGATTCCGGGGTCAATAACGAGACCGACGTTTTTTGGGCGTCGAAGGGTCGTCTTCTCCGCTGGACGAAGCCCAGGCGGGTGTCGTCTGAGGACGGGAGGTGAACTCAAAGTCCATCGGCGCCTCAGTTGATCGGATCGAGCGCGTACGTGAGTGCATAGTGGCTGGGGGCTGAGCGCGTCGTGTGCGGAGGGTGCGGCAGCGCGACGAGCAAGCAGCGCGTTGCGGTTGAAGGGGCCAAGTCACCACGTGTCACGCCACCGTGACGTGAGTCAACCAAAATTTCAAATCTGACGCGACACGCCTTTGGACCCCGACCACGATGCTGCGCTCAGCTCTGCGCCCCCTGCTTCGCTCTTCACTTCCATGCCGACGCGCATACCACCCTCTGGCCGGTTTCGGCGCGCCCCAGGCGAATCTGGTCCCCATAGTCATCGAGCAAACGGTTCGACGCGGAATACTACATGGTATTGCGGCTCAAACTCATATGTTTTCAGGGCAGAGGCGAGCGCTCGTATGACATATTCTCCCGACTGCTGCGTGAGCGCGTGATCATGCTCTATGGTCCCGTCCGTGGAGCTCGTTTTTCTGCTCTGATCGCGCTGTTCTGATTGGCCTGTGTGACTTAGATCCGAGACACAGATTCGACACTAACTGTTGCGCAACTCCTGTTTCTTGAGGCCGAGGATACGTCGAAGCCGATCCACCTATACATTAATTCGCCAGGAGGCAGTGTCACGGCGGGACTCGCGATCTACGATACAGTGGGTCTAGTCTCACGCCGACGTCATGGCTGTTGTCTCATTCTCACTGGTAGATGCAGGTCTGATTTTGTGTGCCTGGCCTACCGCACCGGAGATTGAATCGCGCGCACAGTATGTTTCAGCGCCTATTCACACCTACTGTATCGGGCAAGCGGCAAGCATGGGGTCGCTGTTGCTCTCCGCAGGCGAGAAGGGCAAGCGCCACTGTCTTCCGAACGCCAGCATCATGATTCATCGCACGTCTTCTTTCCTCCGGCCATTCATTAGCGGACTAACATACATCCAGAACCATCCGGTGGCGCCTCGGGCCAAGCATCTGACATCGCCATACACGCAAAGGAGATCCTGCGTATCCGAGAGCTCCTAACCGGCATCTATCAAAAGCACTGTGCTAAAGGCGGCGAGAGCCGAGAGGACGGCTTGAGGAGATTCGGTACGGGTATACTCTCCGGCCTGTGGTGATCTTCTGACCGTGGCTGCACAGGGGACGCGCTCGAGAGAGATTACTTCATGACAGGTACAGCCTTGTCGTCATTGAGTTTGAACGTGGATCACTGAATAGCTTTGCAGCGCAGGAGGCTCTGGAGTTCGGCATCGTAGATGCTATACTAGAAAGAAGCCCCAAAACCGAGTCACCCGGTCCATAGTTCAAATGGCAAATGCGACCCGTTCCTGAGCGTGTTTGATCTCATCGACCAACATCCAGCGCTCTCCGTGCGATCGATGGTCCTTCTGGGTCGTCCTCAAGGGCCAACTACCCCCAAATGCGATTGCATACTAACGCTAAGAAACTAGGGTAAAGCTGTGGCGACGTCCTCTTGGCCTCTTAGCACATAATGCGCTGAAGATCGATGCATTAATCACAGTCGTTTCGCAAGCACGCCGCCGTTCAGAGGACGTTCTCACAAGTGGCTGGCGGAAGCTCGTGTCTTGCTCGTGTTCTTCGCGTCCGCCGTCACTGCTTGCCTGTTCAGTCGGTTTCTCGAGCGCAAGCCTAATCCGTCACCGCCACTGCCTAGTCTCTGGCTTGCAGTGAAGGCTAGGTTCTAGTACTCGGTCTCGGTGGGCATGGTCCTCCTCGCACTTTGTGCCTTGAACAAAGACCAGCTGAGCGGGGACCTTTCAAGTCGTCGGCGCCCTCACTCTCACTCTCACTCTCGCCTTCGATTTGTTCGCCAGACTTACCCTGACTTGCCAGAGAGAAGCCTGAGCGGTACCGCAACTGGAGAGCTAGTGGGAGCGAGAAAGCGTAGTCTTTACACAGGTGAGCATCTAGCATCTTGGCGCGCTTTCTTCGACTTATCGTGGCCAGTTGTCGGAACCGGACAACCACGACGGCCTGTGTTGGAATGATTTGGTAGAGCCGCTACTAATGATAATCCTTCTAGTTAATCGACCCGCCCTGCTGGGCTTTCTCGAGCGGTGTCTCTGAGTCGTTCGGCGTCCGCCCTGTAGACCAAGCACAGGACATCCGTGACTAGCTCAGCTGCTTTGCGGCCCATCGGGCTAGCGTGATGTTTCCTGCAGTGGCGAGCATCGGATACGTCAGCGAGCGCCGGACATGTCAGCCTATACTGATGATACGGCGTCATTGCGCCTGATTGGCTGAACCTGTCCAGCTATAATGCATGCACCCGGACCGTCTCACCCGCGGCGTCCAGTCTTCGTGTCCGTCTGACGTCCCGCGGAGCAGCAGGAGCAATGGACTGTCGGCGATCTCAGATCGGTCTACGCGACGCTTGTGTTCCCGGATACCCCGGGCTCATGCGACCCCCGACTTGTGCTGCAATGTGCATCCCATCGTTGATGTCTGGAAGATGTCCCTGCGATTCTCGGCGTACGCGCGCTCAGTTGCTCTCGACCCGCAGCAGTGGTTGCCAAGAACGCGGGCGGACGACTTCTCCCCCTGCATTAGGTGTGTCTGTCGAGGCGGACATCTCGGGCCGCAGCCGCTGCTGGTGCAGACTCGTAATAGCACCCACGCACTTGTGCGCGCACGTCGCGTATGCAGGACAGGATCCTTACGCACTTCGCACTCGGCAACGGGACACTCGGAATGGCCGCCCGCGCATTGCCGGGCAGTCGGCTGACCTGGCCTGGTTGACGTCGGGGGCAATTGCCGGTGTGTCGCCTGAGGCATAAGCGGTGGCCATCGATCGACGCTTCTGAGCCCTCCCAGCCTGGCTGGCGTGGAAGCGCCACCACGGCCGTAAGGGCTGTTTGACGGACGGCCTGGGTCCCGAGCACACAATGCCTCCGATTGCGAGCGAGATGTCGCCGTCCCCGACCCTAGGCCGTTTGCGGCGATCCACGGCGTATCGCCGCCCCACCCCAGCACACCCCCTGATTGGGCACTGGCGATCGTCGACGATCGTGTATCGGGAAGTGGAAGAAGAAGATGGATGCATGTCCAGTCTAGACTCCTCGAGAAGGACCGGGTGTTCCTCGGCCAGAAACATCTCAGCAGGCCAGCTGTTACTTGCTGTGAGGGTCATAACTCTGAGGTCTCGTGATCGTGGAGCGGGGCCCCCTTATCTTGCTCTCCAGTTGTACTGTATCATAGTTCGTCGCCCGACTCGGGGTCCTTTCTCCCTCCCCTCCCTTCGGCCAACACTCGGAGGACAGACAGTTGGCTTGTTAGATTCGTTCTGCTGCGCCCATCTTGAGCGTATCAGGGGAGTATCTTTAACGGACTGCTTTATAGTGATGCATGTACCCGTACTGCCAATTCTACCTTGTTCGATCAGCACAGCCCTCGTGTCGTGATGGTTCTATCCTCCCACGCCGATGTGCCCGCAGAGCTGTGTTGGGTTGGAGTGACAGACGCCGCCCAAATGCTAGACACAACACAGAGGGGCTGGGAGACCCTCCGGCGCCGTCTTTCATCCTCCCCACCCCGCCCTTCCACAGAAAATCCGCCCAGCCATGCCACGACGCCTCCGCCCTGCGCTGCTCTCGGCAGCGCTGCTGCAGCTGCTTCTCTGCCATGATGCGTATCCGGACACGCCCACAAGGCTCTCCGTGCCCGTCACGCTGCACCCAAACGGGGCATACTCAGTGCAAGTGAACATGGTGCGCGCATACATCCAGGGTCCCAGCCAATCACTTCATCAGCGTTTAGTCGACACCCAGCTCGGCTGCCCCTCCGCAGTCCCTAGTGTTCGCCCTCTCGACATCCAGCGCGTCCGTCCCGTCCATCTAAGTCTAAATTAACGTACAGCCCCCCGCTGATCTCGCCGCTGCCCTACAGGCTAAGCGCCGTCGCGGGCCCCGCGTGCAGGACGTGTGGCGCGGGCGCACCGTGCGTGGTACCCTGTCACTCTCCACGCGACTCACACCCCGCCCAGCTACCTCTCCGGATCAGCAGGTGCACAGGCCGCTTCAAGCATGCCGTCGCTTCACGGGAATGCGAGCGGCTGGCTGACGCACGAGGACTGCAGCCTCGCTCTGGACGGGGGATCTGCGTGGAGGCAAGTCCTCTTCTTCTTCTCCGTCTCCTGATCCGGGCCTAGTCCCGGGTCCCAGGAGCAGCACCGATAGCAGCAGCTCACGAACTTCTTCTCCCCCACAGCTATCCTAATCACACCGGTGCATCGCGATCCGCTGTTCTCCTGCGCTTAAATTTATCTGATCTTCCTCCGGGGCACCGCCAGTGCTCGTAGCCGACTCCGCGTCAAACGCGTTCTTCTTCTCGAACCTGTCTGGCACGCTCGGTCTCGGGCCGTTTCCCTCCGCGTATTCGCCCGCCGCGAACTGGCTCGCGGACAATCCGTCTCGGGGCCAGTTCACGTTTGGGATGGCGCTGAATGGGCCCGGATCCGATGCAGGGGGAGGAGGAGTCCTGCATTGGCTACACACAGATCCGAGTGCGTATCAGGGCGAGATTGCGACCAGGAAGATGTTGCCGGGCGCCACCGCCTCGAGCTGGGTGGTCCCCTTTGACGCCTGGAGCGTCACCGGTCTGGGCAACAGCTCTTTCAACGTGTCGCAGACCGGGCGGGGCTGTTCGCCACGATCGAGCCGGCCTACACTGGGTTCGTGTTTCCGCAAAGCGCCACGCGCGCGATCTGTAAGACGCAATGAACACACTCGACACCCGTGCGATCTAACGAATCTGCTGTACATAGACGCGGACATACCCAACTCGGATCCGGGGGGCCTAACTCCGACAGCGCCAGCGCCAGCAGCCTCTCTCGCGAGCGTGTTCCAGATCCCGTGCGATACGGATATCGCGCTGGCCATTACGATCGGCAATGTCACCACCACGCTCTCCGGTTCCTCGCTGGTCGTCCGCCAGACGGACGGATCTTGTGTCGGGGCCATCCAAGAATGGACCGATCCGAGCCAAACGACGTACCTTCTCGGGGCCCCATTCGTAGCCTCGGTCTACATGTGAGTCGATTCGTTCGTTTGTTGACTCGACTCAACCCAACCGGGAATCAGTCTCCCCCAATCTAATCTAATCCGATCTCAGGATCTTCAACTACCCCGCGTCGGGCGACAGCACAGTGGGCGTCGCCGCGCGCCGCAGTCCCGCGCGCGGACTCTCCGGCGGCGCCGTCGCAGGCATCGTACTCGGCTCACTCATCCTGCTGGCCCTCGCCGTGATCGCGGTTGTGCTGATCCGCCTCGTGCGCGCTCAGAATCGCCAGAAGCACCACGAGCACCACCACCACCACCACCGCCTCCGCACCAGGCACCTCAAGGACCAGCCGAGCCTGACGGACGTGACCCCGTTCCTGCTGGCGTCCCCGTATGCGGACGCGCAGGACGCCCGGGGGAGCTATCACAGCAGCCGCAGCTCGCTCGGCGGCGGACACACTGCAGTACCGCCTCACTCCGCGGCCTCCTCCTCCACCACGTTTAGCTTCGCGCCCTTGTCGCCGGGATTCCTGCCCGTCTCGTTCGACCTGCGCATCTCGGGACAGAGCCAGGGCCAGGCGGTTCCTCCTCCTCCTCCCCCCGCCTCATCGCAGCTCGCCCCGCCGCCGTATGCAGCCCCGTCGCCGTCGACTTCGACGCTCTTCATACCACTTCCTGGCGACCGCAAAAGCCGACTGCCGCACTGAATGTATCGTATCGTACATGTCTCAGACAATTATTGGTATTACGCAGACCCGTTGTATTCTTCACAGTAAATCGTACAAATAAGATAAAGCACAGCAAAGCGAGAGTGACTACCACAGCAGCGACGGCGAAGGCTATCGTCCGGGCGGCGGTGGCCCCCACATCGGTCCAGAAGACTCGCTGGCGAGTTGTCAGTTCCACACCCAAGGATCGAATTATGTAACCCATCAAGCACGCACCCGTAGGGCCCGCTTCCCAGCCTCTGATGGCGCATCTGGGGAGCGCCGCCGGCGGGCATGATCTGTGTCTGTGAGTACCTCGGCCTGGGCGCACAGCAACGCCAGATTGCTATTGTCCCACGAGTATGAGAAGATCTAGTGACTAGAAGCCAAGCAGACCAACGACGCACATTTCGCCAAGAACCAGATGACCAGGATGCCAATAAGCCCTGCAATCACAGCAATGGGGATCGCGATCTGCAGGTTCTGCACGAACCACGCCTAGCACACAAACAAAAATGGCTGATCAGTTTCGGGTCTTGCCTTGTGCTTCCCGGCTTCTTCGTACCTTGGCGGTGCTAATGAGCCCACTGGACTGGCACTTTCCTGACGCACAGACACCGCCATATCCTAGCAAGGGAGGGGGCGGTGACATTCAGTCTACTCGTGCGAAACACTAGCAAGGTACTACGCACCACACGGAGAACCATCCACGAGCAAAGCGGTTAGCACGATACACTGGTTCGCGCGCGACGGATCCTGGCACGAAACCTGACATGTCCCGGAGCTTGTGCTCGGACACGCTTGCGTCAGATTCATCGACGCGCCGAGTTGCTGGCACTGCACTACGTCGTCGAATCACCCATCAGCTCACACACCCCGAAGGAAACGGGATGCTCACGTGCTACCGATGTGCATTGTCCGCTCGCACACGCCATGCCCCCGGTCCCGCAGCTCTGCCCGTTGGGCATCACAGCGTCCACCGGACACGCAGCCGAGTTGCCCGGACACGTCTCCGCAACGTCGCACTGCGCGTCCTTCGACGGCCGGCACACCTGGCTCGTCGGCGCAAACGTGCACTGCGAGGTGCAGCACGGGCTGCTGTCCGGATCGCACACCGCCCCCGCCGCGAACTTGCATGTCTTCGAGTCGCAGCACGGCGACGACACGCCCTCGCCCGGGTCGCACTCCTCGCCCGCCTCGACAATCCCGTTGCCGCACATTTGGAGCGAGATGACGCGCTGGTTCGTCTGGTTCGGATCCTGCAGGCAGGTGCTGTTAGTGCGGTACGCGCTGGCGGACATCAGCGAGCCTGGAAGAACCGATCAGCATACTTTCCAAGATAATCAAGTCCCAGCCGACTGACAGACATTGCCCAGCGAGCACTGGGAGAACACCGTCTCGCCCTTCTCTGCCACAGGACTCATGATGAAGCCCGCATTTGCATTGCACGTCGTTGCCGTCAACGGACAACATGTGCTCGTAGAATTACACCCGGCAGCACACTAGCGTATGCCGTTAATGGAAAAAAGACGGACTCTTGGCTTTCATTCGCCACTTACATCGTGCTGGAATGCCGATCAGACACGCAAGCTAAAAGGCTGATGACGGACTCACGATGGCACCAAAGTTGTGTCCGATCTCATGAGCGACGACCTGCCACTCCGTCAGCCCTGCAGTCGAGACCGCCGTCCCAGAAACTACTGAGGGCGCAGAACCCGACGCCGACTGCTGACACCTGTTGTGAAACCAAATCAAGTTTGAGTGAGTGAGTGCGCGCACACTGAGCGGAAAGCATGACTGACAAGGTCGCAAGCCAAGCGATGCCGACCTCGGTGCCAGTGGGGCACCCACTCATCAGATGCCACAGGCCCGCTCCGTCGGAGCCTTTGTTACCACGCCACTGCGAGAAGAGCGACAGCCGGTCATTGAGTGTCACATTGCTACAGTCGACGTTCCAGGGGAACGACACGTTAGCGGGACTGGGACATCTTTGCACGGCATGAGCCCCTGATCGCACAGCGCTTGACACAGCAGTTGACAGGCTCACATCGGGTCCTGGATCTGCAGCTCGACGATCCCCAAGCTTACATTGAATGTCGTCTTGTAGAGCGTGCTCGCCGCGTTGAAGTTGTTCAGGATCTGCGTCGTCGCGTTTTCCCGAGAGCCGTATTTCTGCACGTACACACAATCGGCTGCGACGCCCATGTAGAGCTAAGCGGCCGTAAGTCAAGTCATGTCATGAACGACATAGCACCACGCGACTGCGACGCACCACTTTCTGTGACTTGGGACATCCAGCTCGCTGTCCGATGGAATCTACGAAACTGTGAAATCGATCAGTGGGAGAATCGGCTACGTCCGCAATCTGCGACGAACTTGCTCCCCATCTCTGTCCCGACGACATCGTCTCTCTTGGACAAGAGTCCGAATCCGGTATCGAAGGACCAGGGATTGGCCGCCGACTGTTTCGCGAGGATGCGATTCTGCGCGGGATCCGTGTTGAATGATAAGCCGTCGTGCCCGCACGTCTGCGCAGCCGGCACATATCGGTCTAGGCCCATAGCCACCCGGTGTTCGTCCTCCGACATCACATCAGACTCGCGCCAAATGACGAGCGCCGAGTCGAGCATGTCCGCCTCCGCGCTGTCGGGATCGACATCGCCCGGGCGCTTGTGGCGCAGGTAGTTCTCCCTCGTGGAGACGTGGTACACGACGCCGCGCACGGAGAAGGCGCCCTCGAACACCGGCGCGAGGCCCTGCCCGACGTCGCCCTGGTGGTGCACCATGACGCGTGCCCAGCCGAGCTGCGCCGGGTGCGCGGCGGGGTCCACGCCCGCGGCGTCCATGCGCAGCCGCGCGTCCGTGTGCTCCGGGTGCACGACATCGCCGACGTACGCCTTGACGGACTCGCGCAGCAGCGGGCGGGTGCTCGCGACGTGCGCCGCGCCATCCGGGCCGGTCGAGTAGAACGTCACGCGTGCGGCAGGGTGGATGAGGTGCTCGTTCGGCTGGAGATGCAGGAAGAACGTCTCGCCGAATGCCGTAATCGTGAGCCGGAACGAATCGTCGAAGCGCAACGTCGTCGATCGTGGTAACAAGGGTGCCCGGAGACTGAACGGCGAGATGAGGGCGGACGACTGCGCCCGACGCGGCAGAATCTCGAGAGCGAGCGTGGAGGGGTTGGCGACCCGCTTCAGTGGTCGGGGGGACACGCTATGGGCTGAAAGAGTGTGAGTTCATTGATGCATCTAGCACGAGACTGTGGATATACGCACCAGCCGTTGGTGCCGTCCATGCAAGTAAAAAGGTGACGACCAGCGCAAGGGTTCTCGGTGAGTAGAAGAGCATGAAGAAAGAGAGGAAATGCCCGCTGGCGAGGCCAATCCAAAGTGAAGGTAACTGGGTCAGCCAAGAAGCGGAGATCAATTTGATGCCGAGTCCAAGACAGGCTGATCGACGCACAACTGACCCTCGCCCAGACCAACGCGAGTTAAGGAGAATGTATATGAAGATGAAGGAAAATGAGAACCGGTCCCGCAACAAATACATATGTTGATCTCGCGCTCGTAACCAAGAAGGCCAAGGCCCCGACCGTGGACTTAGACACCATCGCCGCGCTCACATCATGATCGATATCGTGTTATTACACCCAAGTTACAGCTCGGTATTGGAGTACTGTATTAAACCGATCAGGAATTCTTATGCGGCATGACCATCGTCGGCGGCAATGTTGTGACCGAGGGAAGGAGAGACATGGCACCTGTACGGGCGTGCTGCTGCATCACCAAATCCATGCAGACCAGCGCCGCCATCGCTTCGACGATGGGCACCGCGCGCGGGACGACACACGGATCATGTCGCCCTCTCGCAGCGAGCTCACCCGACGACCCATCGTAGCGCACCGTGCTCTGCGCCTGGGTGATTGTTGCCGGTGGCTTGAAGCCGACCCGGAAGTAGACTGGCTCGGCATTGGAAATTCCGCCCTGGATTCCGCCGCTTCGGTTGGAAAGCGTGCCCAGCGATCCATTGCTCCTCTTGATGAAGGCGTCATTGTGCCGAGAACCAGGGATACAGGTTCCGGCGAATCCCGAGCCTATCTCGAACCCTTTTGTGGCAGGAATGGACAGCATCGCATGCGCAAGCAGTGCCTCAAACTTGTCGAAGACAGGTTCACCCAATCCCGCAGGCAGACCGCGGATGACACAAGTCACCGTCCCGCCTATTGAATCGGAGGCGTCCTTGGCACGGATGATACGCTAATCGGGGGTCAGAACCTGCTCATGAACGCGATCGATCCATGCAAACCTGCTTCATGCGTTCCGCCGTGGGGGCATCGGGGCAGCGCGTCGGATGCTTGTCGACAATCTCCCGGGTGATGCTCGACAGCAATTCGTGGAAATCGGCATTCACGACGTCAGCCACGGTATCATCCTCCTCATCCTGGAAACCGGTCCACGGCGAGAGGTTCGGTGGCAACTGCACCTTTCCAACGGAAGTGACAAAGGCCACGATTTCGATCCCGTAAGCTGTTTTCAGATACTTTTCAGCGATGGCACCGGCGGCAACGCGGCCTGCGGGAAGTTTGAGACCATCGGGAATAGCAGATCGGACGCCGCACCTATGGTTTCCCGCGCACTACTCCGTCCCCCGCCGCTGCTAGCCTTCACCCCATACTTCTCCAGGTAGGTGTAATCCGCGTGACTCGGCCTGGGGTACAAGTCCGTCTCTGAATAGTCGTGCGGTCGCTGGTCCTCATTGCGCACTAGCAGCGCGATCGGCGTGCCCAGCGTCACACCGTGTTCTAGGCCAGATTGCAGCTGCACCACGTCCTTCTCATTGCGAGGCGTGGTGAGATCGCTTTGCCCCGGGCGTCGGCGTGTCATCTGAGGCTGGATATCTGCGGCACTCAGCTCCAGACCCTGACTTCACGTTAGAATGCGACATCCCGCCGTTGGTGTAAGCAATACCGGTGGGCACCCGTCGATGATGGCCCCGACGGATGCACAGTGGCTCTCGCCATAGGTCGTAACACGGAAGAGGGTACCGAAGGTAGACATTTCGTTGGTGTGATGGGATGGCCAAGCGGTCCGTTCAGCTGATAGACAGATGGCGGTTGTTTAGAGATAAGAGAGTTGATGAGATTTATCAGGATCTTTTGAACAGAGCACCGATGAGAGTGTGGATAATCCGCTTTGCGGTCGCAAAAGTCAACTGTGACTCGGGCAAAGGAAAAACACACTCGCCTCAATTGGCGTCCGAACAAGCCGATCCGATCACGGCCGAAGCCCAATAGCTAACGTGACCGTGCATCAGGCGCGCCTCTCATTTCCGGATTGCTCTAATGGCTCGCATCGACACGGTCGATAACGATGAACCCGTGAATGTAGTCTCTGTGAGCTCACCAGAATCGCCTGATCTCCTCTGAAACCGCTCAGCAAGCACTGCAACAAGCAGATGAATTCAAGACACAGGGCAACGACCACTTTCGAGCAAAAGCATGGAGCAGCGCATTATCCTGTTATCAGTCGGGGCTGGAGGCTCTACCACGACGACCAGAGAAGCCGGAGAAAGCAGACGCACACGCCGACGTGGATGACGATGAGAACGACCCTCCTACTACGCAAGAGCCAACTCAACCGGAACCTCCCACACCAGAAGAACTAGAGTACGCCAAGGCGCGATCGGTGCTAAACTCCAACATCGGAGCCTGCTACTTGAAGCTCGTGCGTTCCTCGAGCACTGCAACAAACATGCATCCGTAACCGCAAGGCAGGGCGACCACAAAGCGGTAGTCGACGCTTGCACGCAAGGTCCGCGGTGCAATGTCGTTCGTTTACCACTGGAAACTCATCCGACCATCTCCAGCTCTTCTGGACGATCCCAACTACGTCAAAGCACTTCAACGACGAGCAGCATCGAACGAGACGCTCGATACATGGAGTTCGCTCACTGCTGCGATGGAAGGTACGGGCTCCTCCGAATTGGAAGAAACATGGCGTAGTCTCAACGAGCATAGACTACACCACTCTCCTCAAGATCTTGCCGCCCTCCTCTGCACTCATCAAAGAGATTGAGCGAAGCCAGGCTGTGCTAAAGCCCAGGCATGAAGCAGCACAGAAGCGAGAGACGGACGAGATGATGGGCAAGCTGAAGGGAATCGGGAATAGCATTCTGGGTACGTCTTCTAGATTGCAGACCCGGCCTCTCCTCCGCTGATTATGTCACCCAGGGAACTTCGGACTCTCCACCGACAACTTCCAGTTCGTTCCAAACGGTCAAGGGGGTTATTCAATGAACTTCCAGAGATGACGGCGACCGCCTCTCCGTACATCGAATCCGCCGCGCTGTAATCTACTCGATATAGTTGGTTTCGTTCCTGAAGATAGTGAATTTTGAAAGAGGCAGGACCTGGCCAACGATCACAACGAGCCCTCTCTTGAAGCACAAATTGAACTCACCCGAGCGATTATTTTCCCCCGGAGCAGTCCCATGGCGACCGGCCCATAGTCCCTCGAGTCTCGGGAGTACGCAGCGTTGTCCCCCATGATCCACCAATGCCCCTTCGGCACGACGACATGCTCGGTGGACGGCGCCTTCTCCCCCGTGGGGTCAACGCAGATGACGTCGCCCGGCAGCCCGATGACCCTCTTGCAGATGAAGCGGCGGGGCGTGATGGGTGACTCGAGAACGACGAGGTCCCCGCGGCGGATGTTTCTTGCGCTCGTCACGATTTGCATAGAGAAGTCGCCCGAGTTGGCGAACGTAGGTAGCATGGACGGTCCGAACATCTGCAAACGTTATTGAATTTCAGACTGAGTGGCGGGGTGCGGGATGATACTTACGGGACCAATATACAACTTCATAGACACCAGATGCAGGAGAGCTGCCGCATTTCCGGTCTAAGGGTGCAACAGTCACCATCGAGAGATATTTCCTCAGTAACGAGGTCGCCTACGTAGAGAACCCAAAGCCCCGCTTTCTTCATCTCCACATGGGTCGGGCGTCGCCACCGGCGTAAGTCCCAAAATTTAGGAATCCGGTTGAGCATACATGTAGTGGGTGGAAGAGACGAATTTCACGGTCACGCGATCGGCACAGACGCGCGCGTTACAGTTTAGCGTGAATAGTTCCGATAAGCAGAGAGCAGAAAACAGACAGACAGCCGTATGGTATCAAGATTCATAGAACTAGCAACGAGGAAAACAGAGTCCAAGACCACAGACATAATTTAGACCGAGAGAAATCACTCATCGTCCATGTCGCTCTCCTCAGCTGCTTTGGCCTTCTTGCCTCGAGCCTTCTTCGATGGCGGTTTCGCACTCTGACTGGCAGGTTTCTGAGGGATATCAGAGTGAGTCTTGGACGCTTTGGACACAAGATCGGTACGAACCTTGCGCTTCTTGCCGGTTTCCTCCTCGTCGTCTGCCGGTTCTTCGTCAGACTCGGCCTACATAGGTAGAATTGGTCAGTAGATATTGTACACGCAATAAGAGAGAATCTGACCTTCTTCTTGGTGGCCCGTTTCTTGGGCGCTGCCGCCGCTTTCTTAGCGGGCGCTTTCTTTTTGGGTTTCTCCTCCTCAGAGATCTCCTCATCGGAACCGGCTTTGACATCGTTCATTTCATTCGTGAAATCTTCACCCTCCGACTCGGACTCATTCTGAAAGTGGGACTCAGAACAAAATCACCAGTTGGTGCGCAGGAAACCGACCTTTTTCTTCTTGGGAGCTGCTTTCTTAGCCGACGCTTTCTTTGCCTTGGGCTCGGGCTCCTCATCGCCCTCGGTTTTCTTTTTCCTCGGCGCTGCCTTCTTCTTTGGCTTGGGCTCTTCATCCTCCTCAGCGGGCTTCTCCTCGTCATCGGCCTTCTTCTTGGGAGCAGCCCTCTTCTTCTTCGGTTTCTCCGCCACCTCCTCCTCTCCTTCGTCCTCAGCTTTCTTCTTTTTGGGAGCGGCTCTCTTCTTCTTGGGTTTCTCCTCCTCCTCCTCCTCGTCATCCTCCTCCTCGTCAGCAGCCTTCTTTTTCTTCGGCGCGGCCTTCTTCTTGGGCTTCTCCTCGCCCTCCTCACCCTCCCCGTCCTTCCGCGCACTTTCGGGAATGTCCTCATCAGCCACATGCCCGTCCTCCCACGCCTTGGTGACGCGCTCCTGGTCCTCCTCATTCAAATCTTCGAAACCATCGAGCTCCGAGGCCTCCTCGTGTTCCTTCTACGCGGCCGCATCAGCTGCAGCACAATACCAAGCCAGAGCAGACCCCTGCGTACCTTGACGTTTTCGAGGACCTTGGCGGTGAGACAGCCCCAATGACGCCATGCGCTGTGGACACGACGAATGAGCTCGAGACAGGCATAGACACAGCGCGCCAGACAACGCACAACGATGTGTTACCGCCCACATCGACAATAGTGCCAAATCTCAGCGATCCTTTCAGAATCGGGGTCCCTGTTGTCGCACGATGAGCTGCGAGCTGGGTGGCAAAAAGGCCTTCACACGCGACAGACCTTTGCATGGTTTCTGGCCTGGTATCAGAGCGTTTTTCGTGAGTGTAGGATCCAGATGAAAGCGTCAAGAAACAGACCTTTGCACTGGAGATCGCGTCAGTAAGTTGTTCGTCGCGAACGCAGCGAAAGGTGTATGGCCTACGCACCTTGGCACGGTTGGAGGACGCGTATTCGACTCTATAGGGCATGATGTATGATTTCGGGAGGTGGTAGACGCCGACAGCAAGTTAGAGCAAGAAATTGGGGGGGGGAGAAAAACAAGCACTGCAGCTGAGCACACGCGTGATGCTGTTGAGTGCAATGTTTCAAACTCCGCGTGTTACGGAGCGCACTGACCAGCGTGACCGCGTTTATTGTTTTGTGTCAGTCAACCCGACGATGGGATGCGGTGTGCAGGGTAGTCTACTCGCAACAAGAGGTGCTGGTTGTGTTTATCATTGACATAAGTAGCGAAAAATACAGGGAAACGAGTCAAATATTCGCCAGCGGAGTATGTATAATAGACGCAGAGCTGCACCTGCTGCTGTCCTCCTCCAGGCTGTGGTAGTACAGATTGCGAGCCATTCGGCGGCAAGTTCGAGGACAGGGACAAATCGATACATGGCAGAATTATAGTCGTCGGCGGAGGGGAAGCATCTAGGCAGCATGCGATTGGCGATTGATCTGGGCTGTGTGAGCCGAGCGGCGAGGAATTACTGTCGACCATGCTTCACCGCGAGCCCTTCGATGATGTTGCGCACATTGGCAGGTTCCAGAACGACCTTGGTCCCGTCGCAACGTGCCTTGGCTGAAAACTCCGAACACAGATCCGCGATATCCGTATCCTGGCACGCGTCAGTCGGCTTTCAGATGGGATACTGATCAAATTACTTACCCGGAACTCGGGATTGGAAGTCACAGTCCGCCAGGCCTCGAGTATCTCCAGGTTCTTCTCGCTACGCTCCGTCTTCGGGAAGGACGAACCCTGACATGTTATCGTCGAGGCAGCGCCTGGGCCAGGTTTACGTACGACCGCGACGACCGGAGGTGCAAATGGCGAAGACCCGAGAGTGGTCACCTCTGACCGCAAACCTTCTCTTGTTTTGGGGCACTCGCCCATGGTTTCCATATCCAGATCGGTGTCAGACCCGGTCTCCCGAATGGTGGTGAACAGAGGGTCTGGCGATTTGGACGACGTGGACGACGATATCGATGCTGCAGGCGACCGATTGAGAAGCGTGGCGTGGTGGGCAACAGGGCTGACGGAGGACCCTGGCGGGCTGTTCATGAGAACATTGAATTGCTCAAAGTCCATCGAACTGCCCATTATTCCGCCGAACAGATCGTCAAACTGCCCATCAGGGTTCGGAGTAGACCACGCGGACAAAGAATTGATGTCAAAGTTGAAGGCGTTAGCACCCGGGTTGGCAGACATGCTGGGGCTGCTGCTGTTACTGGGGCCAGCGACAGAGCTCGAGCCAGACGATTGCGAGCGATGCGCTGGGTGATCAAAGGCCGACGTAAACGATGTGAACATAGGGTTGCTGGCGATGGTCGTGTAGCCATTGAGACCCTTCGACGCAGAGTCTGGCTTGGGCGAACCAAAGCCAAAGTCCATCGACATGGCCGCATCCGTCGCTGTCTGCTGGGGCGTGTCGTCCAGCAGGTTCAGCACGGCCGGATCGAAGCTTGTCAGCGAGCTCCAGTCGAGCGGGTTCGAGCTTCCGGGCGTCGGGGATAAAGCGGACGGCGACGGGGTAGACATCGCCGTCAAAGCGGGTGTGGTAAACAGTGATGATGAGCTCCCTGCGTCGGCGGACCCGCCAGAGGACCTTGGAACAGAGAATGTGAACTCGGCATTCTTCGCTCGCCCCTTGAGCAACACATTCTCGTTTTGGAGCCGCGTGAGTAGATCACGCAGATTCTCATTCTCAGAGTTGGCTTGGTCGTTCTTGGCCTCGAGCTCAGCAACCTTGTCCTCGAGCTTCACGACGGATGACAGATGAATGATAGCTCGCCCCGCAGATAACAGACACTCACATCCTTGACATGCTTCTCCTTGCGCTCCCGGAAAGCACGCTGAGCGGCCCTGTTTTGCTCCTTGCGCTTGAGCAGACGGTTCTCCTCCTGTCACACAGCTCAGTCAGGGAAGCAAGCCCCGTAACGACGACGAAATGCTCACAGGACCGGCCGGAGCGTTTGCCACCGCGCCCGTGGACTTCCGCCTGGCATTGCCCGTCTTCTTGCCGTTGGCTGCGCTTTGATGAGCATAAGGGGATAGCGAGCAGGATATCACAGCATACCGGTGTGCTGGTTCTTGGAGCTGGGACCATCGTCGTCAAAGTCCTCGGTGCTCGCCTTGCGCTTCAGCTCGTTGTCCTCCACCGGACTCCTGTTGTCCTGATGCGGCGGACTTGGGCTGCTATCGGTAGAGGGCGGAGTGATGCTTGGGAGCGGATACTGGGAGATGGATTGGGGGTCGACGCCGGTGGGGATGCTGAATTCAGCGTTGAATGGCGCGGTGGTGTAGTTGGGTTTCTGAAGGAGCGCGAGAAAGTCGTCGTCGGTCATTTGGGAAAAGGAGGAGGCCTGAGACAGATCCCAGAGCGGAGTGAGATCTGTTGAGTACGACTCCATTGGATCCGGATGAAGGAAAGACGGTAGTGATAAGAGGTAGAGGTGCCCGGCCGAGGGAGTCAGGGATCGTGGGCTCGGGGAACTAGCCTGAGCTCGATGGAGGCAGTGGGAAGGGACGGATGAGTCTCCACGAAATTTCTTACCAAGCAACGATGTGTTTGGTCACCTGCCAAAAGTGGATCATAGGCGCCTGTCAACATCAGATGGCTCAAGCGCCGACGCTGGGCCGGGGACGCGCATGCCTCCGCAGGCGGCTATCAAAATGTCTCTGACTCGACCGTGGGGAAGCGTCCCAGCGGTCCCGCGCCGAGCTTCGCGCCAAAGATCCATTAAATTCCATCGCCTCGCATCCCCATGGACTCGATACAGTGGAGGCTGAGCTACTCTATGAGACAAAAAAGACAAATAAACAGCCCTGAGAGGTGGGCGCCGGCACTGCATCCACTCTTGAGGTTCCGCGAAAGAAGAGCCTCGCCGATCGATCAGGGAATATTCCGGAGAGAATTGCGATCGCGCTGCATAGGCCGGACCGGGATTAGCACATACCCATTACGATCACTGAAAGAAACATGAAACAGGACAGCATGTTTAGAAGCAAGAGCCCGCACATAGTATTCAATCTCCATCTAGGGGACATCAGCATGGGAACACATCGGAAGGAAGGGTAGCCAATCACAAATAGAAACGCGACTTTGCGCGGCCAAAGAATATTCAATCCGGCAGGGTTGTACACATGAGCGTTCAGATCACCGATGATCCTTTGCAGCCGACGCATCTCCTAGATGAAGCTTCAGATGTGATGTCCCCTCGCTACGCGTGCTGCCGTACTCTTTCATAATGCGAGGAAATAACGAGTCGGGAAAGCTGAAGCGAGATCACAGCAAGCACGTTGTCCAGAAAGGCCCATCTCAGGCTGTGCACAGTAATGAGCTGCTCGTTGATTGCGTTGATGCTCTCGAGAAACTGAGTCGGCGTGATCTGCGACAGATGAGGGGTGACAGGCCAGCGCTTAACACAGATGGAACTCACGCGGCCCTCTAGTTCCAGCGGGTAGATAGGCGCAAATTGTATCAGCTCGCCGCCAGTATAATCACGCTCCACACGCAGAATTTCTCGTGGATGATGCACGCCAATCTGTCCCACGGGCGCAGTCCCGTACGCAGAGTCCGGAGGTGGCGGCCCAAAGTAGTAAGAGGAGTGCGGGATCAGTCCCGGGCTGCAAGCGACACAAATGTCAGAGCTAAACTATGGAGTCGCAGGGAGTATTCACGCACGAACTCTGCATCGCGCTGAATTTGCCGCGATAATACTCGTCATTCGTCCTCAAATTATCTGCCGGGGGCTCGACCAGATCCCAGGGCTGTGGCGACAGCTTCGCGTCGAGGTTGATGGCATTGGCCGACCTTTTGCGACCGCCAGGCGCGCGGACTTCAGCTGAGCCAAGCGAGTCCATCACCACCACGTTTTCACCACCATCGCCACCACCAAGACCCAGCACATCCTCGTGCCCGTCCTCGTCATCTGACCTCTCCCCAGCAAACCTCAGCTCGTGCTCCAGATTCGCGCGTGCAGGCGGCATAGTCAGACCTTCCTCCCCCTTTCCCAAAAGACTCTCCTGGGCAAACGTCTGGCTGTCATCTAAGCTGAGCGTGGTTTCGTCGAGCGTGTGGTGTATGAGGGTGGGATCTGCATCCGCGCTCAGTGTGTCTTCCCTCACTGCTATGGCGGTGCTATTCGCACTGGTGGTGGTGAGGCCCTCTGCTTCTGCTTCAGTCCGAGGTGCTGAGGGAGAAATATGAAGGAAGTCTTGTGAAGAGGGCAGTGCTGTGCTCATAACATCGAAACGCCTTGACGGAGTGCCGCCTGAGAAGGGACTGGTGCGAGGTTCCTGATGAGTGAGACTCGTGGGAACATTCAAGATGGCTTTCCAATCTGCTGACGTCAGATGGCTGGTAAGCAGCGAGTTGTACAGACATATCTGAACGGTTCTTCAATGTAATTACAATTCAAAGTACCTATATAACACAAGTGCGAGATACAGAAAAGAGAGCAGAGGACACAGCACATAGGTAGATCTCAATCATCGTCGCTCGGGGTCAGATACTCTTCGTCGCTGATGACCTGACGTCGGCTGCGACCTCTGGACGGCGGCGGTGGTCGTTCCTCATCTTCCATGGGCGTCAGAGCCGTATCATACATCCCACCAGACCCGGATGGACCGGAACCCTCAGCGCCAGGCAGTCCTGTGCCGACTGTCAGTCGCTTGAATGTCGCGTCGAGGACCTTCTCCATCTCCACAGCATCGACATAGACCCACGAGCCTTCCTGGTTGTAAGTCCGCGCATTATTGAACATGAGCGCCCAGTCATTCCGATAGGCCTGCACATCCTTGTAGTACGTCGTCTGACCTCGCTTGCGCAAATGCGAAAGCGCGATTGGTTGCGTTATCAATTGGTAGTAGTCCGGATAATCCTAGCAAAGGTCAAGACTATTCCGCGTGGAATAAATATAACACTGTACACACAGTTTTATCGGGCACTTCCTTGAATAATTCGCAACGCTTCCGACCGTCGTGGTCTTCACAAGCCATGACAGCTTTATAACATTCATTGAAGACTTTTTTCATCTTTTCCCGAATGTGTGGAGGCACGTCATTACCGGCCGCCTTGGCAGTCGGGGCCTTGCGTCGTTTCTGAAGTGAATGAGAATTGTTCCAACGGTCAACAACAAAAATCCTCACTGGTTGACGCTCGTCGTCATCATCATCGACAACGGAAGGGGTTACCGACATGGACTTGTGACCACGCTTGCGCTTGCCGGGACCCGACTCGAAGTCGTGGAGGGGTGGTCGACCTCGCCCCTTCTTTTTCCTGCCACGTGAAGAATCGATGTCGGACATAGGCGTGCCTCGGCCAGAGACTGGGACCACGGCAGCGGCAGCTCTCTTGCGAGTCCGATCAGCAAGTTCCTCCAGATCTTCCCCTTCTTCCAAAGCCTATTGGTTCTCACGGTGAGAAGCAGTTCCACCGATAGCAGAAAACGCACCATAGCCCATGTCTCGTCATCCAGCCCGTCATTGTAGCTGACGACATTCCGACGACGCTGACCGCGACCCTCGATCGTCTCGTCAGTATTCGTCGGTTCAAACGGCTCTTCTTTCTGATAGCACTCGGGAAGTTCCTCGAACTGCATCAACGGAGGCGGAGGCTTTCCCCGGTGACCCTGAGCACGCCAGTTCTCCAACGTCTCACGTTCCCGCTGGCTGTCCATCTGGCGGAAGATCTCGCCCTCTTCCTCCGACCGTGCGAGCAGTATGTTTAGCTCTTGATCGTTCATATCACCAGCTTCCTCGTTCTCTTCTTCTTGATCGGCATCCAAAATGGACCGCTGCACGCACGGTGTCGTTAACACACCAGTCTGTATGTCAGGAAACAGGACTTACAAGGAATTCTTCCTGCTCCTCTTGGGTCGATTTGTTATCGAACCGGCCCGCCTGGATAACCTTGTCGTCGATATCGAGTTTGTATCGGGCCCGCTGATACATGGCTTCCTCGACACTCTTCTCGGTGATGAAGCGCAGAATGAGCACTGCCTTGGTCTGTCCGATACGATGCGCACGATCTTGAGCTTGTAGATCGGCGTGAGGATTCCAATCGCTGTCGAAGCTGCACAAAAAAAGTCAGCTCACTTGCCATATGGCCACCACGTCAGAACCCACATAATGACCGTATCCGCAGTCTGCAGGTTGAGACCCAGACCTCCGGCACGCGTTGACAGAATGAAAACCTTGTACTCTTCCGAGCCGTTGAACAGCTGCACAAAATTGGCTCGCTCCTCGGTCTTAGTTCCTCCGTCAAGACGGAGAAACTTCCACTGCATCATGCCTAAGAAGTCCGCCATGATGTCCATAGCCTTGGTCATCTGGAAGAACACGAGAACCTGGAAACACGTTGAATGGCGCTACACCAGATGAGAACAAAAATGAACACACTCGATGCCCCGTTGCAAAGAGCTTGGGCAGAATCCTACTCAGCAGTTCGATCTTGCCAGACGTACGGATGATCTTCTCGTCAATCAGGCCACTGGGGTTAATCTGGTCTTCGACACTCTCGAACAAGAATGGATGCTGGCAGATCTTTCGTAACTGCATGATTTCGTTGTTGAGACCCTTCACACCGCCTACTTTCCTGCCACGGAGTCAGTTCATATAGTCAGAAAGCCGGAAAGTGCATACCCATCTTTGTTGCTGGTACCGTCGGCGATCATCTTATGCTTTTTCATCTGCTTGTACATTTGACTCTGTAGGGCGCTCATCCGGATCTTGATGACTTTCTCGACCTTGTCCGGAAGCTCGCTCTCGACATCCTTCTTGAGCCGTCGCAGCAGGAAAGGCCGTAGCACCTTGTGCAATCGACGAATGATGAGCAAAGCCTCTTCTTCGTTCAGCTCGATCTTGTCCCCAGTCCCCGAATTGGCAAAGGGCGTGTTGAACCACTCGTCGAAAGATTTCACCGAGTTAAAGATCTTGGGCAGCACGAAATTGAGCAGGGCCCACAGCTCTGTCAGGTTGTTCTGAAGCGGTGTTCCACTGAGCAACAGACGATACCGCGAGTGGTAGAATGTCGTCAACGTCACAGTCAATTTGCTCTCCGTATTCTTCATACGGTGGCCCTCATCTGGAGTACGGGTCAGTTGAGCACATTATCCATTCTCCATCAGAACACACATACCAATAATCATGTGAAGCCACTTAATCTTGCAGAGAATGGGCCGGTCTTTGATGATGTACTCGTAGGTGGTCAACAAAACTTGGAAATGCCCCACTCGCAGTTCGCCTTGAAGTGCACGTCGCTGTGCTGGATTGCCCTTGTAAGATACAACCTTGACACCTGGCGCCCATTTGGCGAATTCGCCGGACCAGTTCGTCATGGTAGAGAGCGGAACAATAACAAGGTACGGGCCGTGCAGTCGTTTAGATTCGATCAGGAATGTGATGAGAGAGATTGTCTGGATAGTTTTGCCGAGACCCTGTAGAGAGCATTAGCTTCAGCCGACAGCACACCGACACAGTATAACACACCATCTCGTCTGCTAGAATCCCATTGAGCCTGTTGTTATACAAACTGACCATCCACTGCAAGCCTTTCATCTGATACTCCTTCAGAGTGCCACCAACAAGGATAGATGGTTGCTTAGTGATTTTCTCGGTGATGCGATGAGCAACAGCGTAGTAGTCGGTCTTGGAGGAAGTCTTCTCCGCTGCATCTTCGGCTGAGATGCGTGCTCCGAACATCTCTTCTGATGCACCTTCGTACCCGACACCGGAACCGGGGTTCCAGGGCAGGTCACTCTGCTGAGAGGCAACGGCCTGCGCCAAAGAGTCGAGATATGAGTCGGTCTGGCGCAGAAGATGGGTGATACGCGTGTCCTTGACGTTGTCTACGAGGGCCATGTAAGCCTCTTCATCGTCGGCCTTGAGCGCCTTGATACGCTCCTTCGCGATTCTCTCCATCCTCTTCTGCTCCTCCTTCTCTGTTGTGTTATGGAAAGCCAGCACCGACCGACCGAGCCGCACGACTCTGTCCTGGGCCGCTCTATTGACAGCAATGACTTGCTTGCCATGTTCGCAGATGACATCCAACTGCTCAATGTGCTTGGACTTGGCACGGCGTTCCCGATCGATGCGTTGCTTCCTCTCGAGCTGCTCAGTGGTCCGCACGTCCCGCATGATGGGCTTGCGGACCCGCCGAAAGTCAGGCCGGTTGAGAGGAAGGAGCGAGCCATGAGTCAGAGACTCGGCAACATGAGCCCGCAGAGCACGCTGCTTGTCCAAAAGTCGCAAGGACTTGAGCTCGATAAGCGCTCGCACTTTCCCATGCGATGTATTGCTGATAAGCGTTGGTTCAGGCTTGACGTCGTCGTCCACAGTTACTTCTTTCCCTTTGGTCATATCTTCAGCACTGAAACCGCCCTCGAGCCCTCCATCGCCCAGGGTCGACGGCAAAGCCTCCAGCTCGCGTATGCGTTGGTGTATGCGGGCCTCGATGAAGCGGTCTCGTTCCTCGATGATTTGGCGCGCGTCCAGTCCAGTGGGCATGATAGTAGGAATGACGAGCCTCTGCAAACGAGTGTTGAAGATGTTGGGGTCCATATCCGCTGGTCGCTTGAGGTGTGTAAATGGGTGGCGGTAGGCATTGTATGGGTAGATCCCTGAGTTCACATCGTCCTCCATGAACGGCCCTTTGGGCATGTCTGCTGGGTCAATGTCCTCGTCTTTGAAATCCTCTACTGGTTCCCCTTTGGCCACGCGAACCGCGCTATCGACAATCTTGCTCGAGACATCTGGCACCTGGAGAAGCTTCTCCAACTCGGGGACGGCGTTGTTCGATAACTTGAGCGCTTGTTGGAGGTATTCAGGCACGGGTGCACCACGAGAGATGAGCTTGAACGCATGAATCTGTGCACGTAGGACATTCATTTGGTCGGGGGTGAAGGAGACGGGAGTCTGGGATGGGGGAGGAGGATGGAAAGACTGGGGAGAAGGGGCGGCGCCATTCGTCACTGCATGTCCGTTTGTCAGAGGTTCTTGATGTTGTTGGCCTTGCATTCGGCCTGCTACGATGCGCAATGAGAACCGCGCCTTCGCAGTGGAAAGAGCGGCGACGCACCTTGGTTGTTGCTGAGCATCTGAAAGTACTTCGTGAGGTTGTCCAGCTCCCCTGGATGTGTCTGCTCCCGAGGATTCTGACGCAGAAAGTTGAAGCGCTGTGATATCGCTGAGCCAGGCAGTAAATACAGGAATTGAGACAGAGGGACGCACCGCCATCATCGCATTGACATTGGGTGGCGGCCCACGCTGCTGCGAGGCAGCCGGGCCTGTTTGAGCGGCGAGCATAGCGCCAACGGGTTACAGAATCGAAATGATGTTGCCGGCCTAGGGAATGCAAGCGCGTCCCGCGCAGACAGAGATCACGAGCTCCGTGAGTCGAGTACAAACCAGGTGTGTCGTGGTTTGTGTGTATGAGGCTGTGCAAATGTGACAGCGTGACTCGTGATTGGTCACTCGAGAGTCAGAAAGGTCCACGATCACATGAGCACGCGTTTCTCGATTGCTTAAAACTTCTACTGCCATTATGCCTGCCGAACGAGCTGGGGTACGTGTCACACTCTGTGGTTAGCAGCCCGATGAATCTCCTCTAGTATACGGTCACAATGTATGTCGTGGACGTGGGTCCATCCATGAACAACTTGCGCACACACGACCCCGAAGGCAATCGACTGCCACATGAAATCACCAATCTCGAATGGGGGCTCCAATTTGTGAAGCTGAAGATCCAAGAAATGGCTGGTCCTTTCATTGTCTTTTATTCGTCCCTTGCTGAACTGTGCGCGTAGATCTACAACAAACGAAAGACTGAGCAATGTGGAGTCATCCTCTTTGGGTCTGACAAGACGAAGAACATGCTTTCCAAAGACGGATACGAACGTGTGGAGGAATATATCCCAATTGCCCAGCCCTCCGGGGAGACCTTGGAACAACTCAACCGATTAGTACCAACTGAGGAAGCGGGAGATCGTGCGTGGACCGCCACGCAGTGTCCCCGCAAGCGCTGACTATAAATCATTCAGCGCTTGACGCGCTCATCGTCGCAATTGAGACGCAACACAAGCAACTTGCCTCAAAGAAGACATGGACGCGCAAGATCGTGCTTGTGACCGACGGCACGAATCCCATCGAGGTCACTGAGGACGAAGCCAGCACTGCAAAGAGAATGGTGGAGTTGGGTATCCAACTGACCATCGTGTGAGCCTCTTCAGCGCACTTAACTGTCTTTCACTCATAGCCACGCAGTGGTATTGACTTCGACGACGAGGAGTACCCATCTAAGGAGGAGGACAAATCCAACGTTAAGGTGTGTAGACAATAACGACAACTGCATGTCTCATGAACGTCTTTCTCAGGCCGAGAACGAGGAGTTCTATAGTCGTCTAGTGCAGCAGGTCACGGATGAGGGCGGCCATGCAGTGCTCGGTACTTGCGCTCTCGCTCTCCGTGAAATTGCTCGTCCAGATATGAAGATCACCAAGTCGACGCTCTCGACGACCATTCTTCGCCTAGGGGACACTGTCACACGATCTGGTGAAGCGCTCGAATTGACTATCAAAACGAGCAAATGTACGGCCGTAACACGTCCGAAGAGTTTCAAAAAATACGCGGTACGGGAATCCACGAAGCGGAAGAAGGAAGCTAAAATGAAAGTGGTGATGGAAGAGGACGACGATGCGACCGAAGAAGATACCGATGAAGAGGAGGTTGACGACACTGCGATGGACGTGGACGAACCAGCGGGCAAGAAAGTGACGTTCACGCAGCTGAAAATGCGCACTCAGTACTTGATCGATCATCGAGAACGGGAGAGTGAAGATACCGAGATCAAGCCTGCCATCAACCCCGAAACAAACGAGCTTGAGCCCGAGGTTGAAGTGACTGACAAGGAAAACCTCATCCGAGGCTATAAATATGGGACGACCTACGTCCCAGTGACCGAGGAGAAGGATTTCGGGAAGCTCCCGACTGTGAAGGGGATCGACATTTGCGGATTTTTCCCGGCCAAGAACGTGGGTGGTGAAACGAACTTTACAAGGTCTGTTGATTGACCGGAATGACAGTTCCGACGCGAGCTCTCGATGGGCGAGATTCAATATGTCTGGGGGGATCCCAATCAACCCGAAAGCCAAGTCGCCATTTCGTCCATAGCACGGGCAATGGACCAGGCTGGAAAAGAGATGATGGCTATTGCGCGTTGGGTGACTGCAGACGAGAGAGATGCCAAGATGGGCGTTCTATTCCCTTCTGTCAATGACGAAGGCGCCGACTGTTTGCTTTGGGCCCAAATGCCTTTCGCTGATGATGTACGGCGGTACACTTTTCCATCGCTCGACAGACTCGTTTCGAAAAAGGGTGAACTGCTCACGGAACATCCCTACCTTCCAACCAAATCTCAGCTTGATGCGATGGATGACTTCGTGGACGCCATGGATCTCGATGCAGCAGAGAAGGATGAGGAAGGGTGTGTTCATAATGTCTGGGCCTCGTGGCTTCATGCTGATGCGATCGCAGGAATTTGGTCCCTTGGTACGACACGCGTGATTCATATAACCCTTCCCTTCATCGCATCAAGCAAGCTCAGTTCCATGCTGCGGTCGTCGCGGATCTGCCCAATAATCCTATTGGTCCGCCACATCCAGAAATAATGAAGTATCTAGAGCCTCCGCGTCGGGTCTTGAAACGGGCTCGGGAAGCTATTTCCTCTTGTATCGATGAGTTCAACGTCAAAGAGGGTGCGATCTAACCAGTGAACTGCGGCCAAACTCTCATTGTCCCACAGTGCCCAAGAAAATCGCGAAGACTCGCAAAGACGGGCATGTGCATGCTTACGATGACGAAGATGAAATGCTACTGCTCGGACCAGCGGAGCCTCAAGCACCGCAGGAGCCACGGACTGGGACCCAAACCCAGCCATCGAAGGCTGCCCCCAAGCGCAAGGACCCAGACGAGAGTGCAACCGAGGACGAAACAGATAACGAAGACCCCGAGACCAAGGCCAAAGCCGATAGACGCTCTACGTCGCCGACAGTCGATCCTGGCCGGGCACCTGGCCGCATCATCGGCGACGCGCGCCCGCTTGATGACTTTAAAAGTAGCTTTGCAGGAGGCGACCTTGTCAGCAAGGCCGTCGAGGACATGTGCGCCGTCATCAAGGAGACCGCTCTCAAACCATTCGCCAAGCGGCGCCATGCAGAGCTTGTCGAGTGCCTTACGGCTTTGCGCGAAACCTGTCTCAAGGTTTGTTGATCTGATTTCCATAGGATTCATCCCATCATGATTCTTTGCAGGAGGATGAAATTGATGTTTGGAACATGTTTCTGCCGGAACTGAAGGACCAGTGCCTGAATTCCAAGCCCGGTAATGCTAGCTTCTGGGCCGAAGTGCAGAAAGTCGGTCCCAAGTTGAGCTTGATTAGCGATGAAGAGGCTGACGAGCATGGCGGCTCCTCTGAGATCTCCGCCTTCAAGGCCAAGAAGGTCCGCTCTTGTTGTTTACGTTTGGTTCACAATTGACTCAATCGTCTCTCAGTTCATATCTTAGAAGGTGATCTGTCGGGATCGATATAGCGTTGAATCCGTTTTGTTTTGTAACTTATGGCCATTTGGCACTCATGTTGAGTTGCGGTTAGCTTTTCCTGTATAATACTTGTATTGGATAAACACAGCAATGCACTCACGATCAGGCATTCTCCTCCAGGCGCAGTATGAAAAAATCACAAATTCTCCACTTTCTACGAGTAGAGACAGGTACATTATTTGATGCGCGAAAACGTTCAGCTCCTCCCCCACCATCCACCAAGCAGACTGCCCAAGCCACCTTTGGCAGCAGCAGCCGATTTGGCAGGTTCTGGCGCAACAGCCTCTGTCTCCTCGTTGGCGACTTGTCGCGCAGGCTGTGCAGGGACGGTTTCGACATCGAGCGGCTCCAAACCAGCGCGGTGTCTGAGCGCAGCCATGTCCAATGCAACGTAGTTCACGGCGATGTCGAAGAACAGCGGCTTCTTGTGTCCAGCGGATGAAGCTTCAAGCGACCCGCCGTTGAAAGCAAACCACTCGCGCTTCAGGCGCAGAGCTTCGCTGCTCAAAGTGCCCTCCAATTCGCTCACGTTCCCAGGCGAGAGGGGGTAGAATCCCGGGTTGGACGCATTGATCGGGTCGGCGTTGATAAGTGAGAGATTCGTGGTCGTCTCCCGGACGTGGATGTTTGCGTGTTGGATCAATGTCAGAGCTTCGGCGAACTTCTTGACCGGAGCATAGGAACGCCCGAGGTAGAGACTCCTGCGCGGTGTCAGTATTCACTTCGAGAGGGCACAGCTAAATAGCAGCTCACCGGCGAGCTTTCGTATACGATAACCGCGCCTCCACGGCTGCTGCAAGATCGGGACTCTCATCTACGATACTAAGAGTCCGCATTTGAGTCAAACTCTGCAGCACGGTGTCCAGCAACTTGACAAGGGCCGGGAACAATCGCCCATCTACTTGTTCTGGCTTCCCCTTGCTAGATTCCGACGAGACCAATGCTGTCACAAGCAGGAGATCCCGCTGGATCCTCCTCGAGAGGAGCTGGTACACGATATACGCATGTACTAAATGGATGTCGCGTGTGCTACCAGAGGTAGCAGTCGTACCCGATCCACTCATCTAAAAAGATTTAGATGGTCGAGTTCAGTCAAGTGCCAGCTGACACACCTGTTGAGTTTCAGAGAGCTTTCGTGCGACTTCCTCCGCGTCACTCAGGGCGAGCAAAATGGCATCGTATGAGGCAACGCCTTTCTTTCCAGCCTTCTTTGAATCACCCGGCGCCAGCTTAATCTCCGCCTCCTGGACCTTAAGCAGCACATCAACCAACTCGGGGTTGCGCACAGGGACAGGCTGGCCCTCCCAGACAAGCTCCGTCAGCTTCTTTCGGCTGCCACTGGCACCAGCGCGTTCCCCATCTGTTTTAAGGGCTTTGACAAGAGCATCATACCCGTCAACCATCTCATTCCGCGTCTTGCTCGAGTTCTCTGCAACGATGGAATCAATATCGTACGCCTTGGCCCGCCCAAGCTCGTGCGCGCAGTACCGGATCTCCGGGCCTATCTCATCAGCAAACAAGACAGCCAACGCCTGCTCTCGGCTCGTCGAAGCAGCACCTGCCAGCTCGTCCAAGATCCCCCGGGCAATACTAAGCTGCACCAGCGCGTCATCAAATTCATCTCGATAACGCAGAAAGCGCCCGTTAAGGATGAGGGTATATGCGGAGATTTGGAGCAGGTTTTCGGCGGAAAACCGGCCCGATTTGTAAAGCGATTGGCAGAGGGAGAGTAATTGCGTCGCCCAATTCACGGCGCGTCTGAAGCGGCCAGTGGCGCTGTGACGGAGAGTGCTGGCTTGGGATTCTTTGGATGGGTGAAGGGCGGACGACGTCAGCTCTTGTGAATACGCCCAAGCCCTTTCGGCTTCGAGAAGGAGCAATTGAAGACTAACGGATATCATTTATGAAAAAGAAATGTCCAGAAGAGATGAGACGCACTGTCCATCCTTGACTATCTCTGGCGTCAGAGGAGGCAATTTCTTAAACTCCCTCCCTCGTCCGTGTGTCATTTTGAGGGTTGAACGCAGCCGATGCGTCCTGTTAGCACAGTGTTTCCTGTCCAAAATGTTGGCTCGTTTCCCGTATGATCCAACCGCAGGTGTACCTGTAGCGGGCATAGTCATTGTATCGCAAGCCGTAGCTGCTCCGTTGCTCGTTCGCCAGCTGCAATGCTGGTCGTGCACTTCAGATTGACGCACAAAAAGCAAACATCGGGGATACGGCACGCATACCTTTGAACACGACGACGGAATTGGCCATGCGCGCAGAATGTTCTGGGACGATCGACCAGGTTCGAGCGAATGATAGCGGAAAGCAGAAAGCTCTGACGTGACACGCCGCGTTTCTACTTTTGATCTCACATACGTACCGCGCCCGCTGCTCGCTGCCCGCATCTCGACTTAAGACGCGCACCAATCAGACATTACGATGGAAGCGGAACTGTTGCCCCCGACGCTGCAGAACGTGCTCGACCAAGACACGCTCAAGTGGATCTTCTGTGGCACGTCCGCTTCTCTGTTACTTCCACGGACAAGGCTTACGCACCCTCGTTTGTACGCGCTCTAGGTGGCAAGGGTGGTGTAGGCAAGTGTATCCTTGATGCAGGAGTCGGCCTCACTGAATATAAACCGTTCCCTACCACTCAACCCAGGCAAAACCACGACATCGTGTTCACTTGCGATTCAACTGGCTAAAGTCCGCAAGTCCGTGCTACTCATCGTATGTCGGCCGTCCTACCATGCGAACCAGACCTTGGCACTCACGTCCACTGACCTTCTAGTCTACGGACCCCGCACACAACTTGTCCGATGCTTTTGGCCAGAAGTTCTCCAAGGACGCGACGAAAGTGAACGGGTTCGATAATCTGTTCGCGATGGAGATCGATCCCACGAGCTCAATACAAGAAATGGTCGAGCAATGTGCGTCTTCTTGTCGTCTTCTTCGTCCGACGCTCGCTCATGGAGCGCAGCGGACACGAACGGCATGATGGGGTCCATGATGCAGGATCTTGCATTCGCGATCCCTGGTGTCGACGAAGCGATGAGCTTTGCTGAGATCATGAAGTAGGCAAGCTGTCTGGCTGGTGCGATTCTTCCTCATCTCGAGTCCAGGCATGTCAAGTCTATGGAGTACTCTGTGATCGTATTCGACACCGCACCGACGGGACACACCTTGCGTTTCCTCTCGTTCCCGACGGTTCTCGAGAAGGCTCTGGGCAAACTGAGCTCTCTTGGCTCGCGATTCGGACCTATGATCAGTCAGGTAAGCTGAGATTAACTCAGACTTCGCAGCCTTATCTTATCTGGGGCTAGATGTCAAGCATGATGGGTGGGGAAGCCGGATCCCAGGAGGACATGTTTGCGAAATTGGAATCCATGCGTGAAGTAATTACAGAGGTCAACACACAATTCAAAGACCCAGCAAGTGCTATCATATTCACCCCGCACCTATTCTCATTCTTGCTTGGAACAGGAAAAGACCACATTCGTCTGCGTCTGCATTTCCGAGTTCCTTTCTCTGTACGAAACCGAGCGTTTGGTCCAAGAATTGACGAATTACGAAATCGACACACACAACATTGTGGTTAACCAACTTCTGTTCCCCAAGGAGTGTACGTTGCATTCCATCTTGCCGTCTATCCTAGGCTCAATTCATCGAATGAAGCGAACAACTGCGAACATTGTACGGTTAGGCACAAGATGCAGCAGAAGTATCTGAACGAGGCACACGAGCTTTATGACGAGTTCTTCCACATCGTCCAACTCCCGTTATTGACAGAGGAAGTGAGAGGGCCGGAGAAGCTGAAGGAGTTTAGCAAAATGCTTGTAGAGCCCTACGTTCCACCCGTGAACTAGAATCGACTGACAATTATACCATCTGTGCATGCCGGATTGCTCATCCTCGGGCACTCTCACGCTGCAAGTTGATGCGGGACCCGGTAAGCTGTTCTACGCTGTCGGACCGGATGAGCTCGACATAGGCTAATGACGGGTGTGCAATATCCACGTGCACAAGTCTCGTGAACTTGACATGCTTGGTCAATAACACTGCCTATTCTGACAAAGAACACGACCGGCAAGCCCGCCAAGTCGTACATCCCGAGGGCGGAGATTGGCACCTGTGGCAGTGCGATTGATGACAATCGAATCACGAGTCGGGAACGGTCGCTCTTCCGTCTACTTACTCATTCACCTACTCACCATGCCTGGAAGGAAATTCGTACTCGCGTCGCGCGCTTCCGAGCTAGCCAAGATCCAGACGAATATCGTCCTTGCCGAGCTCCAGAGGCTCTTCCCGGAAGATAGCATAGATGCGCCCCAGTTCTCGACGTCCTTCATGACCACCGCCGGCGATAGGAATCAGTCCCAGGCGTTGTACCTGCTCGGAGGGAAGGCACTCTGGACGAAGGATCTCGAAGTCGCATTGAAGGAGGGGAACGTCGATATGCTCATCCACTCCTTCAAGGATGTGCCTACGACCTTACCCGAGGGATGCACCATCGGTGCGGTTCTGGAACGCGAAGATCCGGTAGACAGTCTGATCGTCAAGGCCGGGAAGGATTGGAAGACGTTGGAGGACTTGCCTGCGGGAAGCGCGGTCGGAACGAGCAGTGTGCGGCGCGTAGCACAGCTCAAGCGCAAGTTCCCCGAGCTGAAATTCCTGGATGTGGTGCGTTCGGGCTTCTAATCCCGTGCGATGTATATTCACCGAGACTCGGAACTTCGCAGCGGGGCAATCTGTAAGCTACTACATCGTCCACAGATTCTCTTCCTCACGCAACTCATCCAGCAACACGCGACTGGCCAAACTCGATGCCGAGGACGGTCCATACGCAGCACTGATTCTCGCGAAAGCGGGGATGGTCCGTTTGGGCCAGGGCGCACGCATCACTTCTGATCTCCTGCCGCCGACGCTGCATCACGCAGTCTCCCAAGGCGCACTCGCAATCGAGATCCGGAGCGACGATCCCGAGGCCCTAGCGCTGTGCAAGAAAATTACGCATCTGCAAACGAAGTGGGCCACGTACGCCGAGCGAGGGTGTTTGCGTGTGCTCGAGGGTGGCTGCAGTGTTCCTGTGGGCGTTTTCACGCGGATGGACATGGCGAAGGGAGAGTTAGAGTTGACTGGCTGTGTGACCGCCCTTGATGGGTCTTTACACGTCCAGCACACCATGAAGGAAAATGTCGACAGCCTCGAGGAGGCACAAGCTCTCGGGGAGCGTCTGGCGAGAGTCCTCATCGACCACGGTGCGGCGAGCATTCTCGGTGACATCAACAAGGACCGAGAACGACGAGCTGCAGAAGCAGGAGTTCAGGAAGCCGAATGATAGAATTTATTGCTGGCTATGTAGACATCGGTACGAGTAAAAGATGAAGAGTACACTGGATGCAGTGGAAAATGTGCCAAGCTAGACCACGTCGAGAAGCGAGGATTCACTGTCCGGGTGTGGTGTAGGATGACAGATACGTTCTGCCTCTCCACGAGCGCCTGGCGTCCCTAGGATTTGCGGGATGACAAGTGACTCTAAAGCGGAGAGGCCAATGACATTTGGGAAAATATACCCACACAGCCTCAATTTTATAGCGAGGCCGTGTTTGGCACGCACAGCCACCAAACATCGCGTGTTACGCGACTTCGTGATCTCTGTCCTCGTTCTTGTCTCCATTTCTTGCTTTCCGTCCACAATTTCCTCGTCTTCTCATGTCTGTCATCGCTACCAAACGACTTGCCAAAGAACTTAACGAGATCAAATCTGACGGATGTCCTGTTGGTGCGTTTTGTGTCCGTGACTTCGCAGCCGACCGGGTGCTAATTAGCCACCCAGGAATCAATCTCCTCAAGGCCGATGACTTCGCGACGTGGTAAACTTCACACATTTACGCTCATTCTGTATGAATCGTTCAATCGCATCCGTTCTCCTCCCGCCAGGTGGTTCACGATCGAAGTCATGGGAGAATCGGTTTACCAGGTACGCCTTTGCCGCACAGGCTCTTCTCCTCTCTTCTCGGTTCGCCGTTGCAAACCTGGCACCCAAAGTCCGAGGTGTATACGCTCCAATTTCGCTTTGACTCGGGCTACCCCATCTCCGCCCCGGCAGTCCAATTCGTCGTCACCGAGGGACGAGCAGCCCCGGTGCACCCGGTGCGTCTGCGATCGTCGATACGCTCTGGCGATGGACTGACGCCCTCGGCTGCAGCATGTATACTCTAATGGTCATGTAAGCGAACTGTGTGAACTACCTACTCTTGATTTTTGATCGAGTGCGTGCAAGATCTGCGCCTCTATCCTGGGTAGCGAGTGGTGAAGCCTCGTTATCACACGACCCCTATCATCTAATCTGACCGTTGGGCAGGTCCCCGGTACTCAGCGTAGTGGCGGTTTGTATCACCCTGCAGAGCATGCTGGCTTCTTGCAAAGTCAGTCTTCCAGTGTACGGCCTGTGTCGATCTGACATCTGTGCGTACAGAAGAAAGAGCTGTGCGAATATCACATCCTGTCCATCCTACTGCTCTCCTCTGATCTCATGCTCTGCAGTCCTGTGGACAACGCCCGCTATATCCGACATGCTCCAGATAACCCAAAGAAGGTGCGCGGTTCTCCCCCCTCGACCTCGGATCTTGTTCACCTGGTTTCAGACCCAGTTCGAGTACCACGGTGCGCAAGCTTTCTTCGATTCTGTTCACCCACTCAATCCCTCGGCGATACTGGATTAGATGACACGTGAGCCGATTCACTTGCTTTCGATTCACTCGCTTTTGAGTATATCACTCACTGGTGGCTCTTAGAGTCTAATCTACACGGACGCCTCGCAGCGTGGCGGGGAATCTTCATGCCGGTCAGATCTAATTCTTGTATCTTCTCGTTTGTATTTTGTATACACTGTAATGGATCCTCATTAAACCTGCCGCGCACGGACAACTAAATTGCCTGCTGAATCTGGTGTACATTGTAGACATCCCGAGTTTACCTCAATACAAATATTGTGCCAAGCACAGGTAAGTATCATCAGCCAGTACAGCAGCTCTTCGCGGGAGAAGGAGCCACGATCGTTTGATGCCGTGGCGTCTGCCTCGCGCGATGCTCGGCACAGCGCCCATTGCAACTCTGCACGCACCGGCAGGCGCCGGGCACGCACGCGCATTTGCCACTGCAACACTCCAGCTTCGGGAGGCGCACCTGGCCCACGGGGGCGGTGCTCACATCCCGCGGGTCCAGGTCCCAGCTGCGGCTGGCCTTGCTCGGCGGCGCGGGCAGCGCCGCAGCCCGCGCGAGGAAGTCGTCGATGATCGTCGAGCTGATGTAGAACGGGCTCGGGCTCTTGTTCATGATGTCGCGCGGGGCCTGAGCGTCGACGCACGTGCCACATCCGTCGGCACAGTCCGGGCGCGCAGTGTCGGCGTGCTCCGAGCCGCGGTGCTGCACGCATCCGGGGCACGCGCACTCGACACCGCAGCAGCACCCGGAACCAGCGAGCGACTTGATCGTGCTCATCGGCGGCATCGTCGCAAAGACGGGCACGAACAGCGTCGGGCCGTCGTCCTCGGTGCAGAGCAGCGGCGGGAGGGCCGGGCCGGGAATGCGTGTGCTCGCCGGCCGCTTACTGCGCTTGTGTGGGAGGCCGTGCTGGGGACTGTTGGGCCGTGAGAGTGGCCGTTTGGGTCTCGTCGGAGGGAGGTCCGATGGGGCTATCGGATTGGGGGAAGAGGTGGCTTCGGTGTTCCCACTGCTGCAACACATGACCGCAGCATGCGCTAACGCAGCAAGGCCGCCCGAGTCCGAGCCTCGGCAATTGCATTTGCATCCGCTTCGGCATCCGCAGGGGTTCAGCAATGAGTCCACTGCCAGTGCTTCATCAGTATCGAGAAGCTGAAACCCCGGCTCTTCTCTCACCTCGCTGCCGAGAATTAGAAGGTCCGGGAGTGGGTTCGGACCGCAGAGCATCCCGCAATCCGTTGGGGAGTGCCGGAGCGACGGGAATATATCTCCGGGCTGTGTAGCGCGGTTAAAATTCGCATCGCGCAAGGGCGGGGATGCACACGCACATTTGGCTGAGGACGAAGGCAGCAGCAGACCGCGAGAGGGCTGTTCCTCCTGCGGGCAGTTGCATTTCGAATGCACCCGGCGCGACTGGCGCAGTTCCCGACATTTCTCGCACTGCGACACGGGGCGGCCTTTCTTCTTGATCTCAAAGAGCGGGCGCTGGGTATGATGGCACGAGGACGAGCGGTGGCCCTTGATGCAGGATTCGCTGCACAGGAGGTCAGTTTATTGTGTCGGGGTGCGGCAGGAGATGCACGATCGTACCAGGCGAACTTTTTGCCATTCACAAAGACCTGAAGGAGATACGAAGGCAGATAAGCGAGGGGGAAGAGGCACGAGAAGCTGAGCGGGACGCACCATTATCGAGCGCTGGGTCCGGGGCGAAAGTGTGCGGGGAGGCAAAGCCGAAATGCGAGAGAAGATGACGATCACTAAATAACGACGATACGGCTTATGTAAACCTCAGTTTCCTGTTTCATCACCGCGGCGTTGACTGGTTTCCTTGGTGTGATACCATTGGGACGCTTTAATGGCTCATACGTTCCCCATACGTACGCGGTTCATGCTGCGTGTCTTTCTGCAAAGCTTTTGTGCGAACTGAAGCTTGTTGGCGAGCCTTACGCCTCACGCGAATCCTTTAGGTAATACACGTCCGTTCTTTCGGCGAAAGTCCCGCAATCGATGTGCAAGCTGTCTTTCCGTGCTGCACATCTGATTCGGTGCTTCCTGCGCTCCACCGCAGCCGGCGGCTAAGAATGTATACAGTCAAGGAATTGATGATGGCACTGGTGGTACAGAGGGAAGCAGCAAAATAAAGATAACCAGGTCTAGTCGTCATCCACAAACATGGAGTCATCCCCCTCGTCCTCCCCGTCCGATATTTCAACATACTTCTTCGGCGCAGCACGAGCCGGTCGGGCGCGCGACGGACCCGCCGCGACGACCAGGTCGTCCTCGTCCTCGTCGTCGCTGTCAACGACCTTCTTCGGCGGCGCGGTTTTCTTCTTTGGCGGCGAGGCGGGCTTCATGCTCTTGGAGATCTTGCGCGTCTCCTTGCCGAAGAAGTCGGTGACTGCTGCCTGCTTCTTCCTCGGCGGCTCGTCGTCGCTGTCCACGGCGCTGTCGAGGCTGGGAATCGGGTGAGCTACAGGCGACTGTAGCAAACTCATGCATACCTCTTCCGCTTCGCAGCCGGGTTCGCCCTCGGTGGCTCGTCCTCGTCCGAGTCATCGACATACAGAGGCTTCTTGGCTGGCGCCCGGGCCCTGGCCTTCGGTGGCTCGTCGTCCGAGTCCTCGACCTTCATCGTCTCCTTCGCCATGGCAGCCTTGCCTTTGGGCTTGGGCTTGGGCTTGGGCTCATCTTCGTCGACTTCCATCTTCGTCGGCGCGCGTTTCTTCGGAGCCGCCTTGGACTCGGAAGCCTTCCTCTTCACAACCGCCTTGGTCGGCCTAAAGTCGTCCTCGGAGTCTGATCCACCGCCGCGCTTGCCACCGATCGACTTGCGAGTCCGGAGAACAGTCTGCTTCTTCTTGATCTTCCGCCCCTTGGCATCGGTGAACCGGCCCTCCTCCATCAAGCGCTGGAACGACTGCACAAGGATACGGATTGAGCTCAAGTGAAAAGGGTGGAAGCGCAAAAACACACCTCCCATTCCACCAGGAAGCTATCCAGATCCTTGTTCCACATCTCTTTCGGTGCGATCTTCAGCAGCGTAAGCAACTCTTCCTCCTTCTCGCCTGCATTCTTGCGCAGTTTGTCGATCTAGTCGCAACGCATCAGTGACAGGCGACCCATCGTATAGCAATGCTCGCACCTTCTCTTTGGTCAAGCTGTAGATAGCCATCCCAAGCAAGTAATCGTAATCAGAAGTGTTTGAGCTCCCCGCAGCGAGATTCTCATTCTCATCTTCGTCCTCGTCCTCCAAAGCTTCGGCGTTTTCCCCTGCTTCTTTGGCCTTCTTGATCTTGGGGAACGGCCGAAAGTCGAGCTTCTTGAGATCCACGACGATGTCCGCCTTCTTCCGGTTCGACACGATCAATTGGCGATCCACAATCATCTGCACGAAACGCGCTTGGTTGGTGAGTTTCTCGAACACGTTTTGCAGGTCATTCGCGAGATGGTCCTGAGCGATCCAGTGAGACCACACGATCATCGAGAAGAAAGCGACGACCCCGCACCTTGCGTTTCTGGTAATAGGCCAACCGCACCGGGTAAAAGTCCTCCAGAATCTCCTCAGGAGAGTCGTACTTCTTCATCTGGCCCTCAAAGTCGAAGCACATCATGTTCGAGGTGGTTGTCTTGCCCGTCAACTTGAAAAACTCGAGCAGACCCTTCTCCTCAGCGGCCTCCAGCTTCTTCTCGTCCATCGAGATGACAAAGTGCACGTTCTCGTTGTCATGGTGCTCCTTGTAGTCCTGTTGCTAAGCTTGAGCAGACCGTTCCAGCATGATGAATTCCTTGAACAGACCTTGATGCTCCCCGCCTCAATCATCGCCTCTAACTCGACCTTGTAAGCAGAAGTCCACTTGTGGATCGGCAGCTCCGTGATCTCGACCGAGGTGTTGTTGATCTTACGGGCGACGCCGAGCACATCGTACTTGTGCTTTGCCGTTGCTTTGATCTCACCGGTGTACCCTCGCCACCACGGATGCATCGGCACCAGTTCCTCGCTATTCATCAACCGGCGCAGATTGGCGACGACGTCGGACGGGTTGAAGCAGGGGATGTTCGTGCTCCATCCTGTTCAGCGCTCAGTTAGACAACTGCACACACGTAGACGATCGACAGCCCAAACAAGCACACGCACCCGTGCCGATACCCTCTGCACCATTGATCAGCACCAACGGCACGACGGGCAAGTACCACTCGGGCTCAACGACCTGGTTGTCGTCGGTTTGGGCTTTCAGCAGCGGGTCGTCGTGCGGATTGAATAACACGCGGGCGACGGGCGTCGGCATCGTGTGGATGTAACGCGCAGAGGCATGGTCCCGTCCTCCCATCTCACGCGTACCGAATTGGCCTCCGGGCTCGAGCAAATTCATGTTGTTGCTACCGACGAACGTCTGGGCAAGATTGATGATGGTCTGGGCCAAAGAGATCTCGCCGTGATGGTAGGCGGCGTGCTCGCCGATGTACCCGACGAGCTGCGCGACCTTGACTTCCTTCTTCAAGTTTCGCTTGAAACACGCCCAAATCACTTTCCGTTGACCCGGCTTCAGACCGTCGGCGACGGAAGGGATAGATCGCACGTTGTCGGCCATAGAGAAGAGAATTAGCTCCTTGTTGATGAACTCCGAGTAAGGAATTTCCTCCATGCGGTGATCGAGGTAAGTTCCCGGCTTCGATTCAAGTTAGAGAGGAGATGCAAGTTCTAAGAAATGCAAACGCACCTTGAACTGTCGGAGCCATTCCTTACGATCGTCTGTCTTCTTTTTGCTGAATGCGAGGTCGATCAATGCTCGGTCGCCATCCTGCGTCGGTGCGAATGGAATCATATGCTTCTCCATGTGGCTGAAGTAGTCGCGGGCATCCTGATCTGTGCTAGTTCCGAGACCCTGCTCGTGGTGAGTGAAGCCGCGATATCCAACAAATTCGGACGCACCTTGTAGTACTTGGGATCCCATTTCGTCGCGTCCGGGGTGTCTTCAAGCCACTGATAATATTCAGGCAAGGTGAAAAAGTCTTTCCACTGCTTCCCCTTCTTGACCTGAAAACCATTCAATCGCCAATATTGATCATGACCAATGCTCTTACTCGGACGATGGGAGTCACGAACTCGACGAGAAAGTCGTCGAGCTTCAGAAGCGACGGGTAGAAGGTGTCCAAAAAGTTGATGAGCAGACCCTTGATATGCGACCCATCGTGGTCTTGGTCGGCCATAATCATGAGCCGTCCGTAACGCAGACTGGACACATCCTGATATTCCTTGCCATGCTGCAGCCCCAAGATCTTCTTGATATTCTGGATTTCTTCGTTCTTCATGATCTGCGCATGCGCCGCCTCCCGCACATTGAGTAACTTTCCCCGGAGCGGGAAGACACCAAAGTTATCTCGTCCAACGACACTCAGCCCCGCGATAGCGAGCGACTTGGCAGAGTCCCCTTCGGTCAGAATAAGAGTGCAGTCTTTCGCGTGCTTTGTTCCAGCGTTGTTTGCATCCGAGAGCTTAGGGAGACCCGTGAGCCGGCTGCGTTTCGTCCCATCCGTCTTCTTGATCTGTTGGTCGGCTTTGAACTGGGCCCAGTTGAGGATGCTTTCGATGATCGAGGACTTTTGAACTGGACGAAGATCAATTCATGAAGGGAAATGCCACAAATTCATGCCAGGCTACCTTTCTTCATGAACTCATCTGACAACGACGGTTTCGTACCGAACTTGGACGACTGCAGTGTCAGCGTATCCTTGGTTTGACTGTCGAACGTCGGATTCTCGATGAGCGCATTGACGAAGATCCACATGTGGTTCTTGATTTGACCAGCCTTGACCGCTGCGCCTTTGTTCTTCTTCCCGATCATCGCCAGCAGATTCTTCGAAATCTGGTCCGCGATGAGGTTCACGTGAGTTCCGCCCTTGGAGGTCGAGATAGAGTTGGCGAAGGAAACCTGCTGGAAAGTCCCATCCGAGACGGCAAAGGCGACCTCCCACCGATTACTGATGCGCTCGAAAATCATCTCCGTCTTGGGAGCAGCAACGCCGGTCGCATCTGAGGTGGCCGCAGCAGCGGACGACAGATAGAGCTCGACATAAGACTTGAAGTTCTTGACCTTGGAGATCCGCTTGCTGTTGTAGAACACCTTCACATCTCTCACGGTTCCGGCCATATCATACACTCGCTTCCGAAGGAGACTGAGCGTATCTTCGTCGATTGCTTCCATTCCGAAACGCTTCAAGTCAGGCTTGAACGTGATCTTCGTCCATTCCTCTCCTTTCCCGTTCTTCGTGATCTTCGCCTTGCCGCATTTACCCATATTCTCCGTCCACACCTGCTTGTACTTCTGTTCCGACTTCTTGTCCGCCGTTTCCACCGTGAACTCATGCGAGTAGATGTTGGCAAGTTTGGCACCATAACCATTACGGCCACCTGTAAGCTTCTTCTCGTCGTCGTCAAAGTTGGATCCAGCAAGGAGGTGACCGAAGATGAGCTCAGGAATGTAGACTTTCTCCGTGGCATGCATCTCGATAGGAATGCCGTGACCATTGTTGTAAACGGAGATCGTATTCTCCTCGACGTCGATCTCAACTTTGAGCGTGTCCATCTTGGGGTCATTGATCTGCACGACGATCAGCTGTGGGTGCCACAGAAAGAGCGCAGGCGAGAACCTTGTGATCAGCAGCATTGACTAGAATTTCGTCCACAATCTTGAAGAACCCTGGCACGAAGGTGACTTCCCGGAACACCATGCGATCAGTCTCGGCATCGTGAGTCCACATCTGCTGCGTCAAGGTCTCCACGCTCCCGATGTACGAGTCCGGTCGTATTAGAATATGTTGAATCTGGGAGAGCTGCGGGACGCGTGAGTGGGACCAGACCGATAAGACCCTGATTGGCGCTTGCGGCACGTACCTTGGTGTATTTCTGACTCGTAGTCTTCGTCTTCGCAAGGGGTGCTGGTACGTCATTCTCCGTCGTCGGGCCTGCCATCTCAACGTCGGATGCGTCGGCATCGCTCATCCCGTCTGCATCGTTGCTGTCCGCAAGCACTTTCTTCTTGGGGACTGCCTTGGGTTTGCTAGCCGTGGTGGCTTTTGCTTTGCTCGCTGTCGCCTTGCTGGAGGCAGCCTTGGCAGCCTTCGGTGCAGCCTTCGGTTTCGCTGCAGCAGTCTTCTTAGTCGTCTGCGCAACGCGTCAAGTCCATTCGCGCAACGACACGCTGTGGGGCACAGACCTTCTTGGGCGCGTATCCCTCCGACTCGGACCCATCGGAGTCATAATGGTCAAAGTTTTCGCCCTCCGAGGAGCTCATGTTGAAGTGGCGCGAAACGGTGGTCACTGAGTGGAAGGAGTGCTGCTGCAAAGCGTGATGCGCGTCTGGTTTGTTGATTTGGGCCCGGCACGTGCGCGTGATAAGTTGACGTGCTGGAACAACATGGCACTGACGCTCAGTCGATGAACGTTGTGCCTTGCGAGGAGGCGCAACATTCACGACAGAGCTTGACGCGCTGAAATGACGAGTTTGCCCCAATACCCGCTGTCGCTGTTGGGCTCTGAGACGAAATTTTGCAAGTCACGGGACCGGTCATGGTGTCCGTAATTCTCAATTCCGCACTTTTGTGACCATACATCGGTAAGGAAAGTATTGAACTTGGTTCTAACAGAATATGTACGAGTCATCGAGCTTGGATTAGATGAAGCGAATCAAGCGCCCTTGTGCTTGATAATTGGTCTTGTGAGGTATCGTCGTGTGAGTGTCAAGAGGGCGGAGAATAACCCAAACGGTGGAAACAACCAGCTCAACTTCCAACTCCAACCCGCTCTGCGCTCAAGATCCTGTACCAGAGCGTTCACCTTCTCTTCCAGGTCATGCAACGTGCCGGTATTGTCGATGACAGTGTCGGCGTATTGCGCCTTGTCCTCGATAGATAATTGAGATTTGACTCTTGCAGAAGCTTCATCTTCCGTCGAAGCGTCCCTAGCCAAGAGCCGTTCAAGCTGGACGGAAGGAGGACTGCAGGAGAACTTCAAAACGTGAACGAGGCTGCCGTTTAGCACATAGTGCGCACCAATAAACTACGACCACCATCCCAACCAGCTTCCATAGGGGACCCTCGATGAGCAGAGGTACGTCCAGTATACAGTATTTTTCACCAGAAATCCAATTTCTCAATACGCCCCAAAGCATGGCTCGTCTCACAGCAGGATGGATGATGGAGTTGAGTGTGCGTCGCTTGCTCTCGTCGTTGAAGATGATCGAGCCCAACTTCTTCCGGTCCAGCGTTCCATCAGCCTGAAGAACATCCTTCCCGAAAGACTTGACGATGCGCCTGAGGCCTGGCGTACCGGGTTCAACGACTTGTCGCGCGATGACGTCTGCGTCTACGACTGGCAGACCCTTCGCTTTGAGCTGATTCGACACAGTAGATTTACCGGTCGCAATCCCGCCTGTCAGGCCTACGACTGCTCACATTTCAATGATACGTGTTGCATAGAGAAGAGGCGGCGTCACCGAGCATCAGAACGGGGTAGTGGACGTGAACAAGCAGTGATGACCGTGACTACGCCGTGACGACCGCGCTTTGAACATAGACCGCTATGTCGAATCCAACTATTCCTACGGAACAACTGCTAGAGCTTCTGGTTCAACTCAAGGTACCAAGAGGGTCTACTTCTCTTGACTCTGATTTCCTAAGCACAGCAGAAAACGACACCGGCTTCTGCTCGACAAATCTTGAATGACAGACCCCAGATTGCTTATGCTCTCATTTCCCTCATGGTGTCTATGGATTGTATAAAGTTCGACGTTTTCCAAGTACATAAACCTCAGAACTCCATAAACCGCTGTAAATTGAATTCGAAACCAGAAAATCTTGGCCGAGTACGGCGCTGCCGCTGCAGCACCACCTCCCATGCCCATCGCACCTCCACAACTCTCAGCAGTCCCGCCTCATATGCAACCAGCTCCGCACTCGAACTCTCGAACAGCCACTCCACCTGCATATCAAGCGTCGGGGTCTACCTATCCGTCTTACCCCCCTCAGAATCCAAATCCCGGCTGGGGTCGTGGGCCCCCCCAGGGTTATGGCGGGCAACCGCCCACGAGCTATCCCGCGCCATCATTAGCGCGGCCAGGGCTCAATGAAGCACTAGCCGTCTATCCCGAAAATCAGAGAGTATGTCCTCCCTTCCTCTGCTTACTTCACCTTCCTTGATTTCACACCGCTCTAGCAAGTGATATTGACTCTACTGTCCTTGACGCCAGAGCAAATCAACAATCTCCCACCGGCAGATCGCGCAAACGTTTTACAAGTGGTATGTGCTGTACTCCGCGCGGTGAAGGCCTTGCATCTGGATAGTACTGACTCTCGGCTGGCAGCGAGCGTCACTGGGCTTTCAATGATTAAGGATCGGGAGGGTTGTGATCATCTATTCGTGAGAACAGGGCCTGATGTATATTTATGATTGTGCGCCGGGTCTACCACTAGTGAATGTCTAAGTACTCCATGACCGCACTCCCTTCCTTAAGTCGTATCTTATCTTATCTTATCCGTCGACCGTCATCAATATCACAAGCAAATCTTTCTTCCTTAGTACCACGAGCATCGTCGACGACTCACCGCCCGCATGCCACACAAACGCGCCAAGCGCTCAGTCAGGGATACTCAACGTGCTTCAAAGTAAGCAATGACCAAAAGCTCGCCTTGCTCTACTGATCAACAAATTTGCAGAGGCATCGACCTAGCGCCGACCCAACGCACCGCCCTGGACTCAGAACCGCTGCCCAAATCATTTGTCCGAGCGCTCAACGCTGAAAAAGTCAGAGCCGAGTATCGAGAGAAGAGGAAGCGGGCAGAGGAGGAAGGACCGGAGGAGCGCAAAAGCGGAAAAAGTTGGACAGCGGCGTGCAGGACAGCAAGATCCGGCCTGGGGAGACCCTTGCGCACTTCAACAAGTATTGAACACGTCTTCAACTTGTGAATCCTACTTACGCTCGTGCAGGAGGATTGAAGCGGATATGCGCCCCCTGGTGCGGTCTGCTGTGCAAGCGTCGAATGCTGCTGTCCGGGCGGAAAAGAAGAAAACGACCGCCGTGAAAGAACCTGAAACTCAAGAGGCAACAAAATCTACGAAAAAGCAGGACTCTGTGCTCTCTCATTCGCAGCCCAAGCACGCATCCGAGTCACCAATCCCCGACAGACCGATAAAAGACTTCGCCCGTGTATCGACTGCCGCCCCTCGCCGTCTGAACGATATAGCACAGGCTCCGCCGGACATGCTGTCGCTCGGCCATGCCCGAAGAGCGGAAAAACTCACGGGTATGGGAAAGAAGAAGAAGGATGTGATCTCTCCAGCTCAACAGCTGGCGCTTGAGGCTGCACGTCTCTCAGCGGTGGCGAAATACAGGGAGATCAAGGCTGCTCGATTAGCGGAGAAGACGACATGACCCGTCTCCGGGTTGCAACCATGCCACATCCTCCGAGCAATCAGTTGGACAATCAACGGAAGAAAATAATTTCTCGACTTGATGGTATATGAAGCACTACTGCCTACGTAAACGGCACAGGGTACTCACTACCCTCTCCAAGACTCGTTCTATCAGACCGTGTTCAGACAGTAGCAGTAGGATTCGTAGCGGCGCCATACGAACCAGTTCTCAGCAATGACCATGCGCTGCGCGAGGATCGCCGGGTGCTGTTGCCAGAGGGAGGCCCACAGGAGAATCCAGGCAGGATCGGTGTGAACGGCTGTGCAGTCGAGCTTGATGGAAGCGGGGATCGGAGAAGGTGGGTGTCCGCGATACCAGCTTGATCCATCACAAGCCTGAGTAGCTCTGTGGCCACGCTAAACGGAAACCGAGCCATTGTATCCTTCATGTCATTCAAATATGTTATGTAGTCATCGTCTTGGAATACCCAGTGTTCTGTTGTCAAGATGCAAGTTGAACAGAGAGTTCTTCCAGGAGGGTATGATCCTGGAGTCCCAGATCAGAAAGTGGTTCAGGCAATTGTAGGTAAGCATGGATCACCCAGCTCCCAAAGACACTGAACCTCCAGTAACATGGTTCTATAGCCTTTGCCCTTTCTAAAACAAGAGCCGGTGTTTTGGCTTTTATGAGAGGCTCTCAGGTGCTATTACCTGTTTCAGGTACTTGCGGAATTGATTGAGTGTCCCCTATATGTACATGTGAGCAGTAAGAACTCGATGAACATCTGACTACCAGCCTACAGAAGCCTGGAAATTGTCCATGCGCGTCAGGATATCAGTCTGTTCTTTCATCAGAACAATCAGCTGCTGCAGTCTGCACATAGCATGACCAGTCGTGACCATGCCACGTGCAATCACACTGGACGCCTTTCTATCCAGGTTGGCTTCCACTTCGGCTTTGTCGTTGTTCATGGGGGCAGATCTCATGGGGAGAAGGAAAGTGCGTTGCTCCTTAGCCCCATTGATCTCCACGACCTCGTGGGATGACTTCTCTGACAGCGGAAAGTGGGATCGATGAACTTTGATTTCCAGACGAGCATGTACAGCCATGGGCCTGAGAATCGCTGATGAGACCCTTATGGTAACATCGTCGAGAGCAAAACAGACTCGCTCGAGACAGAGTGGGAAGGATCTACAGAACTTGACGGAGCAGCCAGTCGAGAATTCGTGCACAGGTAACAAGCGTGTACGGGCACGCCGGGGCACATTGTGAACTCATCTGTCGTAACGGGAGCCGAAAGTACGATATATGATGTCACGTGGGAGGCACGTCGGTTCTCGGATTGTCATGCCGTGCTTGCGAGGCATGAGTCTAATCTATCACCTGGCACCCCGTCCCCGCAATCGTCGTTCCAGAAATCTCCTGGTACTGGGCATTGAACGCAAACGACGAGGGCGCATATACACCAAACCATCGTCCGCACGTATGGGCGAGCTCCATAGTATATGTAATCGTTGGGCCCAGGCGCCTCATCCATGGACTCAGATGCAAGGAGATGGCTCGAAGCGAACTTCTTTCCTACATTAGCCGCACCCCACCGCTTCTGAGTCCGGACTCTCTCTGCCGAAGGCCCACATATGCTCCCATCGTCACGGAAGAGCGGATCCTGATCCTTTCGCCGTCGAATCTATTTTGGGATGTTTAGCTGGTTGACTTGCTTGCTTGTCTGCTCCTCCCACCGATGCAAATGCAGCAGCAATACTTTGGACTACGCGGAAAATCGCTCAATGGCGCTCTCGTCTGGGCCGTGGTGCTTCCCGCCTATCTTCTGTTCGGGTACAATCAAGGCGTTGCGGGTGGACTGCTGGACCTCCCCGATTGGTTGGCGACGTTCCCGACCATGGACGATGTGACCACTACGGGGAGCCAGAAAGCGGCGAACTCGCGTATCCAGGGTGCCACTGTAGCGGTTTACACGCTCGGCGCGCTTTGCGGCGCTCTAGCGTGCAGCGTCATTGGCGACAAGCTCGGCCGGCGGCGGACGATCATGCTGGGTGCGGTAATCACCAGCATTGGCTCAATCCTGCAGTGCTCTGCCTTTGCATACGCCCAGCTCGTCGTTGGGCGGTGGATTTGCGGACTCGGATTCGGCATGATCAGCGCCACCGCTCCCAATTGGCGAGTGCTCATTCCTGCCGTCGACTCGCCCACTCGGCGCTGCTGACCACTTCTTCAGGCAGACTGAATGTAGCCGGGGACACCGTGGATTCGTTGTCATGCTCGAGGGACTGTTCATCTCCGCTGGATTTGTGATTCAAGCTTTCCTCAATGTCGGCATGTCGCACACGTCCGGTGGTCTGTCCTGGCGCTTCTCATTGGGGTTCTCGTGTTTCTTTGCGATCATTGTTCTGCTATCAACGCCGTGCTGGCCAGAATCTGTGCGTGTTTCCGATGGTCGCAGGAGCTGTAGTGCCGACTATCACCTAGCCCCGATGGCTCGTCAAAGTTGGCCGCATCGAAGAAGCTAAATGGGTCATCGCGGCGTTGGACGATGTACCGGTCGACAGTCCGTCCGTCATTGCGGAGATCCGTGAGATCGAACTGTCTCTGGAGGAAAACGGTAAAGGCAGCTTTAGCGATGTCTTCCGTAACGGACCGAATCGCTTCGCCAACCGGGCCTTCATTGCCGCAGCGGCGCAATGCTTCCAACAGATGTCCGGGATCAATGTTTTGGGCTATTACCAGACCACGATCTTCAGGACCTTTCTCGGCCTCAGCTCCGACACGGCTCGCATTCTGTCTGCAACTGTTTTCACATGGTAAGGGCCTAAAAAGGCATCCCTCTCAGTGCTGACTGCGCCGCTTCGATAGGCAGACTCTCTGCGCTCCGATTGGCGCATTTACCATCGAGACCGTGGGTCGCCGCAAACTGATGATGTTCGGCGCTGCCGGGATGGGAATGTGTATGGCGGTAGTGGCTGGGTGTACTTCCCACCCGGATAATCATACTGCCGTACATGCTGGCATCGCCTTTATCTATCTTTTCAGGTACGTAACTTGCAGCTCGAGACATGCATCTGGTGTTGACAACTCACCAGCACGTTCTTCGTGACGGGATTTCTGGGACTTGCATTCTTGTACTCGTCCGAAATCTCGCCTCTTAGCGTCCGCACACACATGACTGCCCTTTCGACCACTTCCACATGGCTATTCAACTTCACCGTCGTCGAAGCGACCCCTACGGGCTTCTTATCGCTTCGCAACAACTACTTCATTATCTATGCGTGTATCAACTGGTTCATCATCCTACCCAGTGAGTAGCCCATCCTTCTTGATCGGCTTTGGACGCTCATATTTGACGCACGCAGCGGTGTATTTCTTCTTTCCCGAGACGCAGGGCCTATCTTTGGAGCACGTGGATAGTATTTTCCTCGAGAGCCGAAGCATATTTGACCCAGTCCGCGTCTCCAAACGCCTGCGCGCGACGAAGGAGGTCGAGCATGGGCCGGTGGAAGTTGATGAGAAGGCTTCGGAAGAGAAGACGGAATTTAAATGAGGATCTGTGAATGTTTGTAGTATGATCGTGATGGAATAAGTATGAGAAATGTTGCCTCGGTTTAGTGCTTCGGTCATGTGATCGCGATGTGCGATGACTGAGCCACTAAAAGTTTTGACTTCGATCATCTGGGTCCTCCGGGCATCTCTCTCTTCTGAACACTCGCCTCACATAGAAGAGTGTCGATCCTCTGTTATATACTTCCTTGATCTTGCTCCACGGCCCAAGATCTCGAATGGCATCAGACACAACGCCCGCTGCCCCCTCGCTCTTCCCCACTATCGGCTCCATCGCAGATCAAACCGATCTTTTGCAGGAGCGACCCACAACTCCAGAGCACGGTCAGCAGGAAACTGAAGGAAATGAAGAGAAAGCTGTTGAGGAGATCGAGTCCCTGTGTATGAAATGCCACGAACAGGTGCGGGCGATGTGGATAGACGTCCTCCAGTCTGACTGACTCGAACCTAGTAGGGCGTCACCAGGATGATGCTCACGTCCATTCCGTACTTTAGGGAGGTCATTGTCATGTCCTTCCGGTGCGAGTTCTGCGGCGCTACGAACAACGAAGTGCAGAGCGCCAGTGCGATTCGGCGTAGGTCGTCCTCCGTCCTCAGGTCTCTGCTTTTCTGATGTCGCTGCCTGATAGCTGAGGGGACGATATACACTGCGCATATTTTGCAACGTGCGGATCTTGACCGGCAGATCGTGCGCTCGCCGACGTGCGAGATCTTTCTTCCCGACTACGAGCTCACGCTGCCGCCTTCTCTCCGCGGCCAGCTCACCACCGTCGAGGGCCTCATCAGGGACGTCGTAACCGACCTGTCCATGGACCAGCCCCTGCGGCGGATCCAGGATCCTCCCACGTACGACAAGATCCAGACGTTGGTGGACAAGCTGCAGCTGATCCTTGGCGACGAGGAGGAGGAGGAGGAGACGGAGGACGGCGATGACGCGCCTAAAGTGAAAGTGATCACCTCTGCCGCGCAGAAGACGCATCTTCCCATGCCGGCGTTTACGCTCAAGCTCGATGACCCGGCGGGGAACTCGTGGATCGAATTCATCGGGAGTGTGTCCGATCCGAAGTGGAACATGCGCTCGTACCACCGGACTCTGCAGCAGAACATCGCGCTGGGACTGGTCGCTCCTCCTGAGGAGCAGGAAGGGGCTGACGCCGCGGCGGCGGAGGAGGAGGAAGCTGTGGAGAAGTTCGACGGCGAGAACGAGGAGGTGTACATCTTCCAGGGCGTGTGCTCGAGCTGTGGGCATCCTTTGGACACGCTCATGAAGAAGGTGGCTATTCCGTATTTCAAGGTAAGCAGAGAGAGAGAGTCCGGCGTGTCACATCCTGGTTCTTACGTGCATGCGACCAGGATATCTTGATCATGTCCACGAACTGTGATCGTTGCGGCTATCGAGATAACGAGGTCAAGTCTGGGTCCGCCATCTCAGAGCAAGGGAAACGGATCATCCTCAAGATCGAGGACCGGGAGGATCTCTCGCGCGATATTCTCAAGGTGCGTTCTGCTTGCATCTATCGGTGCGAGGAAGCTCACTCGGACGTGCAGAGTGAGACTGCCGGGATGGAGATTCCCGAGATCGATCTGGTCCTGCAGGAAGGGACACTCGGAGGGCGTTTCACGACGCTGGAGGGTATCCTGGAGCAAGTCTACGAGGAACTCTCCGAAAAGGCTCTGGTCGGGGACTCTGCGCAAGACTCGGATCGCGTAGCGTTCGAGGCGTTCCTCGGCAAGCTCAAAGATGTGAAAGAGGCCAAGCAGCCGTTTACGCTCATCTTGGACGACCCGCTGGCCAACTCTTACGTGCAGAATCTGTATGCGCCGGATCCCGACCCGAACATTGTTGTGGAGCTATATGATCGCACGTTTGAGCAGAATGAACACCTGGGCTTGAACGACATCAAGGTCGAAGGGTACGAGGAGGAGGACAAGGACGAACAAAAGGCCGAGCCATAGAAAGTGCTCTAGTGACATGTAACGATTAGATGTATTCCTAGTAGCAGTGCCAGCAGGGTTAGGCAATTATACATTATCCGTGCCGTCACTGCCAAGGATGGTCCAAGATTGTCGTCACCGCCACCATCATATGATCCACACGATTGCCACCACTGGACGGCCCGCGACGGGTGACTAAGAGACCTTGGGGACCGCAGACCTGACCCTTCGAGCCCGATGCTCCATGCAACTCGGAGGTTTACGCAAGCTAGGTTGCCATGTGTTCAATTGCAACGGCCTGCTCAGCTCACCTTATCCGAGCCATCCCTGGATGAGATAAGATAAGATCAGGACCAGAAACTCGGGGAATCCGAATAGGCACGTAATTGTGAATGCCGTTCCCGACTCGGCCCCGGGCGGATTCGCCGTAGCTTCCACGTCTACGGGTGATTCTGTCGACGAGGCGTAACTCAAAGTTACGTTGGACCGACAGACCGCCTGCAAGCTCTATCTACGGTTGCACCTCTCCATAGATCTCGATCATTTTCTCCGCACACGCGGTGTTGTTTCACCGTAGCGGTGCTGGGGTTGTCTCATTTTCTTTCCCCTCCTCCTACCTTTACCCCGAGGACCATGGATCGTCTTCGCTCCGCCGGATTGCTCGCGCTCTCTCTGGCGGCATTCGCAAACGCGGCCGTGCAGGTCACCGTGCCCGCGACACCTGCTCTCGATCCCAACGCTCAGGTACGCGATTGTGGACTCTGAGTACCAGCAACAGCCCGCGCTCACCCCCGTCTTTTTAGATCGTGCAATCTAATTTCTTGGGTATCAGCTTCGAGCTCTCGTTTATGCCCGAATATTGTGCGTCATCAGCGCCCCGGCACGCGCCGCTTACCCGCTCGCAGTCGGCAATGATACCAGCACCCTCAACCAACCTATGCTCAACTACATGGGCGGCGTTCGCGCGCGGAGTGGATCGAATCCTACGCGCATTCGGATTGGAGGAAACAGGTGCGTGGGCTCCAGTCGAATCGGCTGCGCGAAGGACTGACGGGGGCATCTTCACGCTCATCCAGCGCGGATAGCTCGCCATACTACAGCCAAGCGTCGTCGCCGATGGTGCAACTCGTTCCCGGAACGTACAATGCGAACGATCAGCCTGTCACGTACAACTCGATGCTCTGGTCCGTCATGGCAGACGTCTCGAAGAGTGTCGGCGGAGTCGCCTACGTTATCAGTGCGCTTTCCTTTTTTTCTGCTGCTCGCAGCATTCTAGAGCTCGACAGACGTCCCCCTCGCTCTTCCGCCCAATGCGAGCCTTTCGGACGACATGCGAAGGATTCTGGGAAAGGATCTGGACTCTATGCTCCTCGGAAACGAACCTGATCTGTACAGCGGGTGAGTTTGATTCAGTCTGCCCCTATCTCTGTTTATACAGACATTTCGCAGCCATGGTCAGTCAAACGCCCGAATTCCTAATAATTCGCTTGTGCCGACTGTTTTACAGGCAAGCGTCCAGGAATGACCAACTACACAGGTGTGCATCTTGTCTGTTATTCTTCGATCCGCTCACCTGTAATCGTTATTCGCAGTCGCTGACTATCTGGGCGTGCGTTCTCCCGCTTGATCAAGTCAGAAAGCTTTTGACACATCGAACTCGTATAGGATTTCTCCTCTGGTCTCAACGTAATCGGCTCCAAAGATGTGGCGGGTGTCAAGGATGTCGGCGGCCCCAGTGTATGTTGCAATTGGGTAAGTCTGTCCTGATCCCATTTCTGAACAAGCTGACGCTGTCCCCAGGATCTGCTTTCTCTTTTACAACAAGGGTATCTGTCGCAATTTACACCGGATCTCAAATACATCGTGCTACAACACTATCCTCAAAATAACTGCTTCGGATCCTTCAAGTATCAGCTGCCGTACTACTTACAACACGCGAATGGTGAGCGGACAGCTTGACCGGATACGATTTCGACCGCTGATGCGGGCAGTCGTCGAGCTCGGACAGTGGCAGAAACCTGGCATCGACTATCTTTACTCGCAGCCTGCCACTGGCCGCCCGACTTTGATCAATTCCGAGTTCAACAGTGCTTCCTGCGGCGGCGTGCCCTATTCTCCTGCTTTCGGAGTCGGGTCGCTGTGGATCATGGATTACTCTTTGCAGATGGCTGCGGTTGGCTACACCCAAGGTCCGCCCTTTTTTATGCCTTTAGCAGGACGACATGCTGACGGAAGATTTCCATAGCGTACATCCACACTCGGGAAGCTGTATGTGCGATGGAACCGCCGTCTAGCCGTGTCTAATCAGATGTCAGGGGATTTCGTACAACATGCTCAAGCCGCCTATCGGTCCCGCGGGAACTGCCGGAGCCTGGGTCACCAACTCCCCGTACTATGTCAGCAACTCCATCACTCTACTCCGTGTGTGGATTCTGAGATCTGTCGCAGGCACTGCTCGCGGTCACGGAGGCGCTGCTCACAGACAACGGTGCTCACGTGGTCGACCTCAACCTCGGTGGATCCAGCTCGAATGTCAATGTGACTACGGCTGGGTACGCCGTCTACAATGCCGGAAACCAGACTGTCAGCCGTCTGATCCTCTTCAATTACGGCAACTCGTCGACCGACTTCGCCATCCCCGGGTCAGCCTTCAGCTCTTCTGGCACTGCGCTCGTCAAGTTCCTCGCGGCTGCGACACCCGAAGAGGAGACCAACATCTCCTGGGGTGAGCTTTCTGACCCGTTTTCAGTTCGGCGGCTGACAAAGGTCTGACGCAGGGGGTGAGACTTGGGCTCCCGGTGACGGCAAATCGTCTGGCTCGCCGAGCTGGGCTGTTCCGAACCAGAATCTCTCAGGTTGCTCGACCAACGGGTGCACATTCACAGCGCCAGGGCCCAGCATGGCCATGGTCTTCCTGGACAATGCCCAGTACGCAACGATCGCCGCTGTGAATCCCTCCTCCTCGTCTACTGGTACCGCGGGAGGCTCCTCAAGCTCCCCGTCGCCTTCGTCTGGCGGCCATAGTGGGGCTGCCCATGTACTCGCCCAGCCTGTCAATGCGCTTTTCGGTGCTCTGCTCTCCGTGTTATCGTATGTTCTGTTGTGATATATTACTGCTGACACGGCAATGCTTTCCGTCATCCGGACTGTACATAGAGTACTAAAGTTGTAATCTGCGTTTGCGAGAGCAACATCTACATACACGCTCGTTTTGTTTTAGCTTACGGTATATACCTACTACACAGCCACATGATCTGAGCCTCACGGCTTTCCCCATCTACGATGAACTCGGCGGACAAGGACGATTTCACTTTTGCAAAACTATCCGACATAAAGCTACCGGTTACGTTCCGAATGCACGTCCACGCGTTGGCTAGCAAGGACAGCGTCCACCAGACTAACGATATTGCACAGATCCCAGCTCGAAGGCGTGCGTCAGCCGCGCACCTTCACCGAGCTGCTCGACAACCCCGAGCTGCGCTTCCACGGCGTCCAATCTCCGTGCGTGCGCCGCTCCCCCGCGTCCAATCCCTCTTCTTATCTATCCACTCATTGAAGAACCCTCTCAGACTTATACGTTACCTGTCAGCTCACCGCAGACAACAAGCCGCTGACGATCCCGTTCCGCACGTCCTTCAAGGCGTTCAAACACAGCTATACGTGGAACGAATGGATCACGCTCCCCGTGCGCTACTGCGACCTCCCGCTGGGCGCGCAGATCGTGTTCACCGTGTGGGACATCGCGGGCCCGCGCGCGGCCATCCCCGTCGGGGGGTCCACGTTCCGCATGTTCGGGAAGAAGTGGTGGGTCCGGTTGTGAATGTACAATGCGGAGGCCGCTGATTCGTCCAGGACGCTGCGGCGCGGGAAGCATCGACTGCATTTGTGGCGGGATGTAGAGGGCGATGGGTCGGTTGATTCTGCGACTCCGAGTAAGCTGGACGAACGGGATGAGATGGGCCGGCTGGAAAAGGTGGGCTTCCTTTGATCCCTCGGCCAGTACATTAAGACTCATGCGCCCCTTAGCTAGTCAAGAAGTACGAACGGGGCGATCTCTCGAAATGCGACTGGCTGGACAAGATGGCGTTCCGGAAGATGGAGGAGGTGCATGCAGCCGAGACGGCCAAATCGGAGAACCTGTTCCTGTACATCGACCTTCCCCGGTTTGACTTTCCCGTCATCTTCAGCGAACCCGAGGTCCCCACCGCGTCGACCTCCGCTCTTCCGATCCCGTCGGCGCCCATCGTTCTATCGCCCTCTTCAACCTTTTCCTCGGAACCCCATCTCTGGGCTATCATCGATCCGGACATTGCCCGCGAGAACCCCGTGGAGGACAAACACCGCCGTCTGGTTCGCAGTCACCGGAGCAGCCCATACGATCGCGAGCTCAAGCCCAATGCGAAGATCCGGGACGAGCTTGCTGTGCGTGTCGAATCTTTCACTATTCTGCTTGTCTCATTTTTCCTAGGAGATTCTCAGTTACGCGCCGAGTCAACCACTTACTTCCGAGGAGAAAGACCTCATCTGGAAATTCCGATTCTACCTCGTGCGCGACAAGCGAGGGCTGACCAAGTTTTTGAAATCTGTGACATGGAGAGACTCTTCGGAGGTCAAGCAGGCTGTGGAAGAGCTGCTGCCACAATGGACGGAAATAGACACCGATGACGCGCTTGAACTGCTAGGGCCCGGCACGGTCGACTCGAGAGTGCGAGCTTTTGCAGTGCGACAACTGAGTCGAGCCGACGACGATGTCAGTGCCGTCCAATTGCTACTGCACGATCGCTGATGAGTTCAACAGGAGCTTTTGTTGTATCTGCTGCAACTGGTGCAAGCGCTCAAGTTCGAGAGCACGGCTGCAGATCAGCGTTCTTCGCGCACGACCACGACGAGTGCTATATCGTATGACGACAGTGGATTGACCGACTTCTTGATCAGCCGAGGTGTTTCCAACGCCGTGCTAGGGAACCGGCTATATTGGTACCTGATCGTCGAGGTCGCGCAAGATCAGTCCGTGGCCAAAATGTACGGACGTGTGGTGTTCCGGTTCATGAACAAGATCGTCGAGAGCGAAGGCGGGTCGGAGCGAAGGGAGCTGATGCGGCGACAGGGTCTGCTCATCGACACGCTGGCGAAACGAGCGAACGAGCTGCGGACGTCGAAGGACCCGCGAAACAAGAAAATCGAGAAGCTGCGCGGGATCATCACCGACACGAAAAACAACCTCGCGTCGATGGCCCCGCTTCCCCTGCCGCTCAATGCGTCGATCGAGATCACGGGGATCGTGGCTGAACAGTCGTCGGTGTTCAAGAGCAATCTGTTTCCGCTGCTGCTATACTTCCAGTGCTCGGACGGATCGACGTATCCTGTCATCTTCAAGGACGGAGATGACATGCGGCAGGACCAGCTCGTCATTCAGCTATTCACGCTGATGGATCGCTTACTGCGCAAGGAAAATCTCGACCTCAAGCTCAGTCCCTATGATGTGCTTGCAACGGGCCCGCTGCAGGGCATGGCACAGTTCATTCCCAGCAAGACCATCGCAGCGATCGTCAGCGAGCATGGAAATCTGTTGAACTATCTTCGCGCTCATAACCCCGATGCTGGGAGCGTCGGTACGTCGGGTGTCGAGCCGAGCGTGATTGATACGTTTGTGCGTAGTTGCGGTCAGTCCGTTTCTTGCTTTTCGTTTTCCTCTCTCTAAACTCTTCTCAGCTGGTTACTGTGTGGTGACATACCTGCTGGGTGTCGGGGATCGGCATTTAGACAATCTGTTGTTGGCACCAGATGGTTAGCTGGCCTATACTTCTTGCAACTCTAGCATACTGAACCGCCGAAGGGCACTTTTTCCATGTAGACTTCGGATACATCCTGGGGCGTGACCCCAAACCGTTCCCACCCGCGGTAAAGGTGTGCAAAGAGATGGTGGACGGAATGGGTGGCGTGCAATCGCCCCATTACGCGCGCTTCAAGAATTTTTGCTTCACCGCGTTCACGATCCTGCGCAAGAGCGCCAATCTGATCCTCAATCTCGTCTCGCTTATGGTCGACGCAAACATTCCCGACATCAAGCACCGGGACGTGCACGAGCAGCTGCAGGAGAAATTTAGACTGGATTTGACAGAGGAAGAGGCCATCAAGCACTTCGAGACGCTGCTCAACGAGACGTCGTATATCACGGTCGTATTCGACCGCATCCATGACATGGCGCAGTATTGGCGTAGTTAGAGTAGTCGCGGCCCGGAGCGTGTAGAGTATGCAATGCGGATATGTATTCTGATGTGCGGAGTGTGTGTATTAACGGCGGTTTTCGAAAGCACGGAGAAATGTCTACTTCTTGCTCCTGGTGGGTTGGCGAAGGCGCGCCCGCGGTCAGTCCGAGGCGTAAGCACGAAAAACCCCGACACGCACTTCCATGTGAACCGCTTTTTCGTCGGCGAGAACTCCCCCAGCTTATGCCCCACCATGTCCTGCGTCACCACCACCGGGACGTAGTCCCGCCCGTTGTGCACGAGGAACCGGATTCTGCGGAACGTGAGCGCCCGCGGAAGCATGTTCTCGGAATAATGCACACGCACCCCACGAATGTCGGCAGGATAGTACATGCCCGCGCGTCGGTCTTGATCGGGATATGGCTCTCCGCTGCCTCGCGAAGGTTGGGGAACGCGACGAAGTACGGGCCTAGTGTTCAGAACGTTCATTCGCGGCGGCGGGTGGCTTCAGAGCGCGTAATACGCACCTTTCCAGGCGGAACGGCCCGACTTGAGGAGAATTTGAGTAGGCCGCATGGCGGGCGAGCGTCCGAGTGTCCGTGCGGAGGGAGGTGGATGATGATGGAGGAGAAGACGAACAAACAAGGGTAAGCAGTGCTACGCCTTTGCTCCCAGAATGGAAAGAGAACTTTCGAATGTGGCTGCTGGTGGTGGTGGATTACCACAGCGTGGAAAAGGACAATGCTCAAATGTTTCACTTTAACAAAGTGGACAGGACAGTAAATGAACAAAATCGAGCTGCAGTAGCTGCGAGCTCAAGAGGCTAAGACGCTCGGCAAAAGATAGGGCTGCACTGGGAGTTGAACCCAGGACCTCCTGCAATCAGATTTACATCCCAAAGCAGGAATCATACTTCTAGACCATACAGCCGTGCGCGCTTCATGACAACAAGAGTCCATCATGAATGACTCAATTTGAGAGCTTTAACAACTTGCGCTTCATACAGCCTTCACTCAAATTGAGCATTCACAACACTGAAGACTACCGTCCATGACGAAAAAAAACAGCGACGTGGGATATCCCCTTTCAAGACTCTCCGTCATTCATGATCAATGAATTCCCTTCCCCACCCAGCTCTCAGGTACTGTAATCCGCTGTATTGACACAAAGCATTAAATGAATAACTGTGATGTAGAAAAAGTGATACAGTTTGGTGTGTTCTATCAAACGGATAGGAGCATTAAGGAGAAGACGGCGCACTGGCGGCCGGTGGTACGGGCGAGGAGCCCCAGATCCATTCTTGCACCGCAGCAGGCGCAGCTTCGATATCAGAAGGAAGCCTGTGTGTGTGCAACTTCTTCAGCAAAACATCCATGGACGAATCTAGAGGTAGACTGACATGAATTTAGGCTCCCATCGGTTGTTGCGGAACTCGAAGAAACGCTGGACGTGTTTCGCTCCGTTGTCTTCGAGGTTCTTGCTCCGGTTCCGTTGGGCGTCCTCGACCGCGCTTTTGGCGTTGGTCGCGGCCTCCATGTCCTTGTCCACGATGGCCTTGGTAAGGTCTTTCCAGAGGCGGCGCGACTCGTTGGGTTCCTGGTCGTCCAGGGCACAGACCCGCTTCGTGACGATGTTGCCTCCGTCCTTGTCAGCGTCGAACAAAACGTGTTTCTTGCCCGACTTGGCGCTCTTGAACTCCATGGTGTGGCTCCATCGCCCCGAGATCTCTCCGACGTCCGAAGAGTTGTGGCGCACCCGGCCAGCAATGGCATTGTAGGTCCCCGAGAAAAAGCCCTGTGATACCATACGAGATCAGACGTGCTTCAACGTGACGACCACGCACAACGCGCACGCACCTTAGTCTTGAATTCAAGGTCGCACGAAAGCGCGTTGTTGCTGTTGGTGGCCGTGCAGGTATCCCCCAGCTCGAGCACCATCTTACCAAACAGAATCCCGCGCGCGTACATGTTTGGCATGGTGATCACGTATTCTGTGCGTACAAAGAGCGGAGTTCAGTGTCGATGACAAGATGTCGGAGACACAGAGCGCCACGCACCACCATCCTGCTGACTGCCCAGCAAAATGACCCTGTTCTCTCCCTCCATCGTCGTCGAGACGCTGTTGCCCAGGAACTTGGATTTGGGCCGCAATTCGCCGACGATCGCGACGCGGTTGGCCGGGGACACATAGTAAAAGGCCGAGATCGGGGGGTGGTGAGACACTGCAGCCAGACAGACACCGCTTATGTCAACGTGCACGATCAGCATGAGCGCAGCATGACGCACCCTGCTCGGCGACGTAGAATCCCTGCGTGCCATCCGGATAGTCGTACCTGCACCGGAAAAACTCCCCCAGCACGGGGTTGTAGGGCTTCTTGACGCCCTTGGGCTTGATGTGCCACCCCGCGAGGTAGTACTGCAAAACCCGCATGAAACGCTCTTCCGGATCCGGACACGTATCCGCGCTGCACAAAACGGTCAGATATGAGGGCGCAGCTGCGCAGATGACGCACCCGAAGATGAGATCTGGGTGCGACATGAAATCGGTGATGCGCTCGAGCATGCTGCGGGGCTCCAGCACGAATGTCGGGAACGTTACACGCGAGAGATCCATTCCGATTCTGGAAGGGCATGAGGATGAGTGATAGAAAAGCGGCGCACACACCTCAGCTGGGATATGAGCGAAAGGATGATGGATCCTTCATTCTCGTCGCTGCCGATGGAGAGGGTAAGTGGTGGGGACGTCATGGAGAGTGACAACGGACAGAACAGATGTCTCATCCGGTTCCGTGTCTTCGGGAGCTCTGTCCTCATCGGAACCTCGAGGCTTTCCACGGAGGCTGGCGCCGGCCTGGCTGAACAGGCCCATCATTGCAGTCGGCAAGTAGAAACGAAGCAGTACACAGCAGCTGTTGCCCAAAGGGGTTATCGCAAGAACGTGTAATGATTCATGCGTCACGAGCAAATAACACACAACTCTGCACTGGTGCCAGGGTCAAGCCAGGGTAGAGCAGGGACCCCGGATAATGCAGTCAAATGTTAGCCCAAAATTAGCTGGTGGTCCTCATATTTATCCAACCCGTACAGGTCCGGAAATTTTGAACTTTTATGCTTACACACATTAAAACTTGAGCTTTTACCATCAGTGACAATTTCCAGGAAAATGCAGAGGACCGCGAGAGTCCGTCAGAGAGTGATGGAGAAAATGATGGCAGGGTGAATTAGTGGGAATGGGCCATCGAAAGAAGAAAAAAAACGAAATAAAATTTGCTATACAAAACATACTAAAGTGGGTTGCAGTCGATTTGGAAGCCTACAAAAGTGTAACAGGACAATCACTGCTGAACCAGACTACCACTCAACAATTTTTGTTCAACACCTGTGTTCTACCTAACCGAACAGAATTGTCCAATAGCGATTTGACTGAATTATCCGGGGTCCTGGTCAAGCCAGGGCACAGCATTAGTCTATGTCATCTAGTCAAATATGATCTTGGTGGGTTTGCTAGGCATAGGAATGTCGTTCCTGAAGAAAGCGCCGTACGCGCTGTGCTCCTTTTTTTGATCGTCATCGGGAATTTTTTGAGACCCTCGCACTCAAAACCACTCTCTCGCAGCACCTTGGCCAGCTCCCCTGCGATGCTGCGCTCGTGATTGTCCCCGGTGAAGAACGTGATTGATTTCCCGGATTTGCCCCCTCGGCCTGCGGGACCAGGTCAGCCCAGGCATCGCAGAAAGAACGAGGCGCCACATACCAGTCCGCCCGATCCGGTGGATGTAATCCTCGATAGTCAGCGGGAACGTGTAGTTGAGAACCAAACCGACGTTCGGAATGTCCAGCCCGCGGGCGGCGACATCCGTGGCCACCAGCAAACCGGTCGATCCGTTCTTGAACCGCTCCAGGGCTTCCAGGCGCGCGTTTTGGGACAGGTCGCCATGCAAAGCTCCGACGCTGTACCCGTCTCGCCTCAGCATCTCCTCAACGCGGGATGCCTCTTTTTTGTAGAGCGCGAACACGAGAACGCGATTCTCGCCGCTGCCATTAGTCGTCGTTTTCTTGTGACCAAATTGGCGTAGGTGCTTCAGGAGACGTTGGCTGCGAAAGCCATCAGGACCCTCTGACAGCGCTGCATTCTTATCAAGCACGTACTCTTTGGACCTCGCATCGTCAAACACCTCCACCTCTTGTGTGACACGGCTGTTCGCGGTCAAGTCATCGCTGCCGACCGTCACGCGCACAGGATCCTGCTGGAACGTGCTCGCCAGCCGACGCACCGCTTCCGGCCAGGTTGCACTGACTATGATCTGAGATTCAGCACAGAGGGAAGATATACCGTGAGGACTGAGAATTACACATCACCGTCTGCCGGTCAGCGCCTTGTTTCGTGTTAGAGATGATGTTGCGGATATCGTTCTCGAATCCCTTGTCAAGCATCCGATCTGCCTCGTCGAGCACGAGGTAGTTAACGCTGGCAACGGTGCATTAGCACATACAGTCGCACGCGAAGAGAGCACCCACTTGCTCAGATCGCATGCGCCCTCCTGCACGAGATCCAGTATCCGACCCGGGGTCCCGACGACGATACGCGTGGTGGTCCCCTTCTTCCCCTTGTTCATGTTCCGAAGCATCTTCACCTGCGGCTCCTTGGGAACACCACCGAACACAGCGACACTCGCGATGCCGAGCGGGGTGCCGATCTTGTCCAGCGTTTCGTGCGTCTGCAGTGCCAGCTCGCGCGTCGGCGCAACCACGAGCACGCTGACCGTCGAGGAGGCGTCGCTGGGCGGGGAGGAGGTCAACAGCCGGGCCAGGGCAGGTATTCCGAACGCCAGAGTTTTGCCACTGATGGCTCGTTAGCGGCGTGGCGCGCTCTCATTGCTGGGGCGCTACACACCTTCCAGTTTCTGCGATACCGACGACATCGCTCCCAGCTAGTGCAGGTGGCCAGGTGCAGGCCTGGATCGGCGTGGGCTTGGAGAATCCCGCGAATGACGATCGCAGTGCCGATGGGATGTCCAGCTGGCCGAAGGCAAGAATAGGCCGCAGGCCCTCTTTCCCAGGCGGCGTGTGTATCGTGATGGAGTTCTCGGACAAGAACGCCGCGGCTTCATCTGCAGACGCCCCTGCGAGAGCCGTCGTTCTCTCCGAGTTCTTCTGGGTTTTGTCCTTCTTCTTCTTGCCATGCTCGGGAGTCTGCACCGCCGTCGAGGATTCGGCGAGTGGCGCAGACTCAGACGCTGCTTTCTCTTGACGTTCTTTCTCCTTCTTCTCCTTCTTCCTCTTCTTCCGCTCGGCCTTATCGTCCGCCGCCGCATCCGCCATCTCGACGTCTCCCGCGGCGTCGCCTTCCTTCTCCTTCTTCTTCTTGTCCTTCTTGTCCTTCTTGCGCGTCGCCGCCGCATCTGACCAACACCAAGTGAGCACGACCCCAGGGCAGCATGGCGACAACGCGCTAGGCAGCGGAATATGCGCACCTTCTGTGATCGGCGTCACGTTCTCAGCCGCAGCCGCAGCCCCCGCATCGACTTTGGCCTTCTTTTTCTTCTGCTTGGAACCGGCGTCGTCGTCCTCGCCTGCGATCCGTGTCAGCACCGGCAGACCGCGCCGCACTCTAATCCGGTGTGCGCACCGTCGCCCTCCGCCCGCCGTTTCTTGGTCGTCTTCTCCCCGTTCATCGGGAGCACCAGTACGGCGAAGTCCTCCCCTGCGCCTTTGCGCGCCGCCTTCGCAGCGGCCTTCTCCTCCTTGCTCTTCTTGGCTTTCTTCGGCACGTCGGACATCACTTGGTCTTCAGACATCGCGTTGCGTAGGGCGGTAGCGCCCAAGTCCCCAAATGGCTAGATAGATAGACAGATATGCAGCACGCTCCGAGTCGCGTCGTCCGAGTCGCTCTAGTGCACCGACCGAACCCGATCTGAAGAAATGGCGGCGGGGAAAGTTTTCGCTGTTTGTTTGGTCGCGATCACGCCGATCAGGCGTGCGTGGCGGTACGATCTGATTGCAGGGTTGAATTTCGCCATCGATGCGGGCGCTCGAGTTTTACAGCGGCATAGGTAGCGAGTTGTCTTTGCGGGCCGCCCCCTGTGATGGATTTCTGACTTATCTTACCAGGGGGTCTCCACCTCGCTCTCGTGCGCAGCCACGTGTCCGCTGAGATCGTCCGGGCCTTCGACTGGGACCAGAACGCGTGCGAGGTATATTCCGCGAACTTTGGCCAAGGAATCGCACAGAAGGTTCTTTTCACGGCTTCATTTCTATTTTCGAGACCCTTAAGCGAAGTTCAGACGGACATCTCTACACTGACTGCTCAATATGTCGCCACACTGGATGCATCGCTCTGGCTCCTGTCGCCTGCTTGTCAGCCCTATACCGTCTTGAATCCATCCGCGAAAGGCGACAAAGATCCCCGTGCCAAGTCGTTTCTCTATCTGATCCAGACTGTCCTGCCAGAACTGGTGTCGATGGAGAAGCACCCGACGCATTTTCTAGTTGAGAATGTGGCTGGATTCGAGGCGAGTATTGTGCCCTGTGCGGCTCATCATTGTTTCATCGAAAACAGGGCTCTACGACGCGCCAAATCTTGACATCGACGCTCCAGTCGCTGGGTTACTATATCGCCGAGTTTCTGCTCACGCCGCTCCAATTCGGCATCCCGAACTCGAGACTCAGATACTATCTCCTCGCGAAACGTTCCCCATTTGCGCAGCCGGGGGATCCACATCCACTTTCTCCCTTGAGACATATTCCCGGTGCGGGCTGTGAGGACTGGGTCGACACTCGAGACGAGCCATCCGCCACCGCAGCCGCCCATCAGGACGTGACGGAAATTCGCGAGTACCTGGATCCCGACCCAGCATCAGAGGAGGATTATTCGATCCCCGAGAAGGTGCTGCGCAAGTGGGGCCGTCTGTTCGATATCGTGCTGCCCTCGGCTCGACGGTCGTGTTGTTTCACGCGAGGTGTGTTTGATGTTGCGTTCAGTGCCACCCACTGTTGAAATTATCGCGGCGTGGGAGGATACAATCAGCTCGTCGAACGCGCAGGATCCATCGTGCAGCTAAATGAGGACGAAGACGTGCGCAAGCGTCTGTCATCCAATCACCCGCCCCGATGTTGAAAATCCTGCAGACAACGTCCGTGTTCGACGCCTTCCTCGACGCACAAACAACGTCGCGGCCCGAAGATGCGGTGCGAATCCTGGACTGTCTCCGGCTGCGCTACTTCACCCCGGACGAGCTGCTCCGCATATTCGCCTTCAACCCCCTCCGCACGCCGCAGACGTTCACCTGGCCGCCGTCTGTCTCGCGCAAAGTCAAATACCGGCTCATCGGAAATAGCGTCAACGTCCGTGTCGTCACGGAGCTGATCCGTTATCTCTTCCGAGAGTGAATGAATGAATGAATCATACGAGAGCCAGGGCCATACGAAAGGCTGAAATGGACCGAAAGTTAAATTCGAATTTAAGGAGCCGGGATTCGACGCGCGGGAATTGCATCAAAGTCAAGTTCAATCGGGCGTATCCAGATACTGGCCTCAACCATTCAAAATCCCTTCCGAAGATGCATGAATCAGTGGATAGAAATACAGCATTGCAGAAATAATAGTCCAGTATACTATACATACAGCCTCCGAGACTCAAGGCCCAGAAAATCCACCTGCCGTCGTATTCATACCCATGGTATTGTTGTTCTGCATCGCAGCCATTTGCATCGTCTGATCATGGTGGTGATGGTGGTGCACGTGACCGGGACTGTGAAAATACGTCGGAGGCGGCACGTCCGGCGTATATATTGTCGTCGCCGGATACCCCGCTCCTCCGATGATATACGTGGACTGTGTCTGCCGGATCCCCTGCATTCTCCGCAGCCGCGCGTAGCGCAGCGCGGCGAACCCGAACGAGCACACCGCCACTGTGTGCGCGCGCGCGCGTCGTCAGCAGCTGCAACCCGGAATGAGGAGTGAGCGAGCGAGACTCACGGACGACGATGATCACGATGACTACGATGAAGATCGGGGGTGGCGTGCTGCTGACGCACAGGCCGCTGTTGTTGCATGGGATCAGCTGTGCGGGGGCATCTGAGATCTCTGGTTCATGTGAACGCACTTGACGCAATCTCTCCACGCGAGCGCGGGAGAGATCAGGCATAACGCAACGAGCAGAGCAGAGGGCGGTGACATAAGCATGAATGAGGGGGTTCGTGCTTCAGCATCAGCCGTCCGCTTGTTATAAGCATGCAGGGCCGGCGGGGCTGTGCGTCGAGCATGGACGCGGTGAAACGCCTCTCGTGCATCTTGGGCCATCACAGATTTCTGTGCGATACATAAATAGATACGTGCGGCTTTCTCCACCGCCAAGCACACGACAGAGCGCGGCCAGAGAAATAAAAGTCAATAAAGTACACGAACAATTACGCAGGACAGGGAGGTATACTAACGCACACAAAAGTCTGAAACCATCAAACGCAGCGGGGGCGAGAGAGCACCATCGACCGCCCACTGCTACAACCGCAGCGCCGGACGGGGGCCACCCAAGTCCCATCGTCCGGCCACGCACGATAATGTACACACACACGGAAACACATTCGCGCCGTCAGGCCCGCCGCCGCGCCGGGCGCGCCCCGCCCCGCGAGCTCTCGAAGCGTTTCAGGATCTCGGCATATCCCTCGCGGTCGACACGGTGGATGTAGTACGTCCCTCCGCTGTTGCCCCACGACACGCTCCCCGAGCGGTACTCCATCTCCGTCACGTCGAAGATCGCGCTGATGTCGTCCACCTGCGCAGATCGTCAGCACCGCACCGCACCCCTGCCAACCAAACGGAAAGCACTCGCATTTCGTTCCGTGAGCCGTGCGTTCACAGAAGGCACAAACGGCGCCAGCGACACGACATAGGCGCCCTCTTTCAGATCTAGGAATTTAGGTCGCAGCTGCTCGTTCACTGGACCCTCCATCAGACACTACACGGCGCAAAGATAACCAGAAACGAAACTCACGGCTCTGTTCAAAGACCTTGTTGTCGACCAACACGACGTCGGCCTGGCTGATCAGCTCGTTGACCCGCGCACTCTTCAGCATATCGCCCTCCTCGAGCTCGATCTCGCCCAGCCTCAAGCCCCACATCCGACAGCGCACCCGAAAGTGCTCCGCCATGTCCCGCGCCACTTTCGCCGGCGTGGGATTAAGCTCGATCCCGTAGCTCCTGCAGCCGGACTGCAAGCTCGCCTGCGCAACGACATTACCGACCCCGCTCCCCAGATCCAGGAACAGCGAGTTCTCTTTGAGCCCCGTGGCGACGACGATGTCGTAGACGAGCGACGGGAGAAGTTCCCCGTACACCGCGCTCGAGAACGCCTCGTAGTGCTTCAGCTTCTGCACATGCGGCCCGACGCTCCGCTGGTAGTTCTCCTCGATCACGCGCATGAGCACCTGCTTCGGGAGCCCCGCGTCCGTCCACTTCGTCACCATCTGCATCAGCGAGTTCGTCCGTGGGAGCGCAGGGTACTTGAACCGGCGCAGGATCTTGTTGATGTCGTGGAAGGCCTGCAGGAACATGGGCCCGTTGCGCATGTGGATCGCACGCTGGACTTGACGCAGAAGCGGCAGCCGCCCCGGCGCGGTCTCCAGCATAGGGTGGTCCTCGTCGTCAGATACGTCTGACGATGTAGAGGGGATCGGCGAGGGTGATTCTTCCCAGGTGAAGTGGCTACCTTTTGGGACTGGCCCAAAGAGCTTCTGCTGGGAAGGCGTCAGGTAGCCTGGGGCTGGATGAGCAAGAACTACCACGCAAGGACGAACACAGCGCACGGTCAACTATCATATATAACGACTGCTCGACATCCATGATAGGATTATAATGGTCCTTGTCTTTGGGGGCGAGAAGAATGAATCTTAGGGGCTTTCAGTCATTGGCTTACGCATGGACTGCAGCATACTGTACCTTTCTGCGGCATTCGAGTTCGGGTACTCAAGCTCAACCACAGGGTAGTTGGTCGGATGTGGCTTGAACGAGGTGTCAGCCAGATCGTCAGGGTTCTTAAAGTCTGCAATTGCGTGAGCACGATCGACCCCACGAACGCCTGACACAAAAGCGACACACATCCACAGTAGGTCCGCAGGAGCAGCGCAACCGCGTCCTCCGAGCTGAAATGGTGCGGGTCGTCGCCCGCATCCGCCTCGGCGCTCCACGACCGCCGCTGCGGCGCCAGCCCGGTCTCGACGGAGAAGTACGACCCCGAGCGCGACCGCGCGCTGCGGTAGATGGGCTCCGGCGTCGAGCGCGCGGACGTGTTCTCGCTCGCGGCGCGTCGCGCGGCCTTGGCGGGCGGCACGGCGCGCCTGCGCGGTTTTTCTTTGTCGCCGCGCAGCTTTTTGACCTGCCGCGGCACGGCGGCGGCGGGTTCTGCGTGTGCGCCTGGGGGGGCGTCCGGCGCGGCGGCGGCGTCCGCGGCTGGGGACTTGCGTTTGCGCGTGGGGCTCGAGATGGGGGACGAGGTGGGGGGCGTGGAGAGGGGGGACGCCGGGGTCGACTTGGACGCACGCGCCGGGCTGGAGGTCGAGGGTGTGGGGCTGGCGACGACTCGCTTGACTACGCGTGTCCTGACGTGCGGTGGGCAGGGGAGAGTGTGGGTAGCGTGCCGCGGAGGGGAGCTGAAGAAGCTGTGGTCGGTTGTTGCGCACAGCATCGTCGACGGTGGGGAGGAGGTGAAGGTCATATCACGAGTGGATCTAAAGTCATGCCACGTGTACAGCCACTGGCTCAGACAAGTTGTTTTTTTTTTTTTTTTGTGGGACGTTTACAGAGGAAGATGGTCCGACCTAGTCGTCCGTCTTACTCTCGTCATTTTGTAGGCTTTGGACTTGAGAGACCCAGCCTGTTGAGGGTTGTTCACACAAGGAAATGCGCTTGATAACCGAAGTTATCCGCACGTTACATCCGGTTGCCCGCGATGCCATGTGTGGGGCTTCGGCTCTGCGGCTCGGGAGCCGATCGGTCAGCTCCTTCATTGCCCCTTCCTAGCCGACACCCACCAAAACCCCGCCTCCCTTGGTCCAGTTCTTCGGGAGATTCACCTTGTTCGCTAGCGTTTTCGCCCAAGTCTTCCGGACCAGGGAGACTTTGATTGCCTTGGAGCCGTATTTTCCTTCGTTCGTCATCTTGCAGTCTGTTAATAGCCTCAAGTTTATAGCATTTATCCATCTGTTCTTGATCTCTTGTTCTGTTGCTTCGGCTTTTTCTTGGATTACACGTTCGCATCTCAGCCTCCATATTAGGTGCGCTGACTCTGAAGTTATGATTCTGAGTAGTCTCGATAGTCCTTCGTTCCTCGTATTCATGGCTCCACAGGCTATGATTGACCCGAAGGTCGGGTTTAGGTCTTTACCGGTTTTCATCTGCCATATCCGGTTCGCCAGCGCCCATATCTGCTTCTGGCCGGCTGCGTTGCAGCGCAGGAGGATGTGCTCCATTGACTCGATTACGTCATCTCCACAGATGTTGCACGTTGCTTTCTCTTTGTGTCCTGGGATCTTGGTCCAGTGGTGACCTACTTTGTACGCTCCGTGGATTGTCATCCACATGAAGTATCTTATACTTCTCGAGAAGTCTTTGTTTCTGACGCCCTTCCAGATCTGTTGTTCGGTCGCTTCGGTCGCCTCTGTGTGGTCTTCGTTCACCGCTTCTGTGGCTCCCATTGCCAGGTCTATGTTTTTTCTTGTGGTCTTCCTCTCGAGGGCATCTTGGTATCTGTCGTTCTTCATTTTGATTTTCCTGATTATTTTGTATGCTAGGGATTGGGTCATCGTTGCTAGTTTTGCGCCGTGTATTTTAAGGTTTTCGTTTACCTGGGTGTCGATGATGTCTGGGTCGTTCTTTTTTCGTCCGATATCGGCTAATTTGTCGGCCTTCTCGTTTCCGTCAATGCCTGAGTGGCCTTTGACCCAGGTGAGTCTCGTTTTCGCTCTTCTGTTTCGTATTTTTGTGACTGTCGTTCTTACTATATCGCTATTTGCTGTTAGGAAGAATCCTTCGTCTTGGATTTTGGTAAGGTTCTTCGTGAGGGTGTTTATTGTATACATCGAATCTGTGTATATGTGGAGAGGTGCGCCTAGTGGGCACATCTCGATGGTTTCTTTCACTGCTAATATCTCGGCAACTTGGTTAGATGGGCCAAATTCGTTTGGTATTCTGATAGATCTGTTCCGTTCGTCGTTGTCTCCGAAGAAGATTCCTGAACCTGCCTCTGTGTTATTTTTCCCATTGTTTGTTGCCGAACCGTCTGTGTACACTGTGAGTTCCACTGTTTCGTCCTCTGGGTTCTTTGCGTGTTCCAGGTATGGCGCTTCCGGGCTCGTGTTTTTCCCGTCCTCCGTGAATATTCTAAATACGTCCGCAGGTGAGCCTTTCGTGGTTATTCTTTGGTCGATCTCGGTGGTTTTTGAGTTTTCGTCCTGTGGCGCTTGTGGTACTAATTGTTCTTCGTAGTCTTCGGGTTGTCTTTTTCTGGGGTCCCATTTTGGGTCTAGTGAGTCGAGCATTTCTTCTGCCTTTTGGAAGCATTTGTATGGGTTGGTACATCCTGTTATGGTTTTCGTTATGGTGCATGCGTTACACCTGCAGTTTTTCTTCTTTGTGTGTCTTCGCGTACTATTTTTACTTGCCAGTTCTACTGCCTCTCGGACGTATTTTATTTTGTGTTTTTCCTTTAGACATTTGATTACGTGTTTGTTTGTCGTCCACAGTTTGGGGTTGCGGTTGTTCGATTTCACATGGTACCATATAATCATTTCTTCTTGTATGTTGCGTGATACGGCTATCGCTTCTATAGCAATACCATATTTTTTCCCTGCTGATGTCATTCGTGCTATATCACTCCCGATCATTTTTTGCGAAACCTTGTGTTGCCACGATTGTAGATATGCATTGAATCTTATTGAGTGTTCTACTTGGCAGCTGTCTGCTGCTATTTGTAGGGCCAGGATTTCGTCTACAATGAAGCACCATAGTGGTCTTTCTGGGTCTAATTTTAAGTATGTTTTCAGCCACATGATGGCGATTGCTTCGTTCCGTGCTATGATGTCAAGTGCGTTTCTTCCCCCGATTTCGATTGGGGCGTAGATTGTTTCCTGGTTTACTGTGACGTTGGTTTTTCCTCCCCAAATAAATTTCCTTATTCTCTTTTCTAGGCGTTGTTCGATTTCTTTAGGCATTCCTTGTACAGTTGCCAAGAATTGTGTCATCCCGCCTATTACCATTATTATTATCAGCCGTCTTCCTTCCATTGACGGGTTGCTCAAGTCCCAGTGGTCAAGCGCGTTATCAATTTTTTCCAAGGTTCTCGTCCATGTGTCGACTTGGGATACCTTGTTGCCGATCCATGCGCCAAGGCAACGGACAGGTTCCCCTTCTTTTGCAATTCGGGCATGGTCGGGGATTGCAGTGCCGTCAGTTCCATTTACCCGTTTGTTATTTCGTACTTGTTCTCTGTACGCGGTTGTTCCTATGGGGATTATCTCTGTTTTATTTATATTAAAACGGGCTCCAGCGGCTATACACCATTTGTTTATTATTTCGAGTAGTCGTCCAAAGTCGTCGCTTTGGTCCAGGTATACCACCGTATCATCAGCAAATAGAGTTGCTATTAGGCGCTCGGCCTTTCCGGAGATTTTGATTCCTTTAAGGTCGGATTGTCGTAGTGATTCGGCTAGCGGCTCAATTGCAATGTTGAACAGTAGGCAGGATAGGGGATCTCCCTGCCTGACTCCGCGTGTTACCTTAAACGGTTTCTTGCTCTTCTCTCCGTTGAGGATTACATATGTGAATGCATCACTATATAATGTTCGGACAATTCGGATAAATTCCGGGGGGATGCCGTATGTCTCTAGGGCTTTCCATAGGTAGTCGTGTTCTATTTTATCGTATGCTTTTTCTTGGTCGAGGGCTACAATTACTCCGTTTTTTTCCGTTGCTTCTGCCATCTCGATAATTCGTTTTGTTAGCCATATTTGGTCTTTGATTTGTCGGCCCTTGACAAATCCTGCTTGGTTCGGATGAATTAGGTCCGGCGCTACTTCGGCTAGTTTTATAGAGAGTGCTTTTGTAAGGATTTTATAGTCTGTGTTTAGTAGTGAGATTGGCCTGTAGTTGCTTATATCGGCTCTATCATTTTTTTTGTACAGGGGGCACATCCAGCTCTCCGCAAAATTTGTCCCTTTTACGATTCCATACTTTTCTATGTCATTGTAGACATTCAGTAAGACACCTATAATGTCGAAGGATGGTTTCTCGAGTTGTATTGCTGTATGGTGGCGGTCATTGAGTATCTTCCATATTTCATAAGTTATTCCATCTATTCCAGGGGCTTTAAAATTCGCAGATGTCTTTAGGGCTTTCTCCACGTTGCTTCGTGTAAGAGATTCTTTTAGTTTTGATATTTGTTCTGAAGATGCCTTTATTTTACATTTACCGAGTACTGCGGTGGTCGCTTCTTTACGTTTTTCCGTATTCATTGATTCTGTTGTTCGATCATGTTGTAGTTTCTCATGGTAGTCCCTGGCCATATTTGCCATTCTTTTTGAGTTAATTTCGTACTCCGCCGTTCTGTCTCCTGGCCCGTTCGTTCTTGATGTTTTATATAGTCTGTGTATTATATCTCTTGTTTTGCTTGGCTTGTTTATTTTTGACCAGTACCTTCCGATTACTTCACCCTTTAGTCTGTTCTGGATTTGGGAGTTTAGTCGTGTTGACCGATATTGTTTTTTTTGTATTTTTGTTAGTTCATCTATTATTATTGTTGCATTGAGGTGTTTTTCTTCCTCTGGCATTGTATGGTCTTTGAATATTGTTTCGAGCTTTGTTTCTAGTTCCTTAGTTTTTTCTTTGAGTTTAGGGCCTGTTGCTTTTGTTCTTTCCCGCGCCTTTTCTCTAATTTTTTCTTTGAACGCGGCCCAGAGGTTTTGGGCATTGTTGGTTTCTTGGTTCCTACTGTCTTCCTTAATGTTTCGTATCTTTTCTTCCAGCTCCATGCCCGCTTGGAGGATGTAATCCGCCAGAATTTTATCTTTCATTATGTAAGTGGGCCATACCCATCTTCCGTGGCCGATTGTCGGTGCGTCCTGGGTTGTTATCTTGAGCCATATTAGATTATGGTCCGTTTCTATGCCTATTTTTTTAATTCCCCAGTCAAATGTGTGGTCGAATTGATCCTTCTTAATGTATATCCTGTCAATGCGTGACAGGGAACCCCCGAGCGTCGGGGGCTGTTGAAATGTATAGGCCCTTGTATCCGGGTATGTCTCTCTCCACCCGTCAATGAATCTTAGTAGTATTTTGAGATCGTCAAGAGCATCTACTGCGTTGTTATTATCATTGTGCGATGGCAATCTGTCTATGGCTGCTTCGACTATGTTCATGTCTCCGGCCATTAGGTCCGGTTTTCTGATTTGTGGGTTTCTTTCCAGGAATGCCCCAGTTTCTTGCCAAAATTCTCTGTTTTCTTGTGTTTCATTCGGGGCGTATACTCCTAGGATGGATAGTGGTGTGCCGTCTGTGTTTTCCATTTCGAGGATCATGGCTCGGCCCAGGATGATTTCATGCGTTTTGGTTCCTTCTGTTTTGGCTTGTTCCTTGTTTATCACGAATGCTAGGCCTGCTGCGTTTGTAGATCTCGGGTTTTCTGTGTAGAGGATTTTTATTTTCCGTCCAAAGAGTGCGTCTATGTCCTCTTTTCTTGCTTGGTTCATATGTGCCTCACTGACGATTAGCACCGCTACTTTTTCCTCTCTCATTATTTGCCATATCCCGAACCATTTGTTTTCGGGATGGTGTACATTTGTGTTTCCATGTCCTCGGATGTTTAGTCCTGCGATCTTAAGAGCCGCTTTGTATTTCTTTGGGCTATGTGTCCGTCTTCCGTCACGGGGTGTTTCTGGCCCTGGGTACGCTCGTTGTGCGATATCTAATGAGTTTCTTTCTGGGTTGTTTTCCCTCTCGCTTGCCACTCTGGCGTGTCTGTGCTCTATGGGCTGTGTGGTTCGAAGATTCTCGTTAAGGGTCCGACTCTGGGGCCCACGCGCACTCTGCGCGTCTGCATCTCCGCTGATGCCCCCCAGTCTGCTCGCTGCATCTGGAGTTGCGCCTCGGCGCCCTTCATTGGTGCCTGTGGCGCGATTACCACCCCTCTCATTGGGGAGGTGGTTTTCGTCCCCAGGTACCTCTGGGCGACGATTTGCCATTAGTGCTCCACTTCCTCGTTGGTTGCCTTCCTCGAGAACTGCCAGGCCAGTGTGGGGACCTCGGCTCTCTCCGGCTTCCAGCGTTCCCGTTGCCGTTTCACCTCAGTTACCACCGCCATCACCCGGTTGCACCCCCGCGGGGGTCCTCCTGGGTACCCTCAGACGTAGCTCTGAGGGTACCTAACAGGTACCCCCCTGCGGGGCCCGCGGGGGGGATTTGGTCCATTTGGGGGCGGGGGCATATGCGGGGGTCAGCAGGGGGGGGTCTGTACATGTCATGTGATTTATCATTGGGAGCGGGCAGGTGGGCGCGAAAAAAAAAATGAATCACATGACACATCCAATGGGCGGGATGGCGGCTGATGGCGGGGTAAAAAAATCACGTGATGCACCGCATGAAAATTATCAAAAATGGCTAGCAGGGGTTGGCGGGGGTTGGCGGGGGCGCTACTGGCCCCCCGCACACCATGGCGGGCAGTGGGCGCATTATCACGTGACTTTTGGGGCACCTTTTGTGCACCATTCGGCATGATTTCGGAGGTGTTGCTTGATCCATTGCATGCTGTGGCAGACAATGGGCGCATAATCACGTGATTTTCTGCCCAAAAAAATGGAAGCCTTCCCCAAATCATCCTGGTATCATTTCTATCGGTAAATACACTAGTTAAGCATGAATTTGAGCTTAGAAAGCCCAAAATGCACCCTGCACAATGGGACTGGTGATGCACTTGATCCCATCATTTGGCGGGGTCTGCTGCAGGGGGTGCCACGGGGGGTGCTGCGGGGGGTGCTGCGGGGGGTGCCACAGGGGGTGCCACAAGGGGTGCCGCAGGGGGTGCCGCAGGGCCCGCTGTGGGGTCAACCACAGGAGCAGGGGTAGGGGTGCATTGCATCATATTTTGATCTATCTATTCTCGCTGTGGTCATAGCATGCAGCATAATTATCCTTCATTTTGCCAGGAGTTTGGAGGCTGTGTCTGGGGTTGGTCTGCAGCTACAGCCATGTGACTCCCTGATGCTTCGGCAGGGGCTGGGATATCAAAACTGTGCAAATTTACCTAAATCTTTTGGCTTGGCTTGGGGCACTGATATATATGACTTGGTTCATTTTAGCATGGTCTGCTCAAGCTGTCAGGTCAAACTAAAAATTTGAAAAATGTGCAACTTGATTTGTTAGGCAAATCTCCCAAGTACATGCTCCAGGGACAGCCAACATCATCAACAAGAAATGGCTAATGTTTCTTTTCTCTGTCTGTTTGCTTCAGGTAGTCTGTCCGCACTCAAATTTTTCTCTCCATTTGCAGCATATTCCGTGGAGGTGTCATAATTGTTGATTTCCGGATTTCATACTTCTTGTCTACACACCATTTGGGCCCTTTACTGAATCCAATAATACTGTAGACTCTTACAATGGATTGAGCAGGACATTTGTCAATTAAATCCTTGCAGGGGTTGGGGGGGGGGTCAACCACAGGGGGTGCCGCGGGGGGTGCCACGGGGGGTGCCGTGGGGGTGCACA